TGTAGTAAAAAATGATGCCTGGGATTTAGCTCAGCAGGCACAGTCCCTGCCTGGCAAGCACAAGGTCCTGAGTTCGATCCCTGGTACCAAAAAAACCAAAAAATGAGTATCTGCATTTTTCTAGTCATGAAGAAGGGGTTAAGATCTTACACGTGGCAACCATTGCCTAATATTTATCAAATCATAGCTTACTTTGCAGCCTAAGTGAAAATAGTGGCAAATTTATTTATGTGTTTAGCCAGTTTTATTTAGCTTCTTGGTGAGCAAATATATATATATATTCTTTTGATTGATTGGAAGCAAAATTTATTTGAAAAAGTAAAAGTGAAAAGTGAGCAAGAAACTGGCTCTGCAGAGCGAGCTTGGGCTGAGTGAAAGGCAAAAGCAAGATGAGAGTGCACCCTGGAGGAACAGGGCGGGCTGTCATGAGGACAGCCACGGTAGCCAGGAGTGTGGTGAGCGTCCACTGGGCATGGTGGTGCACACCTGCAATCCCAGCATGATGGGGGCGGAGGGCCATTGCAAGTTCCAGCCTCACCTGGGCAGCTTACTGACTGGGTAAGACACTGTCTCAAAAAACAGGAAAGGAGATGTATGTAGTTCAGTCCCCAGGAGAAAATCATATAATGATAGAAGCATTGTGGTTTACCTGATGATTTGTTTGGGAAATTAAGACTAAAGGCATTTCAGATTCTCTTTCTATGTTAAAAGTCGTTAGAATTTAACCCTTGCTATTTCTTAGTCATTTCCAAGTGTGCTACCTACTTCCTTCTGAGTTACATTCCACCACTCAGATATTTCCTTCACAGATGTCATTTCACTCACTTACTTGAAAATCTACAGTTCCTGTGATCATTCTGTAATTTAACTGTACAGTGGTACCTCACATCCTCTGGTCAGGTTCAGTGTTGTCCTTATGGGGAAATTTGATTCAGTCCTCATCCAATTCATTTTGCTATCAGAATCATGGAAAGGATTAGGTTCCTGAACTGAGGTATCATTGTATCATTGATATATCATTAACATGTCATTTCTATAAATAACTATAGTAATCTACACTTCATGTGCAGATTATTGTTTTGCCAGTGTGGGCATGTGGACAAATGATTTGGAATAACATTTTTTTCTATTAACCAGATTCTTTCAGCGACTCAGCGGTTTGGCCCTGGATACCGTCACTGTCTGACATAGCAGCTGTGCTTCTCAATCTAGGGATTGGCTTTCGGTCTTTGTTTCCTCTGGAGAATTTTCAGCCAGACTTTAATGAAGACGATCTAGTGTGAGTTTTCTTTTCTTAATGGACTCGAGAAACATCATTTAAGACAACTTATATAAAATCATAGTAAATTAATAAGTTCACTGTTAATCCTTGACTTGTTTTTAAAGTCTCTCAAAGTCAAGATCAGTAAGATTGGCCATTGTTATTTAACATTGTTTTGCAGGTATCAGCCAAGGTAATTAGACAAGAGAAAAACATAAAAATTAGAAAGGATTTGTTGAAAGCTTACCTAATAGGCTTAACCTGTACACAGGAGCATACAAATCAGTTGAAAAACTGCCGAATAAGAAGGGAATTTGGTACAGATGCCAGGGTATTAACATTTAAAAGAAACCGAGAGGGCCAGGGATTTAGCTCAGTGGTTCTGCCGCCTGCTTTGCAAGCACAAGGTCCTGAGTTCAATCCCCGGTACCAAAAAAAACAAAGCTAAAAAGAAACCGAGAGCCCTCATTCCTGATCTATAACTAATTACAGATGTGTGTATGAAGGAACAGAAATGACTTTACTCAGCGGGAAGCCCACCAGGCTTTCAGATATGAAAATTCATCATTCTAAATGATGAAACCCTATTAAGAAATGCCCACAGGACTTGGGGGGCTTGTAGGGGAGTTGGGACCATCCTGTTGGTTCTGAGTCCTATGGAAGAAAATAATGCCCAGGAAATTGATGAGGCGGGACTCGCCTCACAGGTGGAATGGAATGGTACAAGTGGGAGGACGCAGAGTTCATCGTGGGCGAAGCACGGAAGGCCAAGCAGACCCACGTCTGTATAGGCCCTCGGCAGCAGCGCCTCAGAAAGGAGGACGAGTGGGGCATTGCGGTCTGCTGTCACCCAGCATTAGGGACAAACAGCATTAGGAAAACAGCTGATTTATAGCTCAGACCTATAGATCAGAGATTTAAATGTGCAGAACAATAGTAATAAGTGTAACATACAAGTAACAGAAAAAACTGGCAGGGTCTTGTTTGTAATCCTGGACGGTTTTGTGTACTTATTAACACCTTCCATAAAAGGGAATATTAACTTACCACTTCTGTTTTTTTTTTTTGGTGTCAAGGGTGGAACTCAGGACCTTGCACTTGCAAGCCAGGTGGCAGCACCACTCAGCTAAATCCCTGGTCCTACTTACCACATTTTTTTTTTTGGTACGGGGGATCGAACTTGGGTCCTTGCGCTTGCAAGGCAGGCACTGGAACCACTGAGCTAAATCCCCAGCCCCTATAAGTTGGAGTGTTTTTTTGTGGTTTTTTTGGTACCGGGGATCAAACTCAGATCCTTGCGCTTGTGAGGCAGGCAGCGGAACCACTGAGCTAAATCCCCAGCCCTCCTACTTACCACATTTTTTGAAAAAATCAGTGGGCTGGGGTTTTAACTCAGTGGTTCCGCTGCCTGCCTTGCAAGTGCAAGGTCCTGAATTGGATCCCTGGTACCAAAAAAAAAATCGGTATGACAATAATTGTAAACACAAAGGAAAACACCTTAGAGTAGAGAGGAAGAAACAAATGTGTGAAAGGTGGTCACAGACAAAGGCTTAATGTCAAATCAGTAAGAAAAAGACCAGTAAGTGTTGAAAAATGGCCAAAGGAAGAGAACAGATTGATCACAGAAAAGTAAGTTAATTCTTTTTTTTTTTTTGGCATTGGGGATCGAACTTGGGACCTCGCGCTTGCAAGGCAGGCGCCGGAACCACTGAGCTGAATCCCCAGCCCAAGTTAATTCTTGAATATTGGAAAATATTTAACTTCACTTATGAGAAAAAGGCAGATTTTACTAACTTAGTATGTCCAAAACTCTTCATTTCTCCACTTATGTTTTCATTCTACACAGGACCCTGTCTTAGCACTTTCCCCATTCCTGGGACACAGTACCAACACCCACAGCTTGAGGAGAGGTTTGCTCGTGTTTTGGAAGTTTCAGTCTTGGCACGGTCAGTGGCATGGTGGAAGTGGTTGGCAGAGCAGAGGTGCTTGTGTCTCTACCGGTAGGAAGCACATGCACCATTCTGGTCACATCCCACTGACCCGCCTCTTCAGTTAGGCCCTACCTTCTAACATCACATTCATCTGAAATGCCCCATAATCCAGTTAGTTACCTTTCAAAAGCTCTGCCTTTGATCGCATGAGGCTTTGGAGGAACATCCAAGTATAAACCATACCAGACCCCTTGTTACTCAGATGTAAATTGTACTTGAAAATTTATTGGATAACAAATTGTTAGATAGAGACCATATTCCATCAATTCTAAATAGGAAAAATAATGCCTCCACAGCCCATCCAAAAACTCCAAACATTTTCCCCCCATATTACGAGCACGCTCTTAAAATACCTTTGAATTTTTAAAGTTGCCTCATAAAATACCAGCTACTTTAGCATTTACCAGTTAGTGTGGGCCGGGGATTTAGCTCAGTGGTTTTGCCACCTGCTGTGCAAGTGCAAGGACCCAAGTTCAATCCCCGGTACCAAAAAAAAACAAAAACAAAAACAAAACAGTTAGTGAATTCACTAGTGGTGATTTTGTGTGTTATAGGTAGCAGATTTTGAGCTTTTCCTCTTTGTAGTGAGCATGTACAGTAGTGGAGGTAAATGGTGAAATAAAGGCATGCAATGATTACGTTAATACATAGTAAATTAGTTTTGGATTGAGCCCTCAGGCAGGTTGAACAGCTGCACAGGTGGCTGTGGCGGAGGCGCTGCTGCTGCCGCTGCCGGTGGTGGCAGTGAGGGGGAATTCTCAGAGCAGCAGTGGATGGTGCGGAGGCGAGTTGTGTTCGCAGTGCCTGTCTAGACGTGGCTGCGTCTGGGGGCTGTGGGGACCGCACAGCTCACTGCTGCCAGGACTGAAGGCAGCACATTTACTTTGCTGGGCTGTGTATTTGTGTTTGTCAGCAAAATTTCTATACAAATAGATTTGGAGTGGAAACATTTCTAGATTGATACTCACATGGGGATGTCAAGGGCACTGGTGCAGCTCTTCTCTTGCCCATAAATTCTGTGCGAAGCACAGATTTAAAATACACCCTAACCTGTTTTGATTCTATTACCAGTTCTCACATCCCTGAGTTCCTCTGTCTACATAATGGCTTTTTAAATTAGCACGTTTGTAATGTATAATAAATACATTCACCCAAGGGGTTGGTACATACACATATCACATCTTAGTCCATTCTCTTTCCCCTTCCTCATCCCTCTTTGCCCTTTCCCTCTATCCCTAGACCCCCTCTCTGTCTGCAAAAGGTCTGCCTCCCTGTTTGTTATTACCTTTTATTTTGTTCCGTAAGTTACTTATACTTTGTATTTTTCAGATAAGAGAAAGCATACGATACAGTATTTACCCTTCTGTATCAGATTTATTTCACTTAGCATAATAGTCTCAAGGTGCATCTATTTTCCTCCAAATACCTCGTTTATCCTTTATGACTTTATACTCCATTGTGTATATGTAACACATTTTCTTGATTCATTTGTTGATGGACATATGGGCCGTTTCCAAGAGTTAGCTATTTATTGTGAGTTGTGCTGCTGTGAACATGGTGTGCATGGATTACTATAACATGGTATCTTTACTCTTTTGTGAAGATACCCAGAAGAAATATAGCTGAAACAGATGAAATTTCTATTTTTAGCTTCTTGAAGAATCTCTATACTGATTTCCTTTGCACTCCTACCAAAAATGTGAAGGGTTCCTTTTTCCCCCTGTAGCCTCACCAGCATTTGTTACTGAGTTTGGGAGAATGGCCATTCTTTCTTTTTTTTTTTTTTGGTACCAGGGATCAAACTCAGGTCCTTGCACTTGTGAGGCAGGCAGCAGAACCACTGAGGCTAAATCCCTGGCCCATGTTTGGGAGAATGGCCAATCTTAATAGAGTAAGATGGAATCTCTGTTTTATTTGCATTTCTCTAATGGCCAAAGATACTGAACAGTTTTTTGTGTTCTTGTTGGCCATTTTAATTTCTTCTGAGAAGTGTCTTTTTTTTTAATTGGGTCTTTCATTTGACAGGGGTCTAATTTTTTTTTTGAAGTTTTTATATATTCTAGATGCAGTGGTACCTGGGTTCAGGAACGTTTTTCTTTGCAAACAATTTGGTTCACAAACAGAAGCTCTGCATCAGGTGACAAACACGACCACAGCCATCTTTCCCACACAAACACAAACGTGGGCATCTTTTCCAAAATCATAGAACAAATTATGTTCATGAACCGAGGTACCACTGTATTAGTCTTCTGGCCCAGGAATAGCTGGCAAAATTTTTTTCCCATTCTGTAGGTTGTCTCTTCACTCTGCTATTTGTTTCCTTTGCTGTTTGGAAGCTTTTTTTGGTACGGGGGATTGAACTCAGGACCTTGTGCTTGCGAGGCAGGCGGCAGAACTGCTGAGCTAAATCCCCGGCCCATGTGTGGAAGCTTTTTAATAGGCTATGATCCCATTTGTTGCTTCTTGGTGTTTCTCGTGTATTTGGGGTTCTGTTCAGAAAATGCTTGTCTGCACCTGTGTCTTCAAGAGTTTTAGCCTATTTTGTCTTCCAGTAGATTTAATGTTTCTGTTTTGGGGGATTTTTTTGTTTGTTTCTTTTTTTGGTACCGGGGATTGAACTCGGGTCCTTGCGCTTGCAAGGCAGGCGGTGGAACCACTGAGCTGAATCCCTGGCCCAAATGTTTCTGTTTTAATATCTAGGTCTTTGATGTATTTTTACTTGACTTTAGTACAGGGTGAAAGAGATGGGTATAGATTCATCCTGCATATGGGTGGCCAGTTTTCCCAGCACCGTTTGTTAAAGAGGCTATCTTTCCTCTAGCCTATGCTTGTTTTGTTTTGTTTTTTTTGGTACCAGAGATCGAACTCAGGACCTTGCACTTGCAAGGCAGGCACGGTGCTACTGAGCCAAATCCTCAGACCCTAGCCTATGCTTTTGACTCCTTTGTCAAAAGATCAGATGGCTGAAAGTGCTTGGGGTTGTTTCTGCGTCTTCTATTCTTTTTTCTCTTCTTTTTTGAGGTCTTGAACTCACTATGGAGCCCAGGCTGGCCTCCAACTTGCAGTAATCCTCCTGCCCCAGCCTCCTAGTTGTTGGGATTACAGATGCGCATCACCACACCTGGCCTCTGTGTCTTCTCTGCTGTATGCCATTCATCTGCATGTCTGTCTCTCTGCACCAGCACCATGCTGTATCCAAATGTATTTCTTATACAGACATTCCTCTTTTACAACGAAGGTACATTCCTCCTACTAGGTCAGTAATTGGTCGCTAAATGAGGAATTATGTGTAGTATGTACATTGAAATATTTAGAACAAAGAAATGGTCAAAGCAAACTTATACTTGATGACTTTGCTTTTATTTGCATAACTCTTACATGCAGTACTATAATGTATAACAACAAAACTACAGTAGTGTATAAACAAGAGGTACTGTACAAAAGAAAAATGTTGAGGCTCCATAAACAAGATGTACAGAACTGAACAAAAACAACACACACGTGTTCTAAGTCTGAACAGCGCGCACCTTGGTTGCAAGCCCAAGCAGTCGCTAGGCAGGCAGGTCGCACAGGAGGCCGTCTGTACTGCAGTTACTGTGGGGAGGTGAACGCTGAGGCAGCCAGGTGGGGAGCACAGCTCTACCATCCAGGCACAGCACCTGGATGCATCTTGGTTTCTTTCAACCCTACAATTTTTTTTTTAATTTAAAAGCTCTTATTTTTTGAAAGCCAAATCCATGCATCTTTTCTTCCACAAAGCTTTACTGGTAATCTGAACTACAGTGGATTACTTTGAATTGTTTGTGTTGATCTGGCAGTTTCTTTTGGCCCCTTGTGAGGCCTTTAACTGTCATAAGTTGTCGTGAGAACCATCTTCTATGCAGCTTTCTCACACCAAGAGCACTGAGAACAGGATCTTACAAAGAGGAGTTGCTTCAGAGGAAAAGAAGTACACAGAAGTAGAGATAGATGAGTGTCTGCATCTAGGGGAGTAGCAGACTGACTTGAAGAAACTTTGGGAGGTGATGGAAATGCCATTTCTTGATTTGAATAATTGACACATTAGTATGTATGTTTACCAAAACTTAAAATGGATTCATTCCTTTTATTGTATGTAAATTATTTCTCCATAAAACAGTTTTTAAAAAGTATTTGTTAAGATGGGCATGATGAGCCAGGGATGTAGCTCAGTGGTTCTGGCGCCTGCCACGCAAGCGCACAGTCCTGAGTTCACTCCCTGGTACCAAAAAAAAAGATGGGCATGGTGGTGTAGTCCCATAATCCCAGTTACTCAAGAGGCTGAGGCAGGAACGTCTAAATTTCAAGACCAGCCTGAAAAATGTAGTAAAACTGTTTGAAAAAAAAAAAAAAGGTAAGGGGCTGGGAATTTAGCTCAGTGGTGCTGCCACCTGCCTCAGAAGTGCAAGGCCCCGAGCTCAATCGCTGATACCAAAAAAAAAGAAAGGTAAAGGGCGAGGGATGCAGCTCAGTGGCAGAGCCCAGTGCTTTGAGGCCCTGGGTACATCTCCAGCACCCTCTTTACCCCCACCCACATATTCTCAAAAGCAGTTGTTCATTTTTTTTTTTTTTTTGTACTGGAGATCGAACTTGGGACCTTGCACTTGCAAGGCAGGCTGTGGAACCACTGAGCTAAATCCCCGGCCAGTTGTTCATTATTTCTAAAAGCAAGTAATTATTTTGTGCCTAATTTCAGTTGCTTTATTCACTTCTCAATAGTTCTGAAACACAGATGACACTGGGAGAAAAAGGAAGTGAAGATTCATCTTCTAAACCAATTTTTTCAACTCTTCCTGAATCCAATATCTTAAATGTGGTTAAGGTAAGATAAAACTTTGTGTATCTTTGGTACAGAGCCAGAATAATTTTAGTTTTGTTGTTAGTGGTTTTTAAAAAAACTAATTTTCTACCAGGTGATTTTGCTAATTTCTTACCAGGTGAACTTCTTAGCAATAATCTTTATATTGAAGGTTGCTTTTGCTGTTTTTTGTTTTGGGGTTTTTTTTAAATGCTGACAAAGTTTATTTGAAAAAGTGAAGAGTGAAAGAGCAACTGGCTCAGCAGAGCTAGCTTGGGGCGAGTCAGAAAGGAAAAAGTAAGATAAAAGTACACCCTGAAGGACACAGGGTGGGCTGTTGTGAGGCGAGCCATGAGAGCCCGCTGTTTTGGGGGGCGGTTTTTGGTACCGGGGATCAAACTCGAGCTGCTGTTTTTATTATTATTAGGAGTGAAAGGGAAACTGTAGGTCAGAGTTTTGTCATTAAAGTAGTTTTTAAACCAATTATCATGTGTGAAGGACGGAAGTATTACTCACAGTATAACATAATGAGGAAGAATTAATAACAGAGCCAAATGTGGTGGTGAACACATGTAAGGCCAACTCTTGGGAGGCCTAGGCAGGAGGGCCACCACTTCAAGCAGAGGCAGCCTGGGCTACATAGCAAGTTCAAGGCTTGGACTGCATAGCAAGACCCTGTCCCAAAAGGAAAAAAAGTGAAAATTCTTTTTTAGTGGCTGTATCAAGTCAGTGATAGTGAACCATTAAAATCTTGATGGAGGCCGGGGATTTAGCTCCAGTGGTTTCCTCGCCTGCTGCGCAAGCACAAGGACCCGAGTTTGATCCCCGGTACCAAAAAAAATCTTAATGGAAAATGGAGACAAAAATACTTACCACAATACAAGATCCCAGTGATGAATGTAACTGTATTGTATACTTAAAATGTACCAATAAACTAAATGGAAAAAAAATACTTACCACTTAATTCAACACTAGCATGAGTATTTCTGGACTTTTCCAGGATATCTTTTGTGAAAAAGACTATAATTAAAATTCTTGAAGTAAAATACATCTTAAATTGCTTTGTCTGCATCTGTCAAAAAGTTCCTAGGCTTGTGTACATCTATACATCCAGAGGGTTACCAAGACCGTGAGCTAATGCTGCTGACCCTAATGTTGTTCAAAATGAGTTTGGAAAAACAGCTGAAACAGATTCCTCTAGTGGACTTTCAGAGCCTCCTGATAAACCTGATGAAAAACCTCAGGGATTGGAATACAAAGGTAATATGACTTAGGCCTTCGGTTTTGGTTCTTTGTACATCACAATTCGATATCCTAATTCCATACAGAATTAAAATTATTATTCTAAGCTCAGTTAAGATCTTTGACAGATGAAAAGGGAAGTGAGGGGCTGCGGATTTAGTTCAGTGGTTCCAGCACCTGCCTCGCAAGCGCAACGTCTGGAGTTCGATCCCCGGTACCAAAAAAAAAAAAAGCTGCTATGTAGATTTGGGGCCGGGGATTTAGCTCAGTGGTTCCACCGCCTGCCTCTCAAGCACAAGGTCCCGAGTTCAATCCCCAGTACCCAAAAAAAAAAGGGAAGTGAGGAAAGGTCTGTACTGGAACTGTATTGCTAAATTAATAAACTGTGGCTCTTCGTTCAGCAACACTACATTTCTTGGAGATTTGCTGTGGACCAAGCATTTCTGTAGGTGCTAGAGATGCAAGGAATCACCGCGAGTTCAAGGCCACTGGGATACATCATGAGCTCAAGCCCAGCCTACACTACACAGTGAGACCCTGTCTCAAAAAAGAAAAAAGAAGTAGAGATCCAGCTATGAAAGGGCAGTGCCTGTGCCCTCAGGGAGCTTTCCTTCCACACAGGGTTAGATGGTAAACAAGTGGATGTAGATTGTGACCCTTTGTCAGGCATAACTAAGTGCTGCAAACTAAAATAAACCAGGGTTGGGTAGAAAGAGCAGTGAGGCAGGGCTGCTGTGCCTCGGTGTGAGGAGTCTGCGAGGCCGCCCTTAGATCGCCTTGGAGCAGAAACCTGGGTGAGGTGACGGGGTGAGCCACGGACAGCACCAGTCTGAGTCACGTTTAAACAGCCATGTGGAGGGTGAACATGTGTGATTTTTGTTAGACCTTTCTAAAATATATATTTCAGCTGTTTTGGGTGGAAATCGTAAAGGGTGTACAAAGGTGGGGAAGGTGTAATAAACCTCAAAGTACCTATCACCTGTCACCAAAAATTAGCAAGACAAAGTCCTGTCCAGTCTGTCAGTCCCACCCCATGCTTCCCCCTCTCACAGATTATTCTGGAACAACTGTTATCCTTTTTAGAATACTGGAATTGCTGGGCATGGTGGCACACGCCTGTGATCCCTGCACTCAGAAGGCTGAGGCAGTAGGATCGCTCCCAGTTTGAGGCCAGCCTGGGCTACACAGTGAGATCAAGGCCAGCCTGGGCTACCGGGTGAGACCTTGTCTCAAAAAACCAAAAATAAGTTTTTTAAAAATACTGGAATTGGATCCGTAAATGCAAGAAATTCCAATTCGGAATATACATGATCTTGTGCAACTCTATACACATTTGGAAACTGGTATTTGTGAAATTCTAATAAATTTATATATTTGGTGCAAGATAAGATAAAGCAGAATCTTATTATGTACATTTTACATGTTCTAAACGTCACACAATTTTTTTTTTTGGTACGGGGGATCAAACTCAGGTCCTTGCGCTTATGAGGCAGGCGGCAGAACCACTGAGCTAGATCCCCGGCCCCAACATCACACAATTTCAGTGAGTGAGTGCTCTATTAATGCTTCTAATAGGACAAAACAAAAGATAGATTTGATTCTGCTCTCCTGTTGGGAAAGAAATCTTGAGTGTTCTTTCTTACTTTTTTCAGATGCCTGAACTCTGTCTGGGCATAAATGAACTCTCCAGTCATCCTCACAACCTTCTGTGGTTGGTACAGCTGGTCCCCAACTGGACATCACGTGGAAGGTATTGAAAAATGAGAGGGCCAGGGATTCAGCTCAGTGGTTCTGCTGCCTGCTTCGCAAGTACAAGGTCCTGAGTTTGATCCCTGGTACCAAAAAAAATAAAAATGAGAATTAAACATGAAGCAGTTTTAGATGTTTACACAAATGAACTGTTTTTCAGTCCTCTATTTCCATTCGTCATTCTTTGAATGTTAGATTGGAGCCTTTTGTATTCAGTTGGAGGGTAGAGGGCATTGATAGCCTGATTCAAATTCTTAACTCAGATCATTCTGTAATTACCCTCCCACTCTGCCCCTTACCGGGGATGGAACTCAGGACCTTGTGCTTTCGAGGCAGGCATGGTGCCACTAAGCTAAATCCCCAGCCCTATTCTGTAATATTCTTAATTTCTGTTTTAAATTTATCTGAAAACAATATAGATAACACTAACTATAAAAATTAAATCAATTAAAATTTTCTTGCTTTTTAGTAAAAAGATTTACTGTTCTAAACCCCCTGTTTGGTGCCTGCCTGTAATCCCAAACTGTTCAGAAGGCTGAGGCAGAAGGATTACAACTTTTAAGTCTACCCTGGGCAAGTTAGTGAGTCTTTCTCAAAAAAAAAAAAAACGGCAGTCTCCACGTATAGTCCAGGTCATCCTTGAACTTGCTATGTAGCCCAGGTTGGCATTGAACTTGTGAACCTCCTGCGTCAGTCTCTTGGATGCTGGGATTACCATCCCTGGTTCTTGAAATATTTTTATAAAAGGGCTGGGAATGTAGCTCAGTGGCAGAGCACTTGGTTAGTATGTGTGAGACTCTGGGTTTGATCCCCAGCACAACCAAAAAAGAAGGAAGGAGTTTGCTATTCTATAACAGTTTTTATATTCTTGTATAGCCTCCTCTTAAAACATTGCCTTTATTTCCAGTTAGAACTGGAGCTTCTTTCGTCTCATTTATTTGCTTCTCAGATAGTATTGATTAAAATTTTTTCTAAATACTTTTAAATTCTAATTCCAGGCAATTGAGACAGTGCCTCAGTCTAGCAATTATTTCAAAGCTTCTGGATGAGAAACATGAAGATGTCCCTAATGCCAGTAATCTTCAGGTATACATATTTTTCAATAAATAAGCAAACAGGAAAAGTAATGAGGTATAGGGAACGTTGATGGATCTTAAGTCAAAAGTCCAGGGATTAGATCTCAACTCAGGAATACTACTACTCATGTAACCTTTAGCATGACTCTTAGCTAACAAGATCCAGGTTCTTCATTTGTGAAGTACAGTAGAGATGATATTGTACCCTCTACCATGTGTGATTGATGTGGACCATCTGAGTTCATGTATAAATAAACTACTGGGAAAATTATAATATACTATGATATGACTGTGACATCATTTATTGAATTTGCTCAACTTACCAGGGTTATCAATATTATCACAAGATCAGAAATTGTAGAATTACAGTACTTGAAGGCAGGATTGCAAATTTGAGTCCCACCTGGGTAACTTAGCAAGACCTTGTCTCAAAAGAAAAAATAAAAAGGGCTAAGTGTACAGCTCAGTGTTAGAGTGCCCCTGGGTTCCATCCATAGTACCACCGAAAAAGAATTGCAAAATTGTTATATATTAATTGCATCTTGTACCTGTTTTAGTATTAAGTGGTCTTTTTAGATCATAAAGCTTAAATATGGTTTCCCTCCAACACTTGTTCAGTTGTGGATCTATGAGTGTGTGTAAACATGTCTTATGGAAATCCCATTCTGAGTCTGATGGCTTTTTACAATGATAGCACTAGTGGGGCACCCTTAGTTGGATCTGGAAACTCACCATAGAACCTGACCTGGTTCTTCTCATATTCTTGTTTGAAACAATATGGGTTCAGTACAAGATGCTCTACCAGGGCCTGAGGGTAAAAAGGTGAATTAGAGACTCACTGAAGACATAATGTAATGATTGTAAACCAGCATTACAGGTGAGTGTGTTGAGAGCAGTAGTAGGGGTGTGCACAAGATGCCATGGGGCAGAGTGATACTAAGTTGAAGTAGGTTTGATTCCACCTACAAGCACCACTCCTGAGCAACCAGGATAATTAACAAGTAGCTCTCAATCCCGTCCGTGATACTGACTACCACCAAAAGTGACCTAGGATAGGATTTCTACCATTTGCCTTGTAACTTGTTTATTTTTCTATTTTCACCCTTTTAAAATAGCACTACATGAATAATTAACCCTCACATTTACTAAGTGACATTCATATTACTCATCCTAGATAGGATTTTTTTTTTTTGGTACTGGGGATCGAACTCCGGACCTTGTGCTTGCAAGGCAGGTGGTGGCACCACTGAGCTAAACCCCTGGCCCAAGATTTGATTTTTTTTTTTCCACATCACTTCTTTTAAGTGCTGTTTTTCAGAATTCAGTGACTTCTATCCATGGGGAAATTCAACTTTGCTGTCAAGTAATTTCCCAGAGAAACCATTCCTTGTGGACTGTATTGTAATATCATTTGGCGTTTTAAACATTTATATCCCAAGGTATAAGCACTAAATTTTTTAAACTAAAATCCCTTTTTAAGCAATGGAAGACTTTAAAGGGGAAGTGGCTATCCTTGCAGGATAAAGAAAGCTTGCACGGCACAGTTATAGAAGGCAGGGTGCAGAGTAGACACAGTGGTGAGTGAAAAGGAGCCAAAGAAAGAGCAGCTGTGCTTCTGAGTGTTGTTGAGTGCTTCCCCTTTCTTTTGATAGATATCAATCCTACATCACTATCTAGTGCAAATGAAACCTTCTGACTTGTTAAAGAAAATGGTCTTGAAGAAAAGGGCTGAACAACCAGATGGCACTATTGATGACAGTCTTCACCTAGAACTTGAAAAGCAGGTATCTTTATTACTGTTATAAAATAATTCATTAATTGTGAGAGTTGGGAATTTAGGTAAAAGGATGGTTCTTGGTAATTTAATACTGAGACTTTTGTAGCTCGCCCTGTACTAGGGCAGTCTTGGTGGTAAAATGAATGTACTTGAGTTAGAAATCAGAAAGCCTGTTTTAAATGCCTGGCTTTTCCTTCCTCACTGGCTGGGTTACATCCTTTATCCTTCCTGGGCAGCTTTCCTAATAGGTAAATTGAAATGATATCTGTGGCAACTAATTCATGGACACCAATTTTATTCATTTTCTGACAGGCCTATTACCTGACCTACATTCTTCTTCATTTAGTTGGTGAAGTTAGTTGTTCCCATTCTTTCTCTTCTGGACAACGGGTAGGTAACGTGTCATGATGTTTTAAAGAGGTATCGCTGCTGATGGAATGAATGAGCGTGCTCTCATTAGGAGAAACCCTAATAGAAATTAACTGGGAAGGGGCATAATCATAACCTGCAAACCCCCCGATTGACAGGAGTGATTTATTACAGGCCATTCTGTTTGTTGGAGTACAACATCAGCATCATAAGTTGCAGTAGCAGACTGCATCCCTAAAACACCACGGTCACTAAACACCCAGTGAGCCAGCTGCTACCCGGCTCCTCTCACCTTTTCTCCCACTCAACTTTTTTTTTTTTCTTTAGAAATAACATTTGCCTTGAACGTTAAACTACAGTAATGTTAAGTGCTATTTACACAGAACTATATTTGCTTTCCTAATTAGAACCTAATACAGTCATTTATTTATAATATTCTCATATGGGCTTTACAGTTTGTAAGTTTTTTTTCTGATTCAACAGCCAATCAGTGATTATTATAAAGCCATAAGGGCCGGGGATTTAGCTCAGTGGTTCTGTTGCCTGCCTCACAAGCGGAAGGTCCTGAATTCGATCCCTGGTACCAAAAAATAAAAAAATAAAACCACATAAAGTAGAAGATGATAAACTCCTACAATCCAGGGAATGCCCTTCTATAAATTCTTCCCTAGTTTATGCATATACTATTTTTTAAAATGGGATCATACTATTCATATTATTTGCAATTTGTCTTTTTACCTTAAGATAGTCTAATAACTATAGTATTTCTAGTAACTTCTAATAAATATAGTATTTGAGGCCCTTTACTGGTGAACCTTTTTTTGTGATTATATAAAGTGATGTGACATGTTTATTCATTTATTTATATGTACTTGAGCAAGCAGTTTACATAATTTTCTAGAATTCTTAGGTCAAATGTTATAAATATTTCCAATTTTAATTACATAAAAATAGCTATTATCACATTTTCCTCCCAGAAAGTGTCTATTTAGATTCACCAACTCTATAGGAAGGTGACTGTTTTGGATGCTTTGAAACATAAGACATTTAAGGGCTGGGGATGTAGCTCAGTGGCACTGTGCCTGCCTGGCAGGTACAAGGTCCTGAGTTTGATTCCTGGTACCAAGAAAAAAAAACTTTTCAATTTCAAATGTCAGAAAGACATTTCAGTTCTTCAAAGAAGTAACTGTGATCCTCTGTTAACAGTAGCTTCATCTTGGCTCAGTGGCAAATGCATAGTAGACCACATCTCAAGACAAAATACATTAAAAAGCATAAAGTAACAATTTCTTTTTTGAATTAATTTTTTAAAATTTTATTTTATTGGTACACTTTAGGTATACAATATAATGACATTCATCATTGGAAATTTGAACCTCTATATAATCTCTCTTGGTTCTTCTGTTTTGCCCCTTCCCCTGAATTAATTTTTTAACAGTTCTGATAAAATACGTATTTCACGTAAATGTCCACTTGTGGTAGTCAGATCCCAGAAGAAAATGCTGCTTGCTTGGTTTTGCTTTATTTCGTTTTCTTTGTTTATATTTTTTTGGTACCGGGGATCGAACTTGGGTCCTTGCACTTGTTCAGCAGGCGGCAAGACCACTGAGCTAAATCCCTGGCCATTTGTTTCATTTTTTGTTGGTGGTGGTTTTTTTGGTTTTGGTACCGGGAATCAAACTCGGGGCCTCACATTTACCAGGCAGGTGCTGTGCTGCTGCATGGTTAGGTACGACGTGCTCAGCTGGCAGTGGCGCTGTCCCTTGATCTCCAGGCCATGGGTTCTCGTCACCTGCTCAGATTTGAACTGAAGCTGCTGCTGCTTCCCAGTCCACTGCCTGCCCAGAGTGCAGTTGCAATGAAGGAGAAAAGTGAGGAATATAGTGCCTACAGCCATATTAGGACTCTGGGCCCCTCTCATTTAAAAAGAGTAATGAGTAAAGAGTGCCACTGCCTGCCTCACAAGCACAAGGTCCTGAGTTCGATCCTCGGTACCAAAAAAAATAAAAAGAGTAATGAGATTGCTGGACATGGTGGCACACATCTGTAATAAGTAAATAAGTAAAGCTCGTAGTTGCTATTTGATATTTTATTAAAGAGTATGTTAGAGGAAGGACTCTTCTGATTTCTAGTACTGCATAACCCAGTTTGAGCTCTAGGGTTAATCTTCATTAGTGTAACTTAAAGTGTAGCAAACTTTTTTTTTCAGGGTCTGGCTATGTAGTTCAGGCTGGCCTTAAACTCACTATGTAGCCCAAGCTGGCCTCAAACTCACAGCAGTCCTCCTGCCTAGTGCTGGGATTCCAGGCTTGGGCTACCATGCCCTGCCAGAACATTTTTGTGGGTTTTGTTTCATTTGTTTTCCAGTGGTGGGGACTGAACCCAGGGCCTTGCGCATTCTCAGTAAGTGCTCTACCACTGAGGTGCATTCCCAGCCCTATGGCTGTTTTATAGCTGGTGGTAGTGTGGCTGAGATGGGCTCTCACTGTGTTATCACTGATGGCAGACTCCTGGCTCAGCTGATCCTCCTGCTTTTCAGCCTCAAAGAACCGGGCCCACAGTTGTGCACCACTGTGCTGGCTTCTGGGTATATTTTTAAATTAACTTAGCAATAAATCAGAATCGCCCTATTTTCATATAAGTGACTACTTTCACTGCTAGGACTGTTGTTATGTTGGATGATTAACATCAGAAATTGCTACCTGGGAGATGGTAGATTTTTGAATGATTTAGTTTCTCTTTGTTAATTTGTAATGTTTCTGAATTGTTTTTATCCCTTGGGTTTATTTTGTTCTGTACAGAAACACTTTGTGCTGCTCTGTGGGGCTCTGGAAAAGCATGTGAAGTGTGATATTAGGGAAGATGCAAGACTTTTTTACAGAACTAAAGTAAGTATGTGTTTAACTTTTTTTTGTTTAATCTTTTTTTTCTAGGTACCGGGATCAAACTCAGGACCTTGGGCTTGCAAGGCAGGCGCAGTGCCACTGAGCTAAATCCCTGGCCCTTTTTAAAATCTTGGTTGTATTAATATTTAAGAAAGATAATCCTATAAGCCCTCTTTTAAAAGGTGGGTGGGAAATATATTTAAGGGGTTGGAGAGCAGCTTAGTGGTAGAGTGCTTCCTAACCGTGCTCAAGAACGTGAGTTCAATCCCTAGCACAAAATAAAGAACTAAAAATAGGACTTTTTTTTCTTTAATAGCAGAATGTGGTTCTGATAAGTACTGTACTTGTCTAGCTAGGTTGAAAATGAAAGGAAAGATTGTTGTAAAACTCTTATCTCCCAAGAAGAAAAATTCTTTTCAGTACCATTTGGAATTTCTTAGTTTTTTTCTCACTGTACAAATTAAACTCTTATGCTTAAGAGAATTTCAAGGATTGAAGCCATTTGAATAAATACGTAATTAGGAAAGTTCATGATTGTTGAAAACTTGTTTTACTCATAAAGAAGAAATAGAGCCAGGCATGGTGGCGCACACCTATAATCCCAGCACTCAGGAGGCTAAGGCAGGAGAATCACCATGCATTTGAGGCCAACCTGGGCTACATAGGGAGTTCAAGGTCAATCTGAACTACACAGTGAGACCCTCAAAAACAAAAATCAAAAACAAAAAATAAATTAGCTATCATTCTTTGACTATTCCATTGAAGATTGTGTTAAGAAAAGGACTCTTCAAATCTCTGGGTCCTACATCTCCCTGTCTGAGCTCTATGATGGAAGTGATTCCCAGTCAGCTTACTGTTTTCTTCTTCAAGGTTTTGCTTACTCAAAGACAGTAAAAAAGCCAGATTAGTGAGAATGAGATAGGAAAGCAACTTTAGTATTAATAGAATGATTTGAATTTTCCTGAAACAAAATTGAACAACTGGTTTTTTGTTTTGTTTTGTTTTTGGTACCGAGAATTGAACTCAGGTCCTTGTGCTTGTGCAGCAGGTGGTGAAACCACTGAGCTAAATCCCCGGCCATCTTTTAGCTTTTATAATGTGCCTCTTGTGTTTGAATAGTTACGGATATTGGCTCTCAGTTTGTGATTTTATATCTTACACTGACTAGCTGCTAAGGCTGATCATTTAAACAGTGCCTGGGTGGATGCATATACATTGGTGTATACATGTAATGTGCATGAACAGTGCTTCCTGGATCCGTATACATTAGTGTCCATACTTATTTTGTTTTGTTTTGTTTTTTGAGACAAAGTCTCTTTATGTGGTTCAGGCTGGCCTTGAACTCTCAGCAGTCCTCCTGCCTCAGCCTCCTGAGTGCTGGGATCATGGGCTGCACTGCCTTGTGGTCGAGTATTGAGCTTTCAGGCCTGGCTGAACCTCACAGTAGAACACACCGGGTATCTACAGGGGATTCATGCCAGGTGTGATGGCGAATCCCAGCACTGGGAAGGCTGAGGCAGGAGAATCGCAAGTTCAAGCCCAGCTTGGACCACAGAGCAAGACCCTGTCTGTGAAACTAAAGGGGCTTCGTAGTACGTTGCAAAAAATATGGAGAGAACTAGCTGAATTTTGGATCTTCTGACAGTGTGGAAAGGAGCAAATGACAAGTGATTCTGCGGTTTGGAGTCTTTCAAGCAGACCCGGCAGCAGGGAACAGCCAGAGCCTGGGCCTGCTCACCAGCCACCCTTGAGCTTCTCCGCCAGAGTTCACAGCGAGCAGCTCGAACACTGAGCTCCTTGGAAAGCAGGAGCCGTCTTTTGGGGTGGCCTTTAATAACTAATAGGAAAAGCAAGTTCCACCTGTGTGATACTGCAGATTAGAGTGATAGTTTCAGTAATTACTGGAACCTGAAAGTCCCTCCAAAAGGTGTGAGGAGTTTGTTTTCTTTCCTTACGAGAACCATACTGAGTTGTTGAATGTGGGCCTTTGAAAGCTATGAGATTTTTTTATATTAAGTGTTGAATTGATTGTGGCTGAGAATTTTTGATCTGATCCCTTTTCCTCTTTTTAATTTTAAGGTGAAAGACCTGGTTGCCAGGATACATGGAAAATGGCAGGAAATAATCCAGAACTGTCGGCCTACTCAGGTGTCACTTTATTAAACAGTGTTATTTATTCTTAATAGTTTTACTAAATAAATGGGCCTAATTATATGAAGATAAACTGAAAACACCAATATAATATATGGTTTGTCTATGTTTTTTATCTTTTGTTTGCTTCATATTCATTAATTTATTTTCAGAAGTTGTATAGCCAAGCTGGTGCATGCCTATAATCTCAGCACTTGGGAGGCTGATGCAGGAGGATTGCCATGAGTTCAAGGCCAGCCTGGGGCTATGTAGTGAGTTCAAGGCCAGCCTGGAATATACACCACAGTGAGACCCCATCTCAAACAAAATAAGAAGTGATGTGGCCCATTTAAAAGCTACATTGCACGAGGACCCGAGTTTGCGATCCCCGGTACCAAAAAAACCTTTACATTGCACCAAATGAAGGTTATTTCATGAGAAGCATTTTTCTTAACAGGTCTGTTAAGATATATTCCACATAAATACATTTCACTCATTTAAAGTATATGGTTTTTCATATATTCATATGAGTAGTGAATACCATCACCACAGTCTTAACTTTAGAACATTTTGGTCATCCCAGAAAGAAATCTTGTACCTACTAGCAGTCGTTCCTCATTCCACACTGCCTTCCCTCCCCCTCCCTCCTTGAAGGCAAACTCTGTCTTCTCTCCCCGCCTCAATCTCTCCCCCTCTCTCCCTGACCCCCTCCCTCTTCCTCCATCTCCCTCCCTCTCTCTTTCTGTTCATGGTGTTACTGGAAAGTGATCTTGGGCCTTGAGCCTGTTAGGCAGTCACTCTTCCACTGAGCCCTATTCCCAGCCTCTGGTTTCTGGATTTGCCTGTCTGGACATTTCCCATCCATGGGATGGACTGTGTGGTCTTCCATGACTAGCTTCTCTCCCCTGACATAATGATAAGTGGATTCATGTTGCTCTGTGTATTTCCTTTCTATTTCTGAACAGTACTCCTTGTTCAGACACATTACATTTTATTTACCGATTTGTAAGGTGGACATTTGAGTTGTTTTCACTTAATGCATCCATGAACATCTATAGATAGGTTTTGTGTGGCTGTGTTTCCAAATGAAAGCATCTTGAGTATGTATTCCTGGGGCTTTATATTGAGTATATATTGCTGGGCTTTATGTGTTCAGTGTTTTCAGGAACTGCCAAACTGTCTTCAGTAGTGGCTGTGCCGTTTTATATCCCCATCAGTATGTTGAGGATTCTAATCTCTCCAACACTTGTTATTGTCTCTCTGTTGACTGAATCCGTGATAGGGGGAGAGAGGTGGAACTTCGTGGTTTCATCCTTTCTCAGCAGTGAAGGGTGTTGAGCGTCTTTTCATTATACCTATTGGCCATTTAAGTAGCTTCTTTGGAGAAATGTCTGTATAGATCCTTTGCCCAATTTTAATTAGTTCATTTATCTTTTTATTATTTAGTAGTATGAATTCTCCAAGGGCCTTATATATGCAATTTATTAATATTTTCTCCCATTCTGTATGTTGTCTTTTCATTGTCTTCGTAGTGTGATTTTGAGCACTGTCTTTTTTTTTTTTCTTTTGTACTGGGGATCCAACTCAGGACCTTGTGCTTGCCAGGCAGCGCTGTGCTGTTGAGCTACAGCCCCAGCCCTAGCACCATATTTTTAATTTTAATTTTTTTCTCACTTATACTGTTGACGTCCTAAGGAGAACCTTTGCCCTAAGGGGCCATTTTTTTAACACCCTACTTAATAAGTTTGCCACCTTAGCTTGTTTGTTTACAAGCTAACTGATGTAGTATTGTATAAAATTATACTTCTAAAGTTTTTATGTACATAAGAATTGACCAGGAACTTGATGAAGTGCATATTCCAGTTCATTAGGGCTGGGTTGGGACCTGACATGCTCACATTTCAAACAGATTCTCAGGTTGACACCAGTGCTGCTGGTCCAGAATTATACTTGTGAATAGCCGGGGGCCTAGAATTTGCTTATTATGAAAGAAAACAACAGGAGCACTGGACTATGACCTTGGAAAAGCATCTTTGGGGGGGTGGGGTAACCAGGGATTGAACTTGGATCCTTGCGCTTGCACAGCAGGTGGCGAAACCACTGAGCTAAATCCCCAGCCCAGCATCTTGCTATTTTGTGCTGTTTTATGACATTTGACTCTGTCACTGTCCTTCATGAGAGACACTTGCCCTTTCAGAGAAGTTTTGGAAGTCTTACACTTAGACTTTGTAATGTTTTAGTTTCTAACATCAATAGAGCTTTTTTAGGCTGGCCATCTGTTAAGATGTAGCATTAAAACAAGAATTTAATACCAGAACTATTAATCAGTTTAACATATTAATCTTTTTAAATGTGTTCCTGTGTGAGTGTAGGGATAAGAAAAACATCCTATATTTATGTTATACTTTATAAATTGTTAGACCACAAAATAGGAAATTTTGTGGTTTGATTATCAGAGGTTTTCAGAGAAACTTACGAAGATTTAAACTCGGCATTATGGTTCATCCCTGTAATCCCAGCTTTCTGGGAGGCTAGGGCAGGAGGACTGTAAATTCAAGCCCAGCCTGGGCCACTTAGTGACTGAGCAAGATGCTGTCTAAAAGTTTTACAAACGGCTGGGGGTGTAGCTCAGTGCAAAGGTCCTGGGTTTAATTCCCAGTACTGGAGAGAAAAGAAAAAAAATTCAGTCAAATATGGTGGTGCACACCTGTAATCCCAGCTCTCAGGATGGCCATGAGTTTGAGGCCACCCTGGGCTATCTGAGTCATCAGCCTGAACTGCATATCGAGACCTTGTCTCAGAAAAGTCGATGAGAGAGGAAGTAAAATGAAATGAAATGCAGTGATCTGGGAATGTAGTTGATCAGAGTCTCCTGGGTTCAATCCCTAGTACCAAAACCCTTTTTATTACTTTCATTATCAAGCCCCATTGTCTGATAATGGTTTTATAAGGATTAATTTATAATCTGGTTAAATTTTCCTTTCTTCTTTTTTTTTTCCCTTCACTTTCTAGGGGCAACTTCATGACTTCTGGGTACCAGATTCTTAACAGGAATTGCAGCAGCAAAACGAAGAACCCAGAGAAATCCCCTGGGAACCCGCCCAGGAGGAGTAAAAAGCATTACTGTGGAATCCAGTGGGTGTAAAGAAAATCCATAGCAGATGTGCTGCTTGAAAACTGAATGAGGCTGGTAATGAAACTGCCATTTCTGAAGTAGATAGGAAATGTTATCTGCTTAGGTGTTAAGGCAGCTGGCCTTTTAAAGAGCAGAGCCTAAAGAGGAGGGAAGGGATGGAAGCAGCTAGTAGTTACATGTCTGAGCTGCCTGTACTGACCCTCTTGTTATACTATAAGCCAGTTATCTTTCCTAGGTAGTATTTGTGGCACCTGGATAATCACAGGAAATGAAGAAAAGTTTGGACCAGCTTGAGGAATTGGACATTAGAAACCAAGACCAAGTTTCAATTGGGTTTAATTTTTATTGGTTGTTTTAGGATGCAAAGGGAAAGCTTGTTAACAATTTACTAATAAAAGCATAGATCTCTTCTGTAACTCCTATAAACCACAGGTTCTAATCCATGCAGTCTGCTTTACTATTTTAGGTTATAGCTCAGTGGTTCCAGCGCCTGCCTCGCAAGCGCAAGGTCCCAACTTCGATCGCCGGTACCAAAAAATAAAAAGACAGTGGCTCTGTTTTTAAAATACCAGAACATTCATATGTAGTTTGTTTTGGATTTCTTTTAAATGCTTGTATCTTTGGAAATACTGGTTAAATCTTAGAATTCTGGCCCTTAATAACAGTATTACAGAAGTCTGTTATAAAAGCTTAAAGACCTGGAAATGTCTCCAAATACTTTGTTGCTATGAGTTTGTAACTCTGGTGGAGACCTGGATCAAGTGTGTTTACTCTTTGGGACCTGAGGGGTTGTCTGCAAGCATGTGTGCTGGTGCCTGGAGGTTGTTGCACTTGGAAACTAGAGCTGCTCTAAACTCTGAAACACTGGAAAGCCGTCCTCCAGAAGTGGTGAGGCCTGGAGTACACGAGTACACGTGCTGGCTTCCGCCCAAAGGCCCTTGGAGCCTGCCCTGGTCACAGACCACACTAACCAGTTGAAGGGTTCTTGTGGTGACTGAGGGTCCCCGAAGGAGGCATTGTTTCCTGAAAGAGAGCACCAGCTTTTCTGTTACTGTTCTTTCTGTGTTGGCTCAGAGGACTTGCTCCAAGTGTTCTGATGTCTTGTTGGTGGGAAGGAAAATGATGGGGGGTTGACGTTTATGGTTTGAGAGGGGAGAAAATAAACTTTGAGAGCGTTCTACCTCTGCACTGAGGTGTAGGAGTAAAACATTTTTATCTTCAGTCTATCATTTATTATAACACCAGTTGATTTTTGGCCCTGGGGATTTCGCTCAGTGGCGCCACACCTGCCTCGGAAGCACAAGGTCCTGAGTTCGATCCCCGGTACCAAAAACAATCAGTCAACTTGTGAGCTCATGTCAAGCATTGGGCAGTTAGTTTTTACAAGTAAAATAAATCCAGTTTCCAAAAACCCAGGCTGAGTGAGTCCCCAAGAGTCAGACCAACAAAAGTTTTATTGTGTTGAGTTTACTGATGAGCATATTTTGATACTACCTCTCAAGGGTATTGTTGCAAAATGCCACTTAGGGTTAAAGAGATAGATACAGCCAGGTCTGGTGGCGCACACCAGTAACCCCAGCACTGTGGGAGGCTGAGGCAGGGGTCACAAGTTTGAGCCCAGCCTGGGTGACCTAGTGAGACCCTGTCTCAGAATAAACACTTTAAAAGGGGCTGGGGATGTGGTTCAGTGCAAAGGCCCTGGGTTCAATTCCCAGTACCACCAAAAAAAAGAAAAAGAAAAAAGAGAGAAATGCAAAGAGTTGTATTTGACAGAAGCTTGAGACTCTCATCTATCTGCCCAACAGTGGGGTTTTCACTCTGTAATTTAATAATTTGTAGATAACATTATTTGTGTGTAATTTTGTAAGTGTTCATATATTTTTCATTTTGCTTTGTGTAAAGTGTACAAAATTTCAAAGTATAAAATACTGCTTATACTGCTTGTAATACAGTGTGTAAATATTTTCTAGTAGTGTACATTGACGGGGCAAGTGGGTTATTCAGGTTTTTTTAGTGACCCTTTTGTATTGCAGTTTCAACAGATGACTGCCCATCAAATTTAAAACCACTTTGATATATTTTTATTTAGCAGTTCCAGTAAGAATAATCTATTTTTAATTGTCTTTCTCCATTAAAGCAAAGCGCTTCATCTGTTCTTTTAAAGTGGAGCCGGACGTCAGTGTAGGCCTGGCCTCTACTCGCAGGAGGCAGTTGGTTCTGTCTTTGGGTTCTCGTAGAAATGTGAGATTCTCCTCTTGAAGCACAAGTAGCCCCTAGTTTTCCTCCCAAGTCAGGTGTTTTCCTCTCCCTCTTGGGTCCCCAGGCCTGTCTCCCTCCTGCTGGTGCCCAGGGAGTGGGGGAGAGCGGGAGAAACATGCGCTGCAGTGCCAGGCGCCTTGGGGCTCGGCCACAGCTTGCACGGGGGCACCTGGTCTCACCGCCTGCACACGTGTGTGAGCCTGCCGGCCCCATGCAAGCAGAAGATTAAGGTACTTGTGTTTTTGTTTTTGTGTGTACCTGTTTGCCTTTTCTAGCCTTTCCTTGTTCTCTGAAAAGAATTCTGTTAGTTACATTAAGTGAAGAGGCTCTCCATATACAAAATGCATCTGTGTCGCAGTAAAGTAACAGTATTTGTACATTTGCTGTCTGTTCCCTGATGGCAGTGGTTGGTGCCTTTGTCAGCTTTTAGAAGGTTGGCGTTTTGTTTTGTTTTGAAACACAAGCAGTAGCTTTGCTTTGACTTCACAAAAATTTCCCCAGATGTAAAAGATAAATAATGAAGTGTTATCTTCCAGCTTCAGTTAGACTGTTTGTATTTTTATATTTATCAAAACAGATACAGTTGTTGGGGACCGGCCAGTGATAATGTATGGAGTCCTGAAGCCAAGAGTAACCTTTACATTTAAAAATTAGAATTTTAAGAAATGCCAGGCGTGGTGGTGCACACCTGTGATTCCAGCATCCAGGAGGCTGAGGCAGGAAGGTCAAGGCCTGCCTGGACTACATATAGCGAGATTTGTCTCCAAAAACCAAAAGAATTTTAAGAAATGACCACTGACAAGCAACTGAGTTGGCAAAACAGGAGATGACATCCTGGTGTGTCCGGGCGGCACGTGGAGCAGTTAGCGTGATGGTGGCAGTGACTTCCTGTCAGTCAGCAGTGTGCTGCACCATGCTCGCACGCGTGTGTTTGCTCCCCGGTGTTTGCTTCCTGTCAGCGGGTCAGTCCCCCGGCTGCCAGGCAGTAAGTGCAGATTTCTCTTTCCTTTTGCTTTTCTTTTTTAAGGTTTTTATACTACATCTTGTTAAACTCCTAAGAATGTATGTGTGTGTTATTAAAACTGCTTTTTCTCAGTTGGAATATGTTTGGTAGCATTTGTTGGGGAGTGGGGATGCTAAGTATCTTTCCCTGTGAATTCCTCTACCCCATTCCCTAGGTTTTAGATTGCTTCCTCCCTTCCTCTAGCTCTGGATTCTCCACTTCCTCAGCTTGATGTCTTGTTTTGCATTTGGAAAATTCAAAACTACAGCTATACACAGCTCCCTTTTATATAACCAATTAGTAATTTGCCAGTTCCCAGTCAGGAATTCAATAATCTCATTGTTACCTCATGGGCCATGTTAATTCAACAGCTGTTGAGTATCTGCTACCTGTTAGCACCCTTGTCAGGATTCAGTAAGGATTTGGTGCTGAGTGACAAACGGCGTGCTTTTGACGCCTACCTGCTGGTGTCCAGGTTAAGGTGCTTCAGAGATTATGGGGCAGAGAGGGCCAGAAAGAAACTCCCGTGACCGAGACCCACGGCCAAGAAGGAGAGGTCATGGGCTCAGGACCACCTTCGGCTACCAGGCTGGAGGCTGTGGGAGGCGGCAACAGCGCCTCCTCCTGGGGGCTCCAAAGTTGCGACTTAGCAGAGGGGCATCTGCCCTCTCCCCCTGGGGCCAGTCTTCGTTGGAGCGAACTCCCTGTGAGCCAGTGCTCTTCTGGGGAAGGCTGGAGGGGTGGGGAGCTGAGCCAGGCAGAGCGGCGGCACAGCTAAGGGAAGGGCCTTGGCTCAGCCCCAGGCGTAGCCTTAGGTTCCAGATCCACGCACAGGAGACTCCCCGAAGCAGTTTCTTCATCGGTCAGGGAGCAGCACTGCCTGGGTCTGTGAGGACTGGGAGAGAGTGCGGGAAGGGCTCAGCGGTGCCTGGTGAACAGCGCAGTCAGTGGTAGCTGCTGACTGCTGCTGCCTAGTTCTCTTGCTCCTCTGAGGACCACTGGAGTTGATCCTAAGCAGGCGCCTTGGGTGTGCTGACATCTGGTCAAACCTCTCCGAGAAGTACGGTCAAGAGCCAGGCATGTTGGCGTACACCTGCCACCCTGGCACTGGGGTTCTCACATCTGAGCATGGCTCAAAACAAAATTTTAAAAGGCTGAGCATATAGCGTAGTGTGAAGGCCTGGGTTCAGTCCTCGCTACAGAGGAAAAACAAAGTTTTGACTTTCAACACTAAGCTTGCTGAACTGCAGGTGGGGTGGGGTTTGACATCACCTGCAGACTGCCCTGACGTCTCCTAACTGGCCGGATATTCCCACGGCCAGAACCGAGGGGGCAACCCGGGCCCAGCCGAGAGCCAAGCTGGAGATCGTGCAGCAGGAAGACTGGTCCCGGCGTGCATGTGGCCAGAGTAAAGCTGACTCTACCTAGAGGAAAGCACCAGGCAACTCGTAGAGATGGCAAAGCTGCCCCCGGACCAGAAGTGAACTGGACAAGGCTGAGGTCTTGGCCCAAGTTTCAGGAGTTCATACCCCCATCTAGGGTCCTCAGTACAGTAACTGCCCTGTGCAGAGCCTGGGACTGAACCAACCATGGTATGGAGGTTCCTGAGGATGGCCAGCGCTGCCCTCAGCACTCTCCTCAGCACAGCTGCAGAAAATAACTTAGCAAAAGCAACATAGCCAGGCACGTGGCTGGCATAGGCACACCCTGAGGCTGAGGCAGGAGGATCACTGTGTTTGAGGCCAGCATGGACTACATAGATTTTGGGGTTTTTTGTTTTGTTTTTCAGACAGTCTTGCAATGCAGCCCCAGGCTGGCCTTGAAACTCAACAATCCTGCCTCAGCCTCTGGAGTGTGGGATTACAGGCATACACCACCACACCCAGCATATGGACTAGACAGAGTTCAAGGTCAACCTGGACTCAATACCTTGTCTCAAAAAAACAACAAAAACTTGTGTTTATAGCCAGGCATGGTGGTGCACACCTGTAACCCCAGTGCTCAGGAGGCTGAGGCGAGAGGATTGCTGTGAGTTTGAGGCCAACCTGGGCTACCTAGTGAGTTCAAGACCGGCCTGCACTACAGAGTGAGACCCTGTTGCACACACGTATAAAACAGAACTTGTGTTTGTGAAGTACTCCAGGCATTTGTAAATGGGATCACCTCATAGCCACCCTTTGAAGCAGCCAAGGTAGTGACTTCTAGCATAATGAAGAGCCCTCTCAATGACCAGCCTTGTGTCCCAGGGCACAGTCTTGGCTGGGTTCTGATGAATGCCTTGGTTTGATTTCAGGCCTTCTCTTCCACTGTCACTACTCCCTCATTCAGCTTGATGTACAGGAAGAGTATTGGCAATCAGATCGGCTTGCTGTGCACCTTCAGGACTTAATGTGAAGGAAAATAGGCACCAATGTCTCATGGCTTCTCTTATGTGAGAAACAGAACAAGATAAAATAGGGAGATAATAGAAAGAGACCTAGAAATGGACTGGGGAGGAAGGGAAGAGAGGAAAGGAAGGTAAAAATATTGGGATGCACATGTATCAACACAATGAATGGAACCATGTATGCAGACATGTGCTAATAACATTTGAAAAATACCAGCTTCTCATAGAAAGTTCCACTAATTGCTTTCTGAAAATCCTGATCAGGTCCAGAGATGTAAGGGGCAGACAGCAGGAATTGACTGTGGTCTGAAATAACTGCTCAGTGGCGGTTTAGCAAGAGCTATCCTGGAACTTGGCATTGAAATCACTATTTTCTCATTTAGAAAACGTGTGAGATTCTGAGTCTGCCACCAGAGTACCTCAGGGAGGAAGTCCGCTCAGAGAAGCTGAGATGCAGAACCCGTCCCACTGGCCTACTTGCTGCCTCGTCAGCTAGCTGAAGCCGCACTCCAAGCCTGAGACCCCCGGGAGTCTCACCCGCCCCGCCCACTGACTGCTAGCGGTCCTGTTGCCCCGACCTGCTGATACTTCCCACCCACTTTCTCACGTGGACTGTAGAATCGTCTCGGCCAAGTCTTTCCTGACTCCCTCACCCAAACCATCCAGGCTGCTACCTGGCTTTTCCCTTGGGTTTGCCATGAGGCAACTTCCTGTCTCATTGAATCAAGCTCACTGGCTTCTTCCTACTCTCCTCAAACACGTTTAACACAAATTTGTGCATTTCTGCATTTGCTAGTGGTATACCCCCTCAGGTTTACAGGTTTACCCTGCTTGCCCCTTCTGACTTTTGCAGACTTGATTGTCCTCTGTAAATAGAAGAATGAATTTTAAGGCTTGTTACTTAACCTGTTAAGACCAATTTCCCGTCTATAAAATGGGGCTGTAAATTCCTCAGGACTGGCTAAGGGAACAATAAAAGCAATGAAGCTGGGCACTCGAGCGGTTTTTTTTTGGTACCGGGGATTGAACTCGGGTCCTTGCGCTTGCGAGGCAGGCGGCAGAACCACTGAGCTAAATCCCCGGCCCTAAATTTACTAGAGTCTTAACTAGAATAGCAACAAGGATTATTTAACTAGAATATATAGCTAGAATCTTTTTTTTTTTTTTTTTGGTACCGGGGATCGAACTCAGATCCTTGCGCTTGCGAGGAAGGCAGCAGAACTACTGAGCTAAACTCCTGGCCCTACTCGAGCGTTTTTTATTGCTGTCGTCGTTTTGAGACTGGGTCTCGCTATGTAGCTCAGGCTGGCCTTGAACTGTGTAGCCCAGTCCTCCCTCAGCCTCCTGAGTGCTGGGATTACATGCGTGTGCCACCACACCCAGCACCCTGTAACATTTGTGTGCACTTCCTCATGTTTCTCCCGGCCCACCCCCATCCTGTTTGCATAGTGCTGGGAGGTCTGAGGCGGGTCCTGCTGTCTAGCTGAGTCACAGGAAACAGTCCTCACTGCAAGGTCGTATACAGGTTTAAGTGCCAGAGGGGGCTTTGAAGAATCCGGAACCAGGAACGGTCCCTTGAGTTAGGTATGATATGCCTCGGGAGCCCCGTAAAGCTTCCCAGGCACACGTAGGAATCAGTTGCTGTGGCTCTTATTTTGGTCCTTTTGGGCCCAGACTGATACAGTCGGATTTTGGCTAGGCAGGGAGGGGAAGTGAGGTGGGACAGGGCCAGACCCTACTGCGGCGTTCTCCCCTGGGCTGGCAGGGAGGCAGGGCTCAAGTCTGCACCAGGGCCGTCCTGGTGAAAGGAGCCGCCGAACTGATCCTGAGAGTTCCCAGCTTGCTGCTGGGGAAGCTGACTGGAGGCGAGAGGGAGGATTATGTGCCTGAGACGTGCACTGGAGGTTTCGGATTAAAAATGATGTTCAAGATGGGGATTTAGCCCAGTGGTTCTGCCACCTGCCTCGCAAGCGCAAGGTCCCGAGTTCGATCCCCGGTACAAAATAAAATTTAAAAAAAAAAAAATGATGTTCAAGAGGAGCTTGAGAAGAAACCAGGAGTCTGAATGACCCAGCCTGGGAGGTGAACCTGGGTTAGGGCTAAACTGGTGCAAATGGCTGGCGCTTCGGGCCAAGCTGTTACTTCATCCCTTCCAGGCCTGACCCAGGCTGAAGTCACCGCGGCAAGAGCCCTGAGCGGGAATCGAGAGCCTTGTGTTCAGCGCTGCCCGCGGGGTGCAGTCCCGGGCAGAGACCGGCGAGGGCTCCCTCCCCAGGGAAGCGGCGACGCCAGCGGGAGGCCCCGGGCGGCCTCGGAGGGCGCGCGGGCGATGGGCTCGCGGGGCGGGGGCTGCGAGCGTTGCCTCGGCCGAGACCCCGCCCCGCCCCGCCTCCCGCAGCGGGCGTGTGCGGCCGAGCGGCGCAGCGCGGTCCCTGCGGCCCGGATCCCGACGCGAAGGTGAGCGGCCGGCCGGCCGGGCGGCGGTGGGGCGGGCGGCTTCCCGCTCGGCTCCTGCGCGCTAAGCGGGCCTTTCTCACCGCCAAGACCGCGGCCCCGCACGAAGGCTCGCGAGGGGCGCGGAGTGGCCACTGCGGACGGGACCGAGCGGGGCGGGGAGCCGCGTGGCGAAGCAGCCCCGGATCTGGGTCAGGTCCGGCGGCACCGGAGGAGAGCCTGCCCTCGGGCTGCAGCCGGAGACAGGTTGGATCCACGCGGCGGCCGCAGGAAGGGCTCGGAGGGAGGGGCGCCCCGGGCCGGGCGGGTGGGCGCCGGTGACCCTCCCTGATCCTGGGATCTCCCTGCCCTAGGGAGGGGGTCTAACAGATCTGGCTTTCTCCACCCCACGATCTCGTAGAGCAAGCGGTCACAGTTCAGGGGCAGGCTCTGGAGGAAGCAGAAAAGCTCGGGCGGTGTGGGGTGTGGACCGCAGACCTTGGACGCGCTTAGCAGGAGGGGTGGCGAGCTCCGGCCCACCCTCCGTCCCAACGGGTTCAGTGGGCTCGGAGAGCTCAGGCCCAGCTCCCCTGTCTACCGCGGCGGGGAGAGGTAGAGGACTGCGAAGTTGCAGTCCATTCCCCGCTCGGTCATGGCACCCACACCCTGCAGAGTGGCCTTCACCCGCGCTCACCCCAGGTCAGAAGCCTGCCCATCAGCACACGCGGGTGCCTGCACACACAGGGAATCTGCCCTCGAAATGGGAGGCAGAGTTCTGCTCTGCGTCTCACCCCAGTGGACACCCACAGCCACCGAGACTGTACAGAGCAAGGAGCAAGTCCCTGTGTGCATGTGTGCTTGTTTGTGCATGGATGTAATTGTATGTTTGAGAGCTCGGAACGTAACATGTTCCTGATCCTGTGAACACTGCTGCGCCTGACCCACTGTCAGTGGTTTGTGCGCATGTCCCTGCACATACAGGCCCTCCTATTGCATGGGTGTGCAGTTGTTAATATAAACCTACACATGTGCAGTATAATCCTGCTTGTCGCCTCTCCGCTGAATGGAAGGGCATGTGGACACCTGTGAGTGTGCGTGACTGCATGTTGCCATGTCCTCTGTGGACCCGCCTGCTGTGAACCTCCTGTGACTGAGTGACTCCTGCAGCCATGCAAGTTCATAGCTGTGTGTGTGTACCTCCCTCCCTCTGGGCTCAGGAGACTGAGAACAGCCCTGTGTAGTGTGCCCTACACACTGGTCCCTCTTATCTGGGGTGTGTTCCTCCTGCCCAGTCGTAGGGACTGGTCCCTTCTAGCCATAAGGCCCCCCTCTTCTTGCTGAGCAAACAGGAGGCCCCAGAGGTAAACAGGTGTGCCCCACAGTGAGGGTGGACAGGGGCAGCCTGCCTGGAGCCTCCCGCTGCCCCGGCCCCCAAACCAGGAACAGGTACCCTTCTGCCGCACCCGGCGGCCCTCCTCTGCCCCTCCTCTGTTCCACTCTGCCCGATGACAGTGCTGACCTTTGCCTCTTGAGTAAACCCTCCAGATTCCTGTTTTCCCTGTGGCTCTCTCCTGACTCCTCCCTTCCCTTCAAGGCCAGGTAGTTAATATTTGACCTGGAAGCTTTAGGAGGCAGCTCAGGCCACCTCCACTCCCAGCCCAGCTCAGAAAGCCCCTCAGAGTGAGGGCCCTGCCGCCTGCGCCCACCTCATACCCAGTGGTTGGCTTGAGAGAGGGTCCGGGTTGGGGAGCAGTCTCAAGATGGACTGGGGGCGCTGGTCAAGAGCTCGGGGCCCAGCGTCCACTTGGGGCACACGGCTTAGGTCTTGGGCTGCTCCTGGCCCTTACACAGTGCATCGCACCTCCCGCACAGACTTCCTCGTGCAGCTAGGGGCACCCAGAGGCCCACCCGCCCAGGCTGCCACCCCAGGCCCGTGAGTGCCTGCTGTCAGGTAGGAAGAAGCACGCGTGGACTCTTAGCTGAAGGCTGCAGTACTGACTCACACAGGCAGGACAGAAACGTGCCCCCCCCCCAAGAATGCCGTGGAGAAGTGTCTAATTAAAGAGAAATTCCAGAGGGAGCTCTCAGGCCAAGGAAAAGAAAAACAAAGGGAAAACAGGACGGAATTAACAAAGGCCCGTTAAAGGTCCCTGCCCAGGCCTTCCTGCAGCGGGCTGGCGGCAGGGCAGCTAGTGCTGGAGGCGCAGGCCTTGGCTCTGAGAACCCAAACTCGACCGACCAGAAGAGGCCCGTTACCTTGGGCTTGCCAAGTTCCACCACAGCCTCTCCCTCAGCGGAGCTGCACAGACTGAGTCAGACCTGGCATGGGATCTCTGTGCCTCTACCCTCGGTGCCTCTGAAAGTCTGGGTAATCCCATCATCCTCCTCCCACACTTAGATCAAAGCACTTTCTCTTTTTTCCCTCCTTCAAGAAACAGCTGTCAGAGAACCAGGACTAGCCCTGCAGTCTGGAGCAGGGTGACCCCATCAGGAACCTACAGGCCTCTAGGAGTCCTCAACTCCCTATCAGCATGGAGTTTGCACTTGATGCGGAAAGGCGTGTGATGGACCCTCTCTGACCCCTGAGCTGTGACCCCATGGCCATAGGGCTCTGTGGCTCCATGTCCCCCCCCTTCCAGGACCCTCCCTGGCCCCAGAACTGCTTGACCCCTGTGGCCTCATGACCCCTGTCCTTCCTCGCCACCTTGCTGGACTCTGACCCCAGGGACTGTTTTTCCCATCCCTCCTGTGCCTCTGGTCCTGGCTCCCGGTGGGGGGCTTGCGGGTCTGGACCTCCCCAGGAAGATGTGGGGGAGGCTCTGGCCCCTCCTCCTAGGCTTCTTCGCTGCAGCAGCCCCTGGGCCCTCCCTGCGGAGACCGTCCCGCGAGCTGGACGCCACCCCACGGATGACCATCCCCTACGAAGGTTAGCCCTCAACCGTGAACCGCTGTGGGAGCCAGGGCTAGGGCAGGAAGTGGTCCCCAGACTGGGCTCACTGCCCCTCTCTCCGCAGAGCTCTCTGGGATCCGGCACTTTCGGGCCCAAGCCCAGAACTACTCAACGCTGCTCCTGGAGGAGGCCTCAGCAAGACTGCTGGTGGGAGCTCGAGGTGCCCTGTTCTCTCTCAGCGCTCGAGACATAGGAGACGGGGCTCACAAAGAGGTCAGCACCTAAAACGGCTGCAGGCTCGTCCAGTGCCCTGGGGCCCAGCTTCCCAGACAAACCAAGGCTGTGTCCGCAGCCCTCCCGGCAGCACTGTCCCTGCCGGCCTCCAGTGCTCCCTCTGGGACTCAGCTTCACCCCAGGCCCAGCTCCCTGGCGCCCTACTGCCTGGACTATGAGCAATAGGTATTGGGCTCAGCCTGCTCCCTTTGTCCCTAGATTCAGTGGGAGGCCTCCTCAGAGATGCAAAGAAAATGCCATCAAAAAGGGAAGAACAACCAGGTAATGTGGTCTGCCCTCCCCTGGCTCCTTCTTTTCCTTTTCCATCAGGGATGCCAGGGTTGGAAGGGACATGATGGGGAGGTACAGACCTGCCAGTCAATTGCACAACCACGGTAAACACTGAGTGCTGCCAAAGTGGAGGCCCTGGGCACAGCCTGCTAGCCAACCATCTGGGGCCTTTTAGCCCGGCCTGTCATGGCCTCCTGATCCCCTCTGGGCTCCCAAACTGTCGTCAGGAGTACAATCGGTAACCTACTAAGTGCTGACTCTCCTGTTCTCTTCACCTGGTTCTAAAGTAACTTATGAAGTCGTAGTGCTTCCCACTGCACAGATGAGAAAAGCAAGGCTTTGGTGCAGGAAGAGCCCAGGCACCCAGGATTCTGTGGAGGGGAATTAGTGAAGTGCCAGCTCTTTCTGGCTGAAGGAGAGGGTGTCTGCCGGAGTCCTGCAGGGCAGATCGATCTGCAGAGGCCCCGAGCCAGAGGTTCTGACTCAGTGGGTCTCGATGGGGGTGGGATACGGCGCTTGCTGAGCCCCTCCGGAGATTCTGTGAAAGGCTGCTGAGTGCACGCACGAGTCAGTGAGGGAGGGGAGCCAGGGCACCTTGGGGGTTTGGATCTTACTCTGTGACAGTTTGGCACCTGAGAGTCCTCAAACTGTAGTGGGCAGGGGCATCACCAGGACTCACATTACAAGGTCAGGGCTAACCAGCAGTCTGGGAAGGACACAGGTTCTACAGTTCTAGTGAACTCCCAGCTGAAGCCGGGGCTGTGGCTCCCAGGACAAGCTTTGCTTAGCCAAGCTTCAAAGAACACCTCTCAGGATGCGAGGGCAGTGTGGCTGGACATCTGTCACTGCACTGAGGGCAGGGTTGAGGGCCGGTCAGGCTGCCAGGCGGGGCTCCCTTCCTCCCTCACTGCTGTGTGTGCTCCGGAAGAGGACCGACCACTGGGAAAGGGAGGCCCGTTTCCTTGGTCAGGGGAATCCGAGTAGCTGCGCTCCCCTGCCAGGACCTCCAAACAGCTCTTAGGGCACCTCCCAAAGCGTGTTCTAAGGAACAGTAACTTTCAGAAGAGGAGTTTCATGGTCAAGTTCATTTGGGAAGCACTGCATGCTCGGCCCCGGAGCACAGCAACTCCCTTACTACCTCCAGTAAAGACAGTTTATCTGCAGCTTCCAAACTGATTGGGCCACAGAATTCCTCCTAACCACCACCCTTTCTTTGTTTTGTTTTTGTGTTTTGAGACAGGGTTTTGCTATGTAGTCCAGGCTGGCCTTGAACTCTGCCTCAGCCCCCTGGCATGCTGGGATTACAGGCCTGTGCGCCACATCCCCAGCTCCATCTCCTCTTTTTAAATGTAAACATTTTAAGTCAGGTGTGGTAGTACATGCCTGAGATCCGGAATTGGGAGGCTGAGGTACAGGATCACTGAGTTCAAGGCCAGCCCAGACTACCTAGGAGACCCTGTCTCAAAAACACAAATCAATAAATGGAAACATCTTAGGGAACGATCACTAGGAATATTTATCTGGCTCCAGGCACCAGGGCTGAGCCCGCTGATAGAGAGGAAGGACAGATGCCAGCGGCCTAAGCAGTGAGGGAGTAGTGGAAGGAGACCAGAAGTCTGCGTGGGCTCAGACACTTGAGGAGCAGGCAGAAGGAGTGAACCCTAATGAAGCAAGGAGGGGAGGGGCTTGAGGGACAGGGACAGCGAAGGCTAATGTGGCTAGTGTGAGGCAGAGAAGGCTCTAGGCCTGGCCACAGCGGGCCAGAGTGCGTGGGCTCTGTCCTCGGAACCGGGGTGGGGCAGCGGTACCCTGACCTCGTCCCCTTTCGTGCGCTGTGCTTTGGGAAGTGGTCTGAGGGCACCCGGAGTGTGCTGGTTGGGGGCGCCTCTGGAGGGAGCTGCGGACAGTGGCAGCAGGGCCTTTGGGGCCCCTGGGCGGCAGGGCTAACGGGAGGCTGTTTGTAGCATGGCCTTTATGCCTCTGAGTTTTACAATGGAAAGTGCCTCGTTCGCTGAGCAGTTTGGCGAGGGAGGGAGGTCAGATGGTCACGGCACTTGTTCAAAGAAGACAGATGTGGTGATTCGGCCGGGGGTGCAGCAGGCGAAGAGACCAAGTTAGGACAAAGAACAAATCAGGCAGAGGGACTGAGTGTGGGGTGAGGGGTGGGAAGCCGGAAGGAGGTGACCCCTGGCTTCTGGAACTGAGAAGAGGAGGGATGCTGGGAGTGGGGCGGGAAGGACTGGAGGAACAGGCTGGGGGGGGGCCGGGGTGAGGATGAGGATGAGGATGGTCATCTGCCCGTCTGGGGGTGGCAGGTGCACAGGTGACAGGCCTCCTGCTGTCAGTGTAGGGAGGGCGTGGGAGCTCCAAACTGGGGGCTCGGCCGAGAAGGAGCTCAGTAGGAGAGGGGCATCGGGATGCTGGGAGCCCTGGACGGGCCTGAGCTGGTGCAGAAGGGCCCACAGGAGAAGCTGGCAGAGGGTCAAGGCTGTGCCGCTGGAAAGGCAAGAACCGACTTCCAGGGGATAGTGTGTGTTCAGGCAGTGCGAAGCCCACGAGCACCTTGGAAAGATCTGCTCTGTCCTGAAAGTGGAGGTGAGAGCCAGACTACCAAGTTAGACGCAGCCAGTCTTGCTGGCTCCCTCCTGCAATGCGATCCTAACACTCTGGGAGGCTGCGGCGGGAGGATGCCAAGTTCAAGCCTAGCCTGGGTAACTTAGTGAGACCCTAGCTCAAATTTTAAACATAGGGTAAAAAGGGCTGGGAATGTAGCTCACTGTGAAGGCCCTGGGTTCAGTTCCTAGTACTACAAAAAAAAAAAGAAAAAAACGTACAGCAGCGAAGGAGGCCTCTAGCCAGGCAGGGGTTCAGGCCTCTCCTGCACCTTGCCCCGTAGACGGAGTGCTTCAATCATGTGCGGTTCCTCCAGCGGCTCAATGCCACCCACCTCTACGCCTGTGGGACTCACGCCTTCCAGCCCCTCTGTGCCGCCATCGTGAGTGCCGCCCGCCCTCATCTCTGGCGCGGACTGGTCCCGCCTTGGGTCGGCTGCAGCCCTGGCCCCACCTGTCCTCAGGGCTACTGACTGCTGCTGTCTCTCCAGGATGCTGAGGCCTTCACCTTGCCGAGCAGCTTCGAGGAGGGGAAGGAGAGGTGCCCTTACGACCCCGCCCGGGGCTTCACAGGCCTCGTCATTGGTGAGCACGTGTTCCCCCACCCGTCACTCAAGGAGCACTGTGCTGTTAGACCTGTGGCAGGTCTGTCACATGTGGCCTGCCCCTGCCCTAGATGGAGGTCTCTACACCGCCACGCGGTACGAGTTTCGGAGCGTTCCTGACATCCGCCGGAGCCGCCACCCGCACTCTCTGAGAACAGAGGAGGCCCCTGTGCACTGGCTCAATGGTTAGGACGATGGGGTGGGAGGACAGGGCAGCTCTGGTCTCACTCCCGTAGGCAGCTTGGCGTCCCAGCGTTGAGTCCCCGGGTGATCCTGGCCACGAGGGAAGGGCTGGCAGCAGTCCCCACCGTGTCTGAGAAGCCACCTGAATGCCTCACGCCCACAGATGCTGAGTTTGTGTTCTCTGTGCTGGTGCGGGAGAGCGAGCCCAGTGCAGTGGGTGACGACGACAAGGTCCACTACTTCTTCACGGAGCGTGCCACTGCCGAGGATGGCTCCAGCAGCCACCGTGTGGCCCGAGTGGCCCGTGTGTGCAAGGTGGATGGGGCTGAGCTTGGGACACGGGATAGAGGCCGGACTGCTGACCTGGCTCCTGAGCCCTGACCCAAGCCCTTGCCTCCCCAGGGAGATCTGGGAGGCAGGAAGATCCTGCAGAAGAAGTGGACCTCCTTCCTGAAGGCCCGGCTCATCTGCCACATTCCCCAGTATGAGACGCTGCGCGGGGTGTGCAGTCTGGATGCTGACCACTCGGCCCGCACACGCTTCTATGCAGCCTTCACGCTGACCACACAGTGGTAAGCACAGGAACAGTGGGGAGGCCGGCAGCTGGGGGCAGCAGGGCCGCAAGCCACGGCCAGTGAAGATTCGAAAGGTCCCTCTGTGGGGATGCTGGGTGCAAAGTAAGAATGTCAGCCTCCTCAAGGTAGCCTAGGGCCGGAGGCCTCTGACCATGGGGATGGCCCCAGTGACAGCGGCTCCAGGCTGAGCACAGGTCAGGGCAGGCTCCACTCTGTGCAGCTCAGCCCCTTCCCTACGCCCCATTCCTAGGAAGACCCTGGAGGCCTCAGCCATCTGCCGCTATGACCTGGCTGAGGTGCAGGCTGTGTTCTCAGGACCCTACATGGAGTACCAGGATGGTGCCCGGCGCTGGGGCCGCTATGAGGGTCGGGTGCCTGAGCCCCGACCTGGCTCGGTGAGCACCCTGGCCCGGGGCCAGTGCTGGTGAGAGGGGTGGGCTGTGTGGTCAGGGAGGTGGCTGATGCAGGTCACCCCACACCCACCCCAGTGCATCACAGACTCGCTGCGCAGTCGAGGCTACAACTCGTCCCAAGACTTGCCGTCCCTAGTCCTGGACTTCGTGAAGTTGCACCCACTGATGGCTCGGCCCATGGTGCCCAGCCGCGGACGGCCCCTGCTGCTCAAGCGCAACGTCCACTACACACACCTCACGGGGACTCCAGTGAGCACTCCTGCCGGACCCACCTATGACCTGCTCTTTCTGGGCACAGGTGCTTCTGACCCAGATCCCTCATTCCCACTGGGCTGATCACAGATGCTCCCGAGCCCTATAGCTCCTGGCACGACTGCCCGGAGTCCCCTGCATCCACTGGTGGAATCCTTGTCCCTGGCCTCCTGGGTCCTGAGCTGTTCCCAGTGGGGCTCTTGTGAGGTGCGGAGAGTGATCCCGATCCTGTTGTTGGGGTCTGACCCTCTGCCCTTTCCATGCCAGCTGATGGCTGGATCCATAAGGCCGTAGTCCTGGGCTCTGGAGTGCACATTATTGAAGAGACACAAGTGTTCAGGCAACCCCAGTTGGTGGAGAATCTAGTCATCTCTCTGAGGCAGGTAGGCTGATTTCTGGCCCTCAGTACTCCTTTCCTGGAACAGGGAGGGAGTGGGGATGGCGGCCAGGGGCTTTATCTGCACCTGGGAGGGCAGCCTGTGGCCAACCAGCTGTCCTCTCTGGCTCCCAGCACAGCCTGTACGTGGGCGCCCCTAGTGGCGTCATCCAGCTACCACTGTCCACCTGCCGGCGCTACCGTTCCTGCTATGACTGCATCCTGGCCCGCGATCCCTTCTGTGGCTGGGACCCCAGCAGCCATTCCTGCGTGGCGGCCACCACCATAGCAGACAGGTCCGAGGTGGCACATAGGAGCAGGGAGGATTACCAGGGCCTGGGCAGAGGGAGGCTTGCTGTGGGAGTGAGGGGCTGGTTACTGCAACAGCCCATTTCCCTCATTCATGAGTCCTAACCTCCTGTCCGCAGAATGTCACTGATACAGGACATAGAGCGAGGAAATCGAGGCTGTGAGAGCAGCACGGGTGCAGGTGAGTGACTCACGGATGTGTGTGGACCTGGCCTCTGGCCACTTACTGTCACCTGCATGGGGTGCTGCTGGGTCAGCGGCTGCACCTGTGTGGTCTCAGTGAGGCGACCCAGGGCTGAGGCTACCACGGGAAGAGCTCAACAGATATTTACTTCCCAAACAGATTGTAAATGCACAACAGATTCGAGACGGGAAGTGTTGTGCTGAGGGTGTAGGTGTAGCTCAGCAGCAGACCCTTACCTCACAGGTGCAAGGGCTGTGAAGTGTCTTGTCTCTTCTAGAACTTACAGCTCAGCGTGTGCACAGTGAAACAGTCACACGAGTAATTAACTATAATGACTAATAATTACAGCCATGACAAGGTTCGGAGGGATAACAGTTACTTTCCTGAGGAAGATCAAGTAACTGCACTGATATTTGAATAAAAGTTAATAATCACAGCTAACGTGTGCTATTTCTAATGTGCCAGGCTCTGAGCTGAACACTCATATGTGTTCGGGTGCATTTATCCTCAGAGCACCCATGAGAGAGCTGTTATTATGTTATCCCCAAGCGTACAACTCGAAGCTACTCAGCTACTAAGCAGCAGGGTCACGATTCAAATGTGACCCCAAGTAGCCTGACTCGTCTGTGCTTTCGATCACTCCTCTGTGCTGTTACTAGTGAACCAAGCAGGAAGAGGGCATCTATAGGGGATGACAGGGAGGGAGCTGCAGGGTCGGATGCAAAGGTGACGAAGACAGAGGCGAGGGAGACTCCATCCTGATGTTGGTGGCTGAGTAGCTGCTGGTGCCGTCACAGTGCAGTGGTTCAAAGGACCTGGTGTAGTTTGGGAGCAGGGAGCAAGGCTTCAACCTTAGTGAGGCACCAGACCTCACGGGGAGAAGCTCAGCACGTTAGAGACAGGCCCTGAGCCGAGAGGTCTGTGCTGGGGATAGCAGGACTGAGTCCATGGAAGGGGTGGGAGTGAGGAGAAGAAGGCGAATGGGCTTCCCGGGAGTCAGCGTGACTGACTCACGAGGGAGCGTGCAAGTCCAGACTCAGCCACTGCCTGGAAGCAGACCTTGTGCTTGGCGCTGGCACTTAGTGTTGAAGGGTATGGCCTGCGTTTCTGGTGCCCTCCCTGAGACGGGCAGGTGCTGAGCTCTCCAACCTCTCCCCAGGGCCGCCGCCACCACTGAAGACCCGCTCTGTGCTCCGGGGTGACGACGTCCTCCTGCCCTGTGATCGGCCGTCCAACCTGGCCCAGGCCTTGTGGCTGCTCAATGGGAGCAAAAGCCTGAGCGATGGGCAGGACGGCTACCGTGTGGGCGTCGACGGGCTGCTGGTGACCGACACACAGCCCAAGCACAGCGGCACCTATGGCTGCTTTGCTGAGGAGAACGGCCTGCGAATCCTGCTGGCCGCCTACCGCCTCACGGTGCGGCCAGCCACTCCTGCCCCGGCCCCACAAGCCCCCGCTGCGAACGAGGCGCACCCGGCCCCAGACCCGAGGCTGCTCTACCTGCTTGCCATTGCTGCCCTCGGGGGCCTCTGCCTTGTCTTGGCCTTCTCCCTCCTCTACGTGGCTTGTCTGCGCGGAGGGGCAGGAGGGCGCCGACGGAAGTACTCGCTGGGGCGGGCTGGCCGGGCAGGGGGCTCTGCCGTGCAGCTGCAGACGGTCTCAGGCCAGTGTCCCGAGGAGGAAGACGAGGGCCAGGATGGGGACGGGGCTGCAGGCCTGGGAGGCAGCTGCCTGCAGACCATCCCTGGAGAGGCCCCAGCCCCGCCCCCGCCGCCGCCGCCGCCCCCGGCTGAACTGACCAATGGGCTGGCCGCCCTGCCCCGCCGGCTTCGAAGGGTGAATGGCAGCAGCTATGTGCTGCTGAGGCAGAGCAGCAACGGGGTGCCGGCAGGGCCTTGCTCCTTTGCCGAAGAGCTCAGCCGCATCCTGGAGAAGAGGAAGCACGCACAGCTGGTAGAGCAGCTGGACGAGAGCTCTGTGTGAGCCTGGCCTCCCCAGCAGATGCTCTGGGCCCCTGCCTCCCGGGCACACCCAGCCCTCCACACCCTCGCTCCATGCCCTTCTCCCGACTCCTTGATTCTCAGTAGGGCTAGCCAGTTAGGCCAGCCAAAGCCCCTCCTCAGTCTCCAAGACCCACCTGTGAGCAGCCCAGGCCCACCGGTGCTCCTCAGAGGTAGGTGCTCCCGGGGCCAGCTCCTGCAGACCCTGACCCAGTTCCTGTTCCCTTAACCTACTGCTTTGCAGGCCTCCATCCTCCTGTCCTGTTGTCTGCCCAACCTTTCCTCTTCCTCCCAGGTAGGGCTCTGCAGGTCCAGATGGCCGCAGTGTTACCACCCTCTGCATGTCCCTGTGTGCTGGATACTCCTGAAGCCACACAAAACCTCTGCCAGCCACTCGGCCCTGCGTACATTCACACGTGCACATGGAAGAATGTGTCAGCTGGGCTGCCAGGCCCCACTCCCATGTTCTCCCTGTGCATTCTTGTGCTTCATCCTTCGGGATTTGGGGTACCCTCCTGGTTGTCACATCCCTTTCCCAGTCCCAGGTGGTGACCCCATTGGCAAGGGCTTGGCCACAGGCCAGCCTGGGAGGTAAGGTGGCATCAATCTCCTTCTCGTGCAGCCCTTGCGAGTCCTCTTACCCATTCCCTCGGTCACACAGAAGCGTGACAGGCACCTCCGGGCATGTCCCTTCCCTGGGCACCTGGGCTGCACGTGCTAACACTTCTACCCACGTGCACCTTCTGAGCCTCCCTTGCTGCCAGACTTGTGTCTGTTGGGTTAGGTCCATGGACATTTCAAAGGGAGATTCCGCCTCCTTTAGCTGACCTTGGAGACCCTTCCCTGGACGGGTGACCAACACTGCACTCATTGAGCCAGCCTCCCTTCTGGGGACCAAGCATTTGCTTCCCCTAGACCAAAGCAGGGGAAAGAACTGTCTCACCTGGCATACAAAGCCCATTCTTGGAACTATGCAAAGGGCAGAGGCTAGGAATTTGGATGCTTGGCTCCCACTCCTGTCCTACCTCACCGGGGCACTTTTAAGGTCCAGGGGCCTCTGAAGTCTCCAGGCCCATATGGTACAATCAATCCAGATTGAGCCCATTCCCTTTGGGTGAGGATGACTGTTATTTTTGTAGCTGAGAACATGGAATCCCACGAGTTTTTACTGTCCCTCACCCAACCTCTCCCACCTCCAGCCCACAATGAATGTATTTATTGTGAGAATGGCTGTATTGGAGGAATGCCCTCACTCGGCCCCAGGTGGGTGGAACAGGCATGTGACAGTGGGGAGCCTGGGCTCAGCTCCTCCCAATGTTGGTTAATAAATGCCCTTTAGCCAAAGCTGTGTAGTCTGCTTGGTCCAAGTGGCCTCTCCTGATCACCAGAGCCGGTGCTGCAGACTTCTGCATCAAGTTGGCACTGACCTCCATAAAACTTACAGAGCAAACTGGCAACCTCGGCTTCCATCCTGGCTGACACAGCCCATCCTCTTAAGGCTCATGTTACTGATCACGGTAATAAGAAAATTACACTTCAAGACTCCACACAAGGGTCCCTAGGCATTTTACTTCCTGTTTCTCTCCCTCAGTCCCCTGCCTTGAGATGGCCTTCTCTGTGTTGCCCAGCTTGCTGAGAAATTGGGACAAGTGTATCTGTGCCACCATGCCTGGCTCCCTGCCTTTTAACGACGAGACCTAGAAGATACTCACCTATCAGCCCTCCTCCTGTTCCCTAAGCAGCTTACCAACACCTCCCACCCTTGGGTCCGGTGGGAGACATGGGATTCATTTCTACACAAAGGGGGTCTTAGAAGTGGGGATGCAGCTAGGACCAGGTAAAGCTTGTTACCAGGGACCCTGTCTGAGAATCATTCCCTTGGAGTCAGGCGTAGAGATGTCACACTGCTTTGGCACTAACCACTCTGAAGGCTCACATGCTGTTTCTGGTTTACAATGGAAAATGGGCTTATGCTTAAAATGTGCACACATTTGGAAGAGCTCATGTGTAACTTTGCAAAATTTAATGACATCAGTTTTCAGATCTGTACACAAACACATGTAGGTGCCTTGCCCAACGCCAGGTCACAGCAGAGAGCACTCTCTAGATCAATGGCCGTGGAAACAGAACATCAGGGATTCTTCAGAAGCCAGCCTTGGGACTCCCCGTGTTTTGAAATCAGCATTATCAATTTTATTTTGAAACTGTCTATGTAGTTCAGGCTGGCCTTGAGCTCACAGGGATCCTCCTGCCACAGCTTCCCAAGTGCTGCAATTATAGGTACGTACATGCCACCACACACAGCTTCAATTTGGATTTTAGAAAGCAAAAACCCTGTATAATAGCTCATCTCAGGTTTCAGCAATACCCACTAATTAGACTCAAGGAACACGAAAGGTCACAGGCCTTTGAAGTTGGCACGGGAAATCAGACAGACAGCTCTTTATCCCAAGCAAGACCTCTGCGGTCAAGCCACTATGGGCGGGGCGGGGCCGCTCTTTGCTTGAGCTTGGAATCCCCGAAGAGGAAGAAACACTTCTATTGACCAACACTCCAGCTTGGGTTGGAGTGGGTGGGGCAATTCACTGTGCTTGCCCCGGGGCTGGGGCTGGGGCAGGGTCCGGGAGCTCCCGGGGGCGCAGCCCTCGGAACATCGTTGGTTTGTTGGTGAAGGGGTGCCACTGGCCCTGGATGCTAGGGTTGTCCGTGTGGAAGGGCTTGCGGATGCGAATCACGTCCAAGCCTGACTGGTCTGCCAGCTTCTGCACCAGCGTGGCGATCTCCTCAACCGACATGCAGTGGATGCTCTCCTCCCGCGCCGCCCCGTTAACTGGAAAAGGGAGGCGGGAGAGGGCGGAAGGGGCGGCCGGTGTCGGGCGGAGGGGGGGGGGGCAGCGCGCCTCGCCCGCGTCCCGCCCCCGGCCCCACTCACGGTATTCGGCCACCACTCTGGGCACGCAGCACGGTCGCGGGTTCACGTATACTACGACCCCTGGGTTGCGACGGGCGAAGTCGACCACCTCCCGTTCCACGAACTCCCTGAGGGAGCCACGAAGAGCGAGCTCAAGGACTCCTGCCGGGGCAACCTCGGCCGGGCGGCGGCGTCCCCGACACCCCGGCCCCAGCGCCCCCTCGGGCTCACCTAGCGCCGCGGGACGAGGGCGCGTCGCGGCTGAGACTGAAGCTGAGGCGCTGCAGCTGCCGCACGTACCGGCCCAGCCCGTTGTGCAGGACGCTGGCCAGGAAGCGGCTCGCAGTGCCCCGCGCAGTCATGGCGGCGGCTCCCAGAGTGCAGCACGCGGGGGGGGGGGACGGGACTAAACCTGGGCTTCCGGTTCCGGAGGGCGCCGCCACCGGAGAGTTTTGCTTCCGAGGTCACTGCGAGCGGCAAGTTGGGGCGACCCACGTTGCGGCCGAAGGGACCGGGGCCCGGGTGGTGACGCCGGCGCGCGGGCAGGAGCGGCTCCGCCCTTGGTAGTGAGAGGATGCAGAGGGCTGTAGAGAGGAGGACTGCGGGGAGAGCCCGTGGGGGGCAGGAGCGGTGAGGAAATGACCGGAGCACCGTGGTGGAGCGGAGGGGCTGTGAAGGACTCTGATGATGGGGGATCGGCCCCTTACAGGGCGACGGAAGCGTGAAGCGGTCGTGTCGATGGGCAGAGATGTGAAGTAGCAATATAGAGGGGCCGAGGAGGATTCCAGGGTGTTTACGAAGTAGAAGTTCGGTTTGGGGTTTTTTGATTTTGTCTCGAGTCGAGGTAGTTCAGATTGGCCTTGAACTCACGATCCTCCTGCCTCGGCCTCCCAAGTGGTGAGATCATAGGCGTGCTCCACCTCTTGCCCCGCAGAAATAGAAGTTTAAGCTCTGTGGAGTGCTATGTGAAGGGTTTTTAGGGTCTGGCTTAGTAAAGACGCTCAAACCAAACGAGGTGACTTCTGGCTCCACTAGGAATGTGGGTCCTTCTCCGAGGTGCGTACCCCCTCCGGGCCTTGCTGCCCCTGCGTGGGGAGTGGATGGGCCGCAGGGGCCTTCCCCGAAGCTTGGTCCCAGGCCCTCCTCGAAGACGATACAGGAAGGAGGCTCTCCCGGCTTTGGAGGTGTCAGTGTTGCCTGTAACTACAACCGAAATTCGCCAGTATCTGCGGACGCGTGGTATCCCCTTTCAGGATGGCCACAGCTGCCTTCGAGCCCCCAGCCCCTTTGAGGAGTCCTCACAGGTCAAGGATCAGACTAGAGCTACCACTTCCTTCAGCCTTTTCATTGACAAGACCACGGGCCGCTTTCTCTGCATGACCAGCCTAGCAGAGGGGAGCTGGGAAGACTTCCAGGCCAGTGTGGAGGGGCGAATGGATGGGGTGAAACAGGGGGTCTTGCTTAGTGAGGCCCCAGAAACTGAGAACAGTGAGGAGGTCCGGAGGATTTGGGACCGAGCAGTACCTCTCTGGGAGCTGCCTGACTCAGAGGAGGCCCAACTGGCTCGAGTGATGTTTGGTCTTACCAAAGTGACAGATGACACACTGAGGCGCTTCCGCGTGCAGTATCTGCGGCCTGCTCGAAGCCTGGTCTTCCCTTGGTTCTCTCAGGGCTCAGGATTACGAGGCCTAAAGCTGCTAGGGGCTGAAGGCCATGGGGATGGAGTGCACTACATGGAGACCACCATTCCCCGCCCTGGTGCCTACCACAACCTATTTGGATTACCACTGATCAGCCGTCGGGATGTTGAGGTGGTCTTGACGAGTCGGGAGCTGGACAGCTTGGCCTTGAGCCAGGCCACGGGGCTTCCCACTCTTGCCCTGCCCCGAGGAACCCTCTCTTTACCCCCTGCTTTACTCCCATACCTCGAACAGTTCCGCCGAATTATATTATGGCTAGGGGATGACCTTCGGTCTTGGGAAGCTGCCAAGTTGTTTGCCCGAAAACTGAACCCAAAACGATGCTCCTTGGTGCGCCCTGGAGACCAACAACCCCGTCCCCTGGAGGCTCTGAACCGAGGTTTAAATCTCTCTCGTATTCTCCGTACTGCCCTGCCTGCCTGGCACAAGTCAATTGTGTCTTTCCGGCAGCTTCGGGAGGAGGTGCTAGGAGAACTGACAGATGTGGAGCAAGCAGCTGGCATCCGCTGGAGCCGCTTCCCAGACCTCAATCGTCTCTTGAAGGGGCATCGGAAAGGCGAGCTGACAGTCTTTACAGGTGACCCCATGGGAAACCACTGCTTGGGATAAAGGGGCGGAAGGTCAGGGGACAAAAGCATGTGAGTTTGGGCCACTGAAAATGGCTCCCAACTGAAGCCCTGCCAGCGTCGAGGTTCAAGGGTTAGACTTTCCTCCTCACTCAGGGCTGTGTTCCTCTCCCCTGCAGGGCCGACAGGCAGTGGGAAGACAACCTTTATCAGTGAGTATGCCCTGGATTTGTGTACCCAGGGGGTGAACACACTGTGGGGGAGCTTTGAGATCAGCAATGTGAGACTGGCCCGGGTTATGCTGACCCAGTTTGCTGTGGGGCGGCTAGAAGAGCAACTGGATAAATACGATGAGTGGGCCGACCGCTTTGAGGACCTTCCCCTCTATTTCATGACTTTCCACGGGCAGCAGAGCATCAGGTGAGATCCTCAGAGGCCAGCTGCTTTCCTTTCCCACACAGATCCAGCACTTTGCACATTTGGTTCCCTTTCGAGTCCCAGTGGGAACTCCTTCCAGGTCTCCTTAGATGGCCTTGGGGTTTTCAAAGAATGAGAGGGCAGAAGATTGGGCAGCCAGCAGAGTGTTCAAGATGTTAACTCTTATGTGGTGTCTGGAGGTTGCTTGTAATTTGACTCTTGAATTCATTGCCTCTTCTTTACAGGTCTGTAATAGACACGATGCAACATGCAGTCTACGTCTATGACGTCTGTCATGTGGTCATTGACAACTTGCAGTTCATGATGGGTCATGAGCAGCTCTCCACAGACAGGTGACCTATCTTCTCAGACAGCATCTAGGCACACACGTTGTACTCGAATATTTTCTGAGAGGAGGGATATGGCTGCAGGAAGTGTGGACGGGGGCCACCTGAGAGAGCGTCCTGGGGTGGTGGGAGGTGTAGGGTGGGGTTGGGGTGGACTGGGGGAGGTGTGAGTGAGTCAAGAGTGTGGGTGTGTTCTTACCCCTGACATCCAGTAACCTCTTTGTGTTGCTGGGCTGGGGACAGGATTGCAGCTCAAGACTACATCGTTGGGGCCTTTCGGAAGTTTGCAACAGAAAATAACTGCCATGTGACACTGGTCATTCACCCTCGAAAAGAGGATGATGACAAGGAACTGCAGACAGCATCCATTTTTGGCTCAGCTAAAGTGAGTAGGTTTCAAGAGAGCTCAAGCTCTTGAGAGAGAGGGGTCAGCCATCCATCAGCCTCAGATCTTGACTGTCCTGGAGGCAGTGCCTCTGGACCATTGCATGAGGAGGACGTGCACCAAGAATCCAGGGCCTCTGGAAGTGGTTAGTTCTTTGCCTTCCGGGAGCTCACATCCTCTGGGAGGATAACAGTGATTGCAGCTCACTGTGATAGGGTATGATAGGCAGTACAGGTGTTTGGGCAGCCAAGAGAAAATAGGCAGAGTCAGCCTGGGCCATCTGGAGAGACTTCCCAGAGGAAGGGTCACACAGACTGGTCTGGGATTTGGCGGACAGTAGGTAGTCAATGGAAAGGCCTTCCGGGGAGCAGGGCCACCCAGTCCTAAAGCTTGCAGTGGTACACTGGGTGCCCATTGTCTGCCAGGCAGGAGCTGAGCACAGGGAATTCAGGGCAAGGAGCACAAATTATGTGCCACACTGGAAATAAGAAAATAACCCAGAAGTAAAAAAGTGGTAGCACTTTCTTTAGGGCATCAAGAATGGCCTGATGAAGTGTGACATTTAGACTGAAGCCTGGAGGCCAGAAGAGGCTGGGCTGAGGACGGTGGCCTGCAGTAGAGGAGAGGTGCTGCAAGCAGAGGGAGCAGCATGGGCAAAGCCTGGGGCGGAGACACTCGTCCATTGTCCCGGAACTGGAAACTCGACTGGCTGGCCTGCTGGTCAGTGTCCAGAGAGTTCCCCATTCTTGCCACTCTTGCTTCCTGACCATCAGCCTTCGTCTGCTTTGCGCATATGTCTTTTTATTCCTACCTTCCTCCTGTGCCCCTCATCCCCTAGGCAAGCCAAGAAGCGGACAACATCCTGATCCTGCAGGACAGGAAGCTGGTAACTGGGCCAGGGAAGCGGTATCTGCAGGTGTCCAAGAACCGCTTTGATGGAGACGTGGGTGTCTTCCCACTTGAGTTCAACAAGAGCTCCCTCACCTTCTCCATTCCACCAAAGAGCAAGACCCGGCTCAAGAAGATCAAGGATGACGGTGGACTAGTGGTCAAGAAGCCCTCTTCTGGCAAAAAGGGGGGTGTGCCCCAGAACTGTGAGACTTGCCCAGGCCAGGACCCCATTCCCTTGCAGCCAGACACCTCTAAGCCTACAGGGTGAAGCAGTCTGTACAGCAGATGGCTGAAATGAGCCTCACGGGACAGGCCAGACCATGTCTTTTTCTCGGCCCTCTGCTAGGGCTTCTCTGCTATAATTCTAAGCTGTGGCTCCTTCTCAGCTTAGGGCAGGGCACCTTAGAAAACTCAGCAGCTATTTGAGGCCTTACGATGTGACAGACTTTGTTTAGGGTCCTTTACATGCAGCACTGAAATGATGCATAAGGTCTCTGTTTCCACAGAACCTGCATTGTGGTAGAAGAGATGAGCAGTGAACAAATAAAACAGTGACAGAGCTATAAAGAAAACAGAAATGTGACAGAATGCTCATGGGCTACTCCAAGTGGCCTAAAACGATGTCTCAGCTGAGGGGATGTGAGCTGGAGCCTTAGGGAACTAGAAGGGCGAGGTCGTGCGGGTGTCTGGAGAAGGAGGTGCAGGCAGAGAAGCCCTAAGCTGGGGGTGAGCTGAGGCCCCTGAGCCCGGAGTGGGACGTTTGACTTCTGCTTAACTCCAGCCATTAGGCTTTGAGAGCCAAAGGGTGATGTGATGGGTGTCGGGCACCTCTGCTGCCCACTACAGAGCTGGGCATAGGAGGTGGCACCTGCTAGAATGGGATCCTGAGTGCTTAGCCCTGTAACGGGGGGTTGCAGAGCCATGGAAGAGGCTAGAATCCTGCCCCTGGGTGCTGGTTCCATTGTGTGCTGCCTCAGATGGGCAGCTAGAGGTAGGAACTTGAAGAGCCTTTTGTAGTTTTCATGAAAAATAATTTTTCCCATTACTTTTGTTTGTGTATTTTTCCTGTATGTCCACCAGGTGTCTCCCTAGTCTGTAGCTGTACGGGGCGGGGCGGGGGCGGTGCTGTGGCTCCTGAGGAAGCCAGGACCTTGAAAAGCCTTCACTTCCCACCTCCTCTTGCACTTCTTGGCCGAGGGCAGATGGGGTTGTGGCGTCCATAGAGCTCTCCCGGGGAATCACTGGCGGAGGTGTGGGTCGCTGGGCCACATGCCCGGGCCTGCCTGACCAGCTGCTCCTCTTCCCTCTGGCATGAGCCACTTCTCTTAATGTGGACTCAAGACTTGGCATATTCTTATTTCTGCTCCCCAGACATTTCCCTCCTGCTGTGCCCTCTTCCGTGTTTGTCTCCCTTACTGACCTGGGGATTTGTTAAAAATGCAGAACCCAGGTCCTGCCCTTCCCTGCCCCCTCAATCCTGCGCACACATTTCTAGTTCTGGAGTTCAAGGGGGTACAGGGATTTCCATTTTAAGTCCTGGGGGAAGTTGAAATAGGTCCACAGACCCTTTCACAAATATCCCTGCATGATGACACTCACCTAGCTTCCTCTGATATCTTAAAAGTCCCAGTTTGCCTTGAGATTGCCTGAAAAAAAGTGGTGAGCAGCCATGGTGTTCTGAAGTTCTTGGGGAAAGCCTTTGTACCAGCTGGGGGAAGGTTTTCTGCTTTCCGGAAACAGACCCTGCCTTGCCATCAGCCCAAGAGGGGCTTCAGAGACCCTACTGAAGGGTCTGGGAGAGGCGTGGCTGAGTATCTCCTGAACAGGCCTTGGTGCAGAGCTGTGCTCTGGAGAGGGGAAGCCTGGGGGGGGCGATAGTTCCTGGGGCCTGCGTTCGTGGGGGTCTCTCCCAGGCTGGCTGGAGCCAGGCGTCCATAGCCCTGCAGTAATCCCAGCCACGCTGGTCTAGGCCTCATCCAGGGACTAATGCTGAACGTCAGCTGGGCCTTCCGGACGTACAATGCCAGATCAGTCCTACCTGTGAGTACCTGGATTCCACATTCCAGCCTTCCTAGAATGTCTGACTCGTTCTCAAGTCCTTTAGGGCTTTCCAACCGGGCACTGCGGGCTCTGTGAACAGGTGCTGGAGAGACTCACAACTGCCCGTTTGTTTTGCCCCACCCTCTGAGCAGACAGCCCACCCAGCACAGACCTGAATGATGAGGGAGAAGGAAGCGAACACCCCCGACCTCACCCCTACGCAAACACTCTGCTCCAGACCCGCCTCAAACGGAACGCCCCGCACCCAGCCTAGCGCTGAGTGCGTGGAGCCTGAGGGTGTGGGTGGGTGTCCTAGATCCTGCTTAAGTTCCTGGGACCAGTCTTTGTGCTCAACCAAGGTGGGTGAGGCAAACTACCCGGGGTAGGACTGGTAATCTGTGTGTTCACTTGGTTAAGAATCCCAGAGAGCTCAGGAAGGGCCTGGCCAAGCGCGGTACAATTGGATCTGCTGCCCTGTCCTCAACCACGGTGGAGGGCTTGAGGGGAGTTAAACTCCCTAGAGTCTGCAGCGCTGTGCCTCCCCACAAGGGCCTTGAGGCTTCGAGGGTAGGAGGGAAGGAGCCCTCGGTGCCTCCCTGCACAGGCCGACTTCCTGTTTGAGCCTGTGGGTGGGACTTTATGAGTCTAGCCTTGGTCTGTGGGGGGCCAGGACTGGCATTGGCTGCCCTAGGCAAAAGGCAGTGCTGGCTACTTGGGCAGCCCCAAATCCACCTGTGTATTTGGGTGCGCGGTGTTTTGGTGAAGTCTAAGCCTCCTTTGTCCACTTCTCTGGGGTTTTCTCTGAGTTTAGAGAGCGGCACCCGCTGGGCGCCCTACAGAACAGGGCAGGGCAGGGGGTCAGGGCCCAGCCCTGTGGCCCCTTAGGGCAGCCAGGTAGCTTAGCTCGAGGTCACGTGATACCCTCTTCTTCCCCAGGTCCTTTGCCTACTGTCGGTAAGCTGTGAAGTCTCAAGCCCGCGGGGCAGTCTCTGGTCGCGGTCAAGTTACTTTTGAGCTGGGTCCCGGGTCGGCTGCTGGGGGGTGCTGGGCAGACCACTCCCCTCCCCGGGTGGGGGGCGCGGCCTCAGTTGCTCCGCCCCTCCGTGGGCGCCAGGACCGCGGAGCCGGGAGCTCGGAGCCCGAAGCCCGGAGTGGGCTGGGGGCCGCGGTCCTCTAGGCGCGGGCCCTCTGGAGCCGGAGCCTGGCCCGAGTTGGAGTGGCACAGCGGTGGCGCTGGGTGAGTGGCGGGGCGGCAGGGGCGCAGGAACTCCCGGCTCCCATCGAATTCTGCGCCTGGGAAGCGAGGGGTTGGAGCGAGAAGGGGTCCCAGAGGGCACAGGCAAAGTCTGAAGAGCGAAGCGACAGAGAAACTCGGATCAGCGGACCGACAGGCGTGCGCGCACGTACCCAAGCGCGCACTTGGGGCACAGACACGTGCACTCGGAAGGGACGCGCCCGGTAGGGTACCCCGTGGTCCCAGGGCAGCGCCGGCGGCAGGGCCCAGGCTGGGCCGTTTGGGCCGGAGTGGGGGAAAGGGACCGCGAGCGGGAACAGGCCGGTGGGACGTGTCCAGAGGTTTCTGCTTCCCCGCCGCCCAGTTGCAGGTGAAGCCTGAAGCGTCCAGAGGCACCACACACGTGATTGCTCTGCAGACCCCACCAGGGCAGGGGATCAGGCTGAGCAAGCTTGCGGGGTCCTCTCTCGGCCTGGAATGGTGATAGCCTTCTCCCCAGAAAGGAAGAACCACGTCCCTTGGAGCCGGATGGCACGGGGGACCAGGATACTTGGGCTGGGGTGGCGCTCCCTGAGCTCCTCGCTTTCCTGCTTCCGCGCACGTTCCTGGAGTCTGCATCCCTGAAGCATTGGGGAGGGGGGCTCTCGGCGGCAGTGGACAATTGCCCCGTCATACTACTCTTATCTCAGGGTAAGCCCGTGCAAGAGCTGCTGCCCCCCTCCAGAATGCCTGAAAGTACAAACCCCCCAATATCCGAAGGGGCTGAACCCTGTTCAGGTAGTAGGACGAGCCCCTCCCCCAGGGAACGAGGGAGGGGCTGCAGCCAAGGCCTCCCGCCCCGCCCCGCCCCCACGCCTGCACACTGGAGCCCAGCTGCTGCCTGCGCTTCTGGGCCGGCTGCCAGAGAGGGGAGGTGGCCCTTGGTGCCCTGGAGCAGGGATCAGGGCCAGGCCCAAGGAAGGGTCTCTCCTGGAGAGGGGGACAGTCGGCTTTGGGGCGGCTGAGGATCTGGAGTGCGCCTAAGGGTGGCTGGGCTGTGTTTTCACTTTCCAGGGAAAAAGAAAGAAAAACAACCCTTTCCATAGAGCTAAAAATAGAGCACAGAGCCGGCCAGGCGGTGGCTTGGGGGGACGCGCCTTCTTGGGGCTGAGCCTGGCGCTGGCAGGCCTGGTCTGGGGGGGGGGGGGGGGCTGGCCGTCGAGGGGGACAGTTGCGGAGACCCGTCGGCGGGGCGTCTGTGTGGCCACGTGAAGCGGCGTGTGGGAAGTTGTCAGTACGGGAAGATGGGCCGGAGAAGTGAGTCTCAGCCCAGGACTGGACGCGACGTGCGCGGCCGCCCTGCAGGCGTGCGGCCCCGGAGATGGCGCGGGGCCACGTGACGCCGGAGCGTGGGGCTGTGGCCTCCGACACAGGGTGGAAACGGGCACGTGGGTGTTAAGATTGTGCTGCTCTGGGGAGGTTGGGTCTGCAACCCCGAAACACCGTGAGGCGCTCTGCCCTGCGGCCCTCTAGGCCCGGACGGTCGTGCGGACGCTCCGTCCAGTGACGGGGGCCGACGCACCCTCCCGGCAGTGACCCCCCCCCTCCTGGCCCGCCCCCGTGGCGGGAAGAGGGCTGTGGCCTTGAGGGGTGGCCACGGCGTCCAAACTGGCCGCCAGGGGGCGCCGCCTGTGCGGGCGGGGGCGGCCCGGGTCTCGGCCCGGAGGTGCGGGCGCGGGGCGCTGGCAGCCTCGGACACGGGAGGGGGACTCCGCCCAGGCGCACAGAGGCGGGGCGCGCGCCCGGCTCTTTGTGCGGGAACAATGACCGGCTGCCGCTGGCCCCGGGGCCAGGCCGAGATGGGGGAATCCGCCCGCCGGCCCCCGCCGGACGCATCACCACGAGGCCTCGCCGGGGCAGACCCCGCGCATCGTGCCGGCCCCTGCGCGCGCCCTGGCGGACACGCGTGACGTGGGCGCCTGCGCGCCTCCGCGCCCCAGGCGGGTAGCCTCTCGGACCCCTCCTCGCCCCTCCCTTCCCCTCCCCTCCCCGCCCACTGGCTCGGGCGGGGCGGGCCGGACCGCTGAGAGGGGCCGCGCAGGCCGAGCGCCGGGGGCGGCCGGGCTGAGCATGGAGCAGCGCGGCGGAGGTGAGGGGCCGGGCCGGGGCGCCCCGACCTGCGGCGCAGCCTGGGGGCGGCATTCCACAGCCCCTCACTTCCAAGGAGGGGGCTCCTCGGGGCGGGCTGGGGACTCCCGGCTCCCGATCGCGGAGGGGGAACCGGTGATCGTAGGACTGGTCCTTGGAGTTTGGGAAAGGGAGACTTTGCAACTCTCCGCCCCGAAGCCGAGCTCTGTGCGAGCCGGGCCCTGGATCGGAGGCTGCTGTGGCCCAGGCTGAGCCTTCCCCAGGCCCCCAGTTCTCAAGGGAGTGAGGTCTCCGCGCCAGCTAGGGGGAACGAGGGGTTCCTTGTTCCCACAGCCACGACGCGTTTCTCAAAATGGAGCCTCGCTTGCCCCTCCTCCTCCAGACCCGGAGAGGGAGCCGCCGGCTGGCGGGGCCGACTTTGCAGGCCTGACTCGGCCCAGCTGGGAAAGCCCTCTGGTTCCATGGGCCGTGGCCGCGTGGGTTTGTGACCCGGTCGCTGGGTCTGCCCGTCTCCTCGCGCCTGCGTGGGCCGCCAGGCCTCTCGTACTCTTTGTCTCTGTTTTTCCCTGCCGTACTCTGTGCCCCCTCGGGTGGGGAGGGCACACAGAAAGGTAGCCCTTTCTTTGCCCAGCGTTCTCCCTGGGACCCGGAATGAGGGAGACGCGGATCCGCCTTGCTCAGTCAGGGCTGCCCTTGTAGAGTGGTCCCAGTTCCCAGTCCACCTGAGAAGCCTGTGTTTTGTTCTGTACCTGGCTGACCTCCTGCACCCCACCCCAGCTCCCTCAGTCTACTCCTTCGTTCACCGGGCCTGACCTCCTGAGGGTGGGTGGACTTAGTGCAAGGAAGATAGGGAACAACACGTCAACCCACCACCCAGCCTGTGAAACCAGGGCTCCCCTAACTCGCTGACCCGGCCTGCCACCCAGGCCCCAGGCTTCCACATACCTTCACACCGGCACAGACTCCTCATACAAGTGCACCTTCACCGTTCTGCTATCACAGGCACACCTACAGCTCACACACAGACTCACGGTGTGCATGGCGTTCTGATAACAGGTGTGTGACATTTTCTTATAGTCACATCCGTACAGCACAGTCCACCTGGAGCTGTCCTCTGCTGACAGTGACTTCTGTGTACATACAGTCTTGTAAGATATACAAATGTATTGATGTAGTTGTCCAAACATAGGCCACATACGCTCGCACACACTTTTACATATGCTCATTTAGGGTTGTTTTTGTTTTTTGCAGTGCTGGAAATTGGACCCAGGCCCTTGTGTGTGCTAGACAAGTGCTGCACCACTGAACTATGTCCCCACTTCTCACCTGCAGGCATTTTCACATGCACAATAAGTAAACACACACTCCTACTCCCATGAAATTTTCTCTCCACCTCTTGGCTCCTGCTCTGCATGATGACTTCAGCAGATGCCTGAGCTCTGGTCCTGGTGGCCTCGGGACTGGGAGGGAGTTCCGGTGGAGGCTTGCTGTCCCCTCAGGAGGGAGTGGGCCTGCGACAAAGCAAGTGAGGTCTGGAGCCGCCACCAGAGGTGGTGGAGGACTTCCTTCTGGCCCCCGCCCCCCCGGGAAGTCAGTCTGGAGAACAGTGAGTCTGGCAGTGGGGCACGGCCTGGCTGCCAGGGATGGTGAGGGTACGACGTGTGGCAAACCTGTGGCATGCATGCTGCCACGTGCAGAGCCCTCTGTAATGATGTCACGAGTTGTGTGAATTGTTTTTCTAAACGAGCACCTCAGTATTCAGGTTTAATTGCAGTGTTGGCACTTCGAAATAAATAAGTGGGTTTTGGGTTGCAGTTTGGGCACTCGGTCTCTAAAAGGTTCACTGTCACTAGGGTAGTCGTCTTGGAAACAAGCATGAGCCTGTATCCATCCCTGGGAGGCAGGAGACCCCAGAGGGCACCTGTGGGCTTCCTGTTTGGCAGGCTCCACCCTTGCCACCTCTCTGTCTGGGAGAAACTGAGGCCCAGCAGGGAGAGGCTGGGCACTGCCTGGCCTTGGCTCCTTGTTCCAGTTACCATCTGAGTTGCTGATTGCATCCCAGACACTGCATCTGCCCAGGTTCCCCTGTAGTGAGGCCACCTGGCCCAGGAGAGCAGTGACAGGTGCTTGGCATTGGTAGAGAAGGCTTCTTGGGCCTGTGTCTCCGTGCCCACGTGCCCCCCATGACTGCCAGCCTCCCACCCCACTGGTCTCTGCTGGTAGGATCAGTCCTCAGCTGTGTTCAGACCAGAGTCAATGAGTGGCTGGGGATGAGAGAGTTGAGGTCCGAGCCAGGGCTTGTATGGGCCTTGGGGAAAGCTGGAGCTTGTTACTGATGTGTAGGGGGATTGTGGCTTGACACCACTGCCCTGTTCACAGGTTGCCCTGCAGGCCCCCAGCCTGGCCTGAGCCTCTGCCGCCATGGCCATTGTGCACACTGTACCAGTGCCACTGGAGCCCACTCCTGAGGCTGCCACTGCCCCGAGAGTCCCAGCCATGGGCAGTGTGAGCAGTCTCATCTCTGGCCGGCCCTGCCCCGGGGGGCTGGCTCCTCCCCGCCACCATGGCCCATCGGGGCCCACCTTCTTCCGCCAGCAGGATGGGCTGCTCCGGGGTACCTATGAGGCACAGGAGCCTCTCTGCCCAGCTGTGCCACCCAGGAAGGTGGGCCCCGGTCCCAGCTTCAGCTACATCAACGAGGACTTCCAGACAGAGTCACCCTCCAGCCCTAGCAGTGACGTTGAGGATGCCCGCGAGCAGCGGGCGCGAAATGCGCACCTCCGGGGCCCCCCACCAAAGCTCATCCCCGTCTCTGGAAAGCTGGAGAAGGTAAGGACCAGCCTCTCGGGGCCTGGGCAGACTCAGAAGCCTCCTGGGGAAGCTGGACTTCAGCAGGCCATTTAGGAGAAAGAACCCACAGCCCGGTTCTGATCCCATCTCTACCTCCTTCTGGCTGTGTGACCGCAGCGGTCACTTAACCTAGCTGAGCCCCATTTTCTGTATCTGTGCATTTTCAAGGTAGTAGGCCAGCTTGTGCTAGAGGCCACTGTGAGAAGCAAATCAAATGACGCTAACCATCCACAAGTACCCGTAAATATTAGTTGCTTGAATTACTGCTGTGTGAGCCCTGTGAGTTGGCTTCGGGCAGGATTCGTGCAGCGCCTCCGTGCCATCCTCTGTGGTGTGGAGCCAGTGGCGATGCACTGTTTTGCTAGTACGGCTCGTGTGATGACTAGACACGGACCTTCTGAATCACGTGACGTAGCTGACACGCAGAGGTCCCCTGCCAGGGCCCGCAGGTGTTGCTGACTTGGGAGTTGGGGATGCCAGGAGGGTGGGGAGTGGGGCACAGGCTGGAGGATGGGCACACGCTTCCTCAGTGTCCACGGCGCCTCGTTGCAGAACATGGAGAAAGTCCTGATCCGCCCGACGGCCTTCAAGCCTGTGCTGCCCAGGTGTCGAGGGGCCCCCTCCCTCCCGAGCTTCCTGGGTCCTCGGGCCACTGGGCTCTCTGGGAGCCAGGGCAGCCTGACGCAGCTGTTTGCGGGCGCTGGCTCCTCCTCCTCCTCCTCCTCCTCCTCCTCCTCCTCCTCCTCTTCGGCTGCTGACAAACCCCTGGCACTGAGTGGCTGGGGCAGCGGCTGCCCATCTGGGACACTGTCTGACTCCGGTCGAAATTCCCTGTCCAGCCTGCCCACCTACAGCACCGGGGGTGCTGACCCACCCACCAGCTCTCCAGGGGGACACCTACCCTCCCACGGCCCTGGGCGGGGGGCAGTGCCAGGGCTGGCCCGAGGGGCCCCCACCGAGCCCTCCCACTCAGACAGTGGCCGGTCCTCCTCCAGCAAGAGCACGGGCTCCATGGGGGGCCGCATGGCGGGGGGACCCGTAGGCAGGGGTCCCCAGGCCTCCCCGGACAGCGGCTCCTGTGGGGACCGCTCACCCCCACCCCCACCCTCCGACGAGGCCCTGCTGCACTGCGTCCTGGAAGGGAAGCTCCGCGCCCGGGAGGCTGAGCTGCAGCAGCTGCGGGACAGCCTGGAGGAGAGTGAGGCCACCGAGTGCCAGGTGTGGTCATGGCGCTGCCAGGGGTCACGTCGCAGGAGGTCTGGAGGGTGGGCTGTGGGCAGTCGAAACGTGGCCCAGAGCTGCCCAGCGTAACCTGCAGAGTGGCGAGGGGGCGGAGCACTGCTAACACCAGTTTTTGGACGCTTACTTCATCTTACTGAGCCTCAGTTTCTCTGTAAATGGGAAGGTTCCTGGCTCCATATGGCTCTTAACAAGGATTAAGTAAGGCCAGGGACAGAAAGTGCTCCACATAGCGCTTAGCACCTTGGCAGTGCCAGCAAGTGCTTGCTGCTGCTGTTGTTTCTGTAATGAAAGCCTTCTCGATGCCATCGCTGCCCTCATCGCAGGTTTCATGGCCTCTCCCTCCCCTATGCCAGGCAGCAGCCGCCCAAGCCAGGAGCACAGCGGGGTGGGCAGCAGGGCTCCAAGTCTGGGGGGCTGCACAGGACCCAGTGGCTTTCACCCGCAGGCATTCAGCGAGCGGTCGAGGCACTGGCGGAGGGAACGTGAGGCCCCGAGGGAAGACTGCGTGGCCCAGGCACAGCGGGCCCGGAGGACCCAGCAGCTGCTGCAGCTGCAGGTTCTCCAGCTGCAGCAAGAGAAGCGGCAGCTGCAGGATGACTTTGCACAGCTGCTGCAGGAGCGAGAGCAGCTGGAGAGGCGGTGCGCCACCCTCGAGCAGGAGCAGCGGGAGCTCGGGCCCCGCCTGGAGGAGACCAAGTGGGAGGTGCGCGGCTGGGTGGCCAGGAGGCCCACCGCGGGGTCGACCTGGGGCGGGGCGGGCCTGGCCACCCCTGAGGTCCTGGCCTCTGCGTGACGGAGTGCACCACTCGCCCTGTGTGGGCCTCCTCGTGGGCTGCTCTGGCCCCCGTACAGCCAGTGGCCCTGCTGTCCACTGCCTTCCCTATGCAGTGGGTCCTGGTAACATACCCATTTCGTAGATGGGGAAACTGAGCCCCAGAAAGGCCGGAGCCACATCTCACCTAGCAGCGGCAGAGCTGACACCTGAACCTGGGCAGTCTGGCTCTGACGTTATGGGCCCCCCCCCCCCCGGACACTGGGCACCACCCTGCACTGCTCCCACCTCCACAGTCCCTGCACCACCCAGACCCCGGGTGAGGCCACACTTGCATAGCACCTTGAGGCGGCTCTGACAACACCAGCTTTGAGGACCAATTCTAGGTCTGCGTCCCCTTTGGCCACTTACTGGGCGTCTGACCTTAGACACGTCACTAGGCTGACACAGTGACAAAGACGACTCTCCCGGTGTCCAGCGTGCTGCCCAGGCTCCAGCCCCCACGGGCCATTCTCACTGTTCCTCCTGACCTTCCCTCCTCCAGGTGTGCCAGAAGTCGGGCGAGATCTCCCTGCTGAAGCAGCAGCTGAAGGAGTCTCAGGCCGAGCTGGTCCAGAAGGGCAGCGAGCTGGTGTCTCTGCGGGTGGCCCTGCGGGAGGCCCGGGCTGCCCTTAGGGTCAGTGAGGGCCGGGCGAGGGGCTTGCAGGATGCGGCCCGGGCCCGGGAGCTGGAGCTGGAAACCTGCTCACAGGAGCTGCAGCGGCATCGCCAGGAGGCCGAGAGGCTCCGGGAAAAAGCTGGGCAGCTGGACGTGGAGGTGGCAGGACTCCGGGGACCCTCTGTGCCGCCTCCTGCGGCTGACCCTTTTCTCCTGGCAGAGAGCGATGAGGCCAAGGTACAGCGGGCCGCGGCTGGGGCAGGAGGCAGCCTTCGGGCCCAGGTAGAGCGGCTGCGGGGCGAGCTGCAGCGGGAGCGGCGGAGGGGTGAGGAGCAGCGAGACAGCTTTGAGGGGGAGCGGCTGGCCTGGCAGGCGGAGAAGGAGCAGGTGATCCGCTACCAGAAGCAGCTGCAGCACAACTACATCCAGATGTACCGGCGCAACCGGCAGCTGGAGCAGGAGCTGCAGCAGCTCAGCCTGGAGCTGGAAGCCCGGGAGCTGGCGGCACTGGGCCTGGCCGAGCCGGCTCCTTGCATCTGCCTAGAGGAGATCACTGCCACTGAGATCTAGGCTGCCAGCTCTGCAGGGAGCTCTGCTGCAGGCCCCAGCTCCTCCAACCATCCATACGTGCGAGGACCCCAGCACCACTGATCGGGGATGCAGGCGTCTGGGCCCCTGCCGAGAACTTGTGGGGCTTTGTGACCTGGAGGAAGAAGAGCAGAGCCCTCCAAGGTCCCCACGCCCATCCTGTCCCGGGGCTCTCAGGCCCAGCACACCCGCTGCCACCAGTCCTGTTCAGCCCCAGTGCTTGCCTGCCCGCCTGCCCGGCCCAGAACCTGGGAAGAGGAAGGGTGCTCACCTCCACATGCCGCCCTGCCCCAAAGCTAGAGAGCCAGAGGGCGCCGAATGTGCCTGCCCCTCATGCATGGGGGACAGCGCTGGCTCGGCCTGGTCCCCAGGCCCGGCCCAGCAGCCTCTCTCCTGGGCTGGAGGGGCTGAAGTCAGACCAAAGGAAGAACTCAGAAATGTCTTGTTTATTTGTGTTTGTGACCAAGCAGGCCCTCAAAGTACCCCGATTTATGGCCTTGTTTTCACCTGATATTTTTCACACTGTAAATTTCTTGTAAAAACCCAAAGAAAAAAATTAAAAAAAATTTTTTTTGTTTTTAAAGTGAGCATGCTGTATAAACAAGTGCTGGGGACCTTTTGTGACCTCCACTCCCATCTTACAAGGAGAAAGAAATCCAGCAGAGTCTGGTCCTTGTTGACCAAGTCTTGGAATGAACTTAGAGTCTAAGGAATGAGAAAAGGCTTGCGTCCTGTCCCCTGATGAGTGCCCGGACTGGGGAGTCTGTGGCCCTCAGTGCTGAGGGAGTCGGGCTTGGAGCAGCATCAGGAGAAAGTGCCCACCAGTCCTCTGCTCCAGATCAGGGTTTCTTGGCCCCCGCTCCTTAGGTTGGGGAGTAGTGGATGCAGCTGACCGAAGCCTTCTCTAGCACCTGTCTGTGGACACCAGGCTTCTCTGGTCTGGGAGGGCGACCGCAGGCAGATGAGCCTAGCAGGGATGGCACTCACAGTAGGCAGGGCAGGCGGGACTGAGGTTCCTGAGCCCCCAGAGGTTCATATGAGAGGTCAGAGACCGCAGGAGGACAGTGGGCTCTGAGAACTGAATCGGGGGGAGGATCATGGATCAGTGAGGAGGGTATCAGGTGGCCTCAGGAGTCCAGGGTTGGGGAGGGGACCAGGCTGGGAGTCCGCTGGAGGAGCCTGGCCTCCACAGGAGGTTCTAGAAGCCAGTGGGAGGGCCCTGGAGCAGCATTAAGGGGCTGGGGGGCAGAGGGACGGTCAGAGGGGAGGCGCTGGTCAGTGAGGGCTGATGGGTCAAGGGCTGAGGGTGACAGGCCCGGTCCAGGGACCCTGACCACCAGCTGCATGGGCTCCTGGGCCTTGTTGCGGTAAGCTCTGCGGATGGTGTCCACTGCTCGCTGGTGGGTCACTTCCTCTAGGCTCTCCCCATCCACTGCCACAAGCTCAAAGCCAGCCTGGAACCGGGTAGGACAGTCACAGTCCACCCTCCATGTCACCCCCACCCACCTGGTCACCAACCTGAGGGCAGTGGCTGGGACACGCCTCCCCCATCTGGGAGTCGATGGACAATGAGACTTTTGTGCCAGGAGCTGTTGGGGGCAGGGTGGGGCCAGACAATGGCCCTTTGTCCCTTGGGGCTCAGGGTGGAACAGGATGGGCCCTCTTCAGGCCCGGGCTAGCAAGGCTCCCCAGCCTGCTCGGCTGCTCTCTCTGACCCCTGCCTCCCGGGCCTCCTCCCAGGACCCGTCCGAGCTGTCTGGCTGGAAGGTGATAGATGCCCTGCCAGGCCTTGGCTTGGCTCGGGCCGTGGCCTGGTGTGCCACCCACCTGCAGCGCCCCACTGAGGAAGGCGGCACCCCCTGGAAAGATCTTCTCTATCTTCACCATGGGCTGCACCTTGGACTCGATGCCCCCTGAAATACTGATGCCTAAGGAAGGCAGAAGCTGGGTGAGAGTGCAGCCACCGCTCTGAGGAGCCTAGGACCCCTGTCAAAGTCCAGGGCCCCTGTTTCTCCCAAGCCCCGACCGTGAAATCCTCCAGACCCCAATTCCCCAAGTGTAGGTCCCCCAGCTGCACTCCAGGCCCCAGGTGTTTTCCTGGGCCCAGGTCCGGAAAATCGTTCCCCCTGACCTCAACCCCAGGAGCCGGCTCGGCCCTGCGCAGCCCGCCCAGACTCACCCAAGGATGGCTTCGTCTTGGACAGCGCAACTGTCCTCAGCTCCCCGCCAGGGGTCTGCCCGGCTGCCTCCTCAGCTGCGCTGCCCTTGCCGTCCTCCCAGGGCCCTGGCCTGTCCTCCACCTTGGCCACCTGGCAGCCCAGAGGCTGTGGCAGAGGGGGTCTGGCCTTCTGAGGGCTGTGGTGGCGCCCGGCGGCCATGCTGACGGTGGGGAGAGGCGCCGGAGACGGGGAGCGCCCGTGCCCGGGGGACTTGCCTCGGCCCCGGCTTCGGCTCCGGCTGCGGGCCCCGGCTGGGCCATGGCCCGGGCTCCTCTGACCATCCTCTGGACTCAGGGCTTCGGCGAGCAGCCAGTTAGGCCAAGGGGGCCGGGGAGCCAGGGCGGGCGGCTGGGGAGGGGGTGTGCGTGTGACTCGGTGCGCGCCAAAGGCCTCGACTGGCACGTCCTGGAGGGGGGGGGGCCCTTTCCGAGGGCGGGGCGGGGCGGAGGCGCTCGGAGAGACCCTGAGGGCCTCCAGGTGCTCGGGCAGCCCTCTGTTCACAGGCAGCAGGTAGAAGCCTCCGCGGCTGTCTGGGGAAGAGGCGGGATCAGGAGGGCCCCAGCCTCCCACCCGGGCCGTGCTGCAGACCCTGCCCTGGCCTTGGTACGGTGGACCTCCAAGGACCAGGCCCGCACGCCTGTCCTGCAGTAGAAGGACCACTGCTCTCGGGCGCAGGTGATGGACCTGGCTACTGCCGTAGCATCTTAGTCCATTCTGTTCTAAGACAGTCCTATTTTATTTCTTTTTAATTTTATTTATTTTTTTGGTAACGGGGATTGAACTCGGGTCCTTGCGCTTGCGCAGCAGGCGGCGAAACCCCTGAGCTACATCCCTGGCCCAGGCAGTCCTATTTTAATGTCTCTCCGAAAAAATATGACTAGCATATCAACCTGGGAATTCCTCCACGATGATTACATAGAATGAAGCTAGATTTTAAAAAGCAAGCTGGGCGCGGTGGCGCACTCCTGTAATCGCAGCATTTTGGGAGGCTGGGGCAGGAGGGTCACAAGTCTGAGCCCAGCCTGGGCGACTTAGCGAGAGCCTGTCTCAAAATAAACGGAAAAGGCATGGGGATGGAGCTCCGTGCAAAGGCCCTGTGTTCAAGCCCCAATATTGCAGAAATACATACAAATAATAAAAAGCAAAGAGGTTTCAATCCAACTACGGGTAACAGCGCAGGTGGTGATTCGCTGAACCAGGGCTTCCCTCAGGATGCAGCATGCCTCCGAGCAGCAGTGGCCCACAAGGCGCCCCCGGCCCTGCCCCACTGCAGCCCCTCCTAGCCCCGGGGGGTCTCACTGACCAGGCACAGGGGTGACGAGATGGCGTTTGGGTGGTGTGTCCTGCTGGGCTGGTCTCAGAGTGGGAGGCCACACTGGTCGAAAAGAACAGGTCAGAAGCCAGACCCCTGCCCGCCAGGTCCCCCTGGGCCTGCCATGGGCTCTTCGACAGCTGATGCCCTCCCCGCCCAGAGCCCCCAGGTCCAGAAGTCCTGCTGTCCCCGCTGCTGACCTGCCCTGCTCTTCAGGGCTTCAAAGGCCTCCAGTTCTGCAGGCGTCACCATGCTCTCGAAGCGACCCAGGTCCGTGGGGACCACCACACTCCTGGGGGAGGTGGCCCGGGCTCAGCTCTGGAGGTGTGAGGCTCTCATCCGGCCCCAGCCCTTCCCTCAACCCCTGCCCACCTGATGTCCCTCAGCAGCAGCAGCTTCTCGGGCCTGTCCAGAATGGCCAGCAGGGGCCGCACCAGGTCCTCCACCCCACCCTCGTGCACGTACTGCAAGACAGGCACACAGGTCAGGCGGCCCTGCGGGGCTGGGCCCATCCACCCTCCGCCTCCGGGGTTGAAAGATGGTCACATCGAGGTGAACCCAGAAGCTTGCAACAAGGATACATCTGTAGCAACAGCAACTGCTTGGGGATGCGGGGTGGGTTTCTTTGCCATACCGAGGATTTTGCATCACACAAGCTGGCAAACACTCTGCCCCTGAGCTACGTCCCCAGCATAGTTTATTTCATTTCTGAGACAGGGTCTTGCTAAGTTACCCAGGCTGGCCTTGAACTTACGATCCTGCCGCCTCAGCCTTCCCGGTAGCTGGGATGACTAGTGTGTGTCATGGTCCCTGGATAATATTTAAGAGAAGAGCATCGCCAATATTTTCTCCCTTTATTTTTTATTTTTGTGGTGTTAGGGATTGAACCCAGGTCCCTGTGTATGCTAAGCACACACTCTGCCACTGAACTACATCCCCAGCCCACTATGCACATTTTGGGGGGAGGGTACCGGGGATCGAACTCGGGACCCTGCACTTTTGAGGCAGGTGCTGGAACCACTGAGCTAAATCCCCGGCCCTATTTTTGGCGGGTTTTTTCGTGGGGGTACCGGGGATCGAACTCGGGACCAGCACTATGCACTTTCTAAACCTTTCCCATGTGGCCTCTCATCTAGCAACCACCCTGAGAGATGAAACTCTAATAGATGAGGAATCGAAGGCTAAAAAAGGGCTTTGCTCAAGGCCACACAGATAAGGGAACGTGAACTGGCAAAGGCAGGCTCTGCCCTGGGGAAAGCGTGCGCAGGGAGCAGACTCCAGTCCCCACCTCCACTCCCACAGAGGGAGTGAGCCCAACACCAGGCTGTCCCAGCCCTTGGTTTGGGGCTGCAATGGGGACCTTGGGGAAGGGGTGGCGCCACAAAAAGCCCTTCCAGTCAGTACTCTTCTGCCTGGCACTGCCTGGACGCCACACCCTACGGACGCTGGAGAACTGGAACCAAGGCCATGACTTGGGATAGCACATCGCCCCCTGGTGGCAAGGAGGCCAATTGGGGGCCGCGCACACTGCTCAACCCCGTGGGCGCAGACAGCGCTGGCTCTGGGTCATTCGTGAACATCTGGAAATAAGTCAAATAAAACCATGTGTGTGGCCCTGAGCCACACGCAAAAACCACCGGGTCTCACACGTCCACCTATCCACACGTACTGCACAGAACCGGCCACAGGTGCGCGCACACCCCAAGTTCACAGGTCTGCGTTCAGCACCCTCTGCGTGCCAGGCTCCGGACCGGCCTCGGGGGCATAGCAAGCAGACCTCGTCCCAGACCGTCAGGAACTCGGCCGAGCGCGAGCGAGGGGCAGGGGAGCCACGCAGAGCAGTGAGCTGGACACTGGCGCTGCCGCGGAGGGCTTCGGAGGGGAGGTCAGAGTGCGCCTGTGGGGGGGGGGGTTGTGGCTCTTAGAGAACGGCACGCAGGGCGCAAGCCCCACAGTGATGCGGTCAGTGAGCAGGCGGCAATGGCCGAGGGCCTCCGCGGGGCTGCACAGGACGACTGCCACGTGGCCGGCGCCCCTGTGTGGGGTTCACAGCCCGGATAAGCGGGGAAGGTGGCCACGGGGACGGGGAGGGTGAGTGGGCGTCGCTCGGGGAGCTCGAAGCGGGGGCGAGCAGCTCGCGCTCCAATCTGCCTGGGGGAAGTAAAGTTTGTGACCCCAGGTCTGGCGGCGGTGGAGAGATGGTGCAGACAGAAGCGGGGGCGGCCTAGGGCTCAGGGCTGCTCATCCCAGTCCCTGGGGAACTCTACCAGTCCCTCAGGCCAGGACTCCATCCCAGAGGGTCCTGGGAGCCCCTGGGTCGGGTCGGGACCGAGGGGTTAGCCTCCCGGTCTCCCTCTTGAGGAGGCCTGGGTGCAAAGGAGAGCAGCCACAGAAAGACGCCGAGCGCCACCTAGTGGTCGGAGCTCGGAGTCGCGGGTCCCCTGGAGCGCTGGGACGCAGCGCCCCCACTCAGCGCCCAGAGCTGAGTTCAGTCCAGAGCCCCTTAGTGGCCCCTCAACATGCACCCCATCTTCAGCTCCACCGTGAACCAGGCCTTGGGAGAGGGGTGCACAACTGCCCACGTTTCAGGCTCCAGGCGGCAATACACGGACACGCCGCTCTCTCACTAGCCAGACCCAGGAGAGCTCGCAGGCATGATCGTGGAGTCTGGGCGAGCAAGCCAGGCACTCACGGACGCCGACACGCACTGCTCCCTCCTGACTCAGCCTGGAGCGCGCGCGCACGCCCAGAGACAGACGGATGGACAGCGGGACTGACAGGGATGGTGGCCTGAATGAGGAGGGTCGGGGCTGCAGAGGACAGGGCCTTACCCTGGAGCAGTGGCGAGTGACCGCCAGCACCTCGTCCTCGGTCAGCAGCCGGCGGGCCAGGTCCTGAATGAGGGGCCGTCGGCTGTCCCAGGCCTGCACCCGCTCATCTGTACTGGGCAGCTGGCTGGCTGGGCTCCCAGACCTGGCCAACAGCAGGGCTCGGCCCCTCTCCCAGTCTGCAGGCCAGGAGCAAGAGGGTCATGGTGGGGCCAGGAGCTGTTGGTGGGTGGGCTTCCCGCGGAGGGCCAAGGGGAGGCCCGGGTGCCAGGGCCAAACTGCAGCCTCAGCCTGTGCACCGAGCATCGCGGCATCCCAGTGACCTGCCCAGCAGCGAGATGCCAGCCGCAGCCCTCCCACCCTCAACACCGACCCCCGCACCAGTCTGTTCCTTTACATGTTTGCTTTTTCCTTTTCTTTCTGGTACTGGGGACAGCAGGGACTTCCGAGCTACAGTTCCAATCCTTCGTATGTATTTTTATTTTTATTTTTTGGTCCCGGGGATCGAACTCAGGTCCTTGTGCTTGCGCAGCAGGTGGCGAAACCACTGAGCTAAATCCCTGGCCCTCCTTTTAATTTTTTTAAATAGGTTCTTGCTAGAAGTTGCCCAGGAGGGCTTGAACGTGCCCTCCTCCTGCCTCAGCCTCCTGGAGTGCTGGGATGACAGGCGTGCACAACTGTTCCTGGATCCCATCTGTTACTTCATGGAGTCTTAGCCTAGTGGCTCCCGTGTCCCCTAAACCAGGTCAGTCTGTTCCCCCCTGAGGTGCTAGCACAGGCTCTCCCTGGCTTTTGTGACACAAGCCCTCAGAACGTCCCCTTATCTCTCTGCAACCCTATGTTTCCTAGCAAGCCTGGTCCAGTTCTTCGTGCACTTCTCTGCCTGGTCCCTCCTGGGTAGCCCCACTGCGTTTGGCCACAGCTACTAAGCTCACCCCAGCATGCATCCACCTGCCTTAGACCAGGCTGTAGACCAGGCCTTGGACAGGGTGCACAACTTACCGCCTCTCAGCCTCCGGGGAACAAACTTCTGCACAGGCCCTGTGCTCCCTGGTGAGGAGAGGAGGTCCAGCTGCAGAATCTGGGCCCCAGCCCGGAAGCGGAGGGCTGGGGCCTGGACAGGGTGGCAAGCCTGCCTGGAAGGGGCCTGGGCCTGCCGGGCTGCAAAGTCTTGCCGGCCAGACACTTCACTCAGAGCGAGTGGAGGGAGTGAGAAGATCTAGGATAGAGGAGCCGCCCATGGAGACAGACTCATTTGGAAGCAAATGTACGAAGAAAAGGACCCCACGAGCAAGCGTGGGGGCCCTACCTTCAAGGGACATTGGGAAAGAGGAGCCTCGGAGAGGCAGGAGCGCACAGGGCCCTGCAAGCTGTGGGGGAAGCAGTGTGAGAGAGGGGCCGGCCGCCCTATTTGGAGACTCCCAATCCTGAAGGGTCCAGGATCCAGGGGCCACCCTGAGGGCCCAAAGTGAGAACCCGAGGTGGGAGCATTGGGCTCCTTGTCCTCCGAGTGTTTTCACCTCCCCAACACCCACTCCTCTCTGGAGACAGGATCTCTCAGCCCTCGGGACCACCCTGTTCTCAGCCCCAGCCCTCTCATAGGCAGCGCCCCCTGGCGGCTGTGAAGGCACCTGGCTGTGGTCTGCTCCGCAGCAAGTGATCTCAGCAGGGCCTGGGCGCTGTGAGGCCTCAGCCGGAACTATGTGAGGAAAAGCCACTGCCCCGGGGGCTGCTAAGCGAGAGCAGCCGCTTACCTCCATGACGAGAGCGGAGCCAACCCATGGAAAAGAGGGAGCGACAGATGCAGAGGGACACGTGTGGGGTGCTGTGCAGGCCTTTAGACAGCTCGAGTCCGAAGCTGAGCCAAGAGATGCTTTTCAAAGCCAGTTTGAGCTGAGCTTCTGCCACATGCGACTCTAAGTCTTAACTCATCTGCTCTCTGTCCAGACGCTGAGCCTCCCAGGGACATTGGCCTCTGACGGTCGGACAGCCTGGGCTGGCTCTCCTGCTGGTTCTGGTCTAGAAATGGCCCTGCTCCAGCGGGGCTCTAGAAGGGGACTGGGCTCTGGCCAGGGGTGTGGAGCCCGAGCAAACGCAGGCCCGAACGTCACTACCACCAAGAGCCCAGGGCGCTGAGCACAAGGGGTGGGCCCAGGGCCCTAGCACACGAGCCCAACCCCCTCCCCCGCCCTCTTAACCATGTTGTTTTAAGACAGGGTTTTGCTAAATTGTCCAGGCTGGCCTTGAACTCAGTCCTCCTGCCTCAGCCTCCCGAACAGCTAGCATTACCGGTGGACAGCCCCACACCCAGCTCCACTTCCCTGCCGTCCCTCTATCATTTCCCTCTCTGGAAAGTGGGTCAGAAGCGGGGTTGCAGGGGCCATCATGCGCTCTGAACACCTTCGGTGTGGCTGGCAAGCTGCTACGTGATCTCCATTTGCTAACTCACTTGCGCCCTGCCACTCCGAAGGAAGTAGGCGTCACACTCCTGTTTTATCAGCAGGGTGCTGAGGGCTACGGGATGTCACCCCAGGACTGCTGGGTGCCCACCTAGTGGACGTAGCCCCATGCCCTCCTCCCTACCTTTCTCCAGGTCCAGGCAAGGCCGGGCTTTGGCTGGGCTCCTGCAGTCCAGCGTCCAGGCCTCTCTGAGCCCATCCCCTGCAAGCCGCCCCTGCCGCCCTCCCTTGAAAAAGAGGTTCATCAGCGTCTTGGAGCGCTGCAGGGCCCCCTTCTCCCCAGGGGACCCCGACTTCTCCTTCTGCTGCTTCTTCTCCTCTGCAGACACAGGGAGAACCGGGGGCTGAAGGGTGGGCAGGAGGGCAGAGAGGGGAGCCAGACAGGCTCCGCAGCTGTGCGGGTGGGAACATGGGGGGGGCCTCCTCCAGCTGTGCACCTGCCCCAGTGCACAGCTGCAGCTATGTAAGGGGTTGGTCCTGGGGAGAGGGAAAGACAGAGAGAGAGACAGAGACAGAGACAGAGAGACAGAAGGTGCGAAGCCAGGCACTGTAGGTTGGAGGGATGGGTTCGGGTTTGGGGCTCAGAGCTGATCAGAGCTGGGCAAGCACTAGGGTGGGTTTGGGGCTCAGGCCTGGTTTAAAATGGAGCCCAGAGCAAGAGGTTCTGGATCAAGGCCTGAGGCAAACGGAGGGTTGGGCCCGGAACAGAGTGGAGGACAGGCTTTGGAGCAGGGGCTTGGAGAGAGCTGCTGCCCACCTCCCACGTACCCCACAGGGTCAGCTGGCTCCGGGAGCGCGTGATAGGGGGCCTGGGCCGGCCGAGGGCCAGCAGCAGCGCAGTCTTGGGGGACTCGGGGAGGGCAGAGTCAAGGCACCGGGAGGGTGGGGGGCCGTCGGAGCGGATGGCGGTGTCCTTGAGGATGACCGTGGGCCGCACGCTGCACCAGGTCTCCATGCGGCCCCCCACGTCGGGCTCCGTCTGCATGGCAGTGTCCGCCCTGCCCCAGCCTGGCGCCTGGTCCCCCAGCTCCGCCGGCCCCAGGCAAGTGTCCGCGCGGTCGGAGGGCAGGGAGCCCCAGCTGTAGGGGGTGCTGGAGGCGTAGGAGGAGACGCTGGAGCTGCTCTCGGAGGCGGAGGCGGGGCACAGCTGCTGCGGCGCGCCCGCGCCATCGCTCACTGCAGGGAGAGCGAGGCCCCTCAGGCCTCTGGCTGGTCTACTCCAGGGCCGGGAGACTTGCGGGCCACAGGGGACACGGGTGGAGGAGGAAGGACCACCAGGCCGCGGTTCGGTCGGAGCCACTAGTCCTGCGGACCTGGGGGGTGCTGCCAAGGGGCTTCTCGAGTCCCAGGGCGTCCATCCAGCCCAGGGGAGCTGGGAGCGAGCGTGCAAGTCCTCAGAGGGACCCGCAGCAGTTCCTGGGGGTGAGGGTCCTGAGAGGGTCCTGGGCCACGCCCTTTTCTTTCTCCGAGACCCCCTTCCCTCCATCCTTGGGTACCTGAGCCACTTACATCGGTCCAGCCAACAGTATTCAGAGACCATCTCCTTGTAGGCAGGGTATCGGCCGGTCTCCTGGGGAGGACAAAGGGGAGTCGGCGGGAGGGGTGGGAATGGGGGAGGGACTGGGCGGGAGCAAACGGCTCATCTCCATCTCTTTCCTCTGCGTCTCTGTGCTCTGGCCACATGGCTACTTTGCTGCAGAACATGACAAGTTCCTTTGCACCACAGGGCCTTGGGACTTGCTCTTCCTGCCACCTGTCCTCTCCTCGTGGCTAGCCCACGCTCATGCTTTTGCTCGGTGTTCCTCCTTCAGAGGGGCCGCCCCGACACAGGGGCCTGCCTAAATCACTCTGCAGTGTCTTTGCAGCTGTCACAGCCTGGGCCTGCAGGAGCCTGGGTGTCTCCTGCCCCACCCCCTCGTCCCAGGAGGTCTCCTCTACCCTACTCACTGCTGCAGCTGGCAGTGCCCAGCACACAGTGGGCGCTCACAGATACGGTCAAGCAGTAAATCAGGGCAGAGAGCGAGGAGGGAGGTCTGGGGGTGTGAGGGAGGGCAGATGGCGGAGGAGGTGACAGGGCGAAGGCTCAGGAAGGAGAAGGGTAGAGTGGGCCCCGTGGGCAGGGGCACTTGAGAGGGCGGCACCAGGCCCTGCAGGAGCCCAGGGGAACGACCTGATCCCGGGCACTCCCAAGAGCACCCAAGAGGAATCCAGCCTCCGCCCCTGAAATGGAGCTCTGCTGCAAGCCCGCCTCCTTGCCCAGTGCCCACCACCTGGGTCCTGCCCCATAATGCAGCGCCCATGCCCTTGCTGGGTGGGCCGCGGGCTCCTCCAGCCCCAGGTCCCCATTCAGAAGAGGCAGCAGGCAGTCTGGGGCCGGGGCTGGAGCCAGGGCTGGCTGGGCTCACTGAGCCAGTTACTGTGCCCCCCAAGCCTCCATCTCCTTCACAAAACAGGGAGGAGAACAGTGCTCGGCCCCCTTCCCCGCGGCTCTGGAAATGTCACCAAGGCACAGCAAGGAGCACAGCAAAGAGCCTGGGTGGTCTCGGGGGGAGGCCGCGCCCCGCACTCCTGCGCACCTTGACAGTCAGCATGGTGTGTGTCTGGCCCTTCAGCACCTCCACAGCCTGGCTGTGGCTGATGTCGTCGAATCTGACACCGTTGGCCGCCAGGACCTGGTCCCCCACCTTGATGCCGTTCTCCTCAGCCAGCCCGCCGGGGTCCACTCTGGGGCCAGACAGGGACCGGAGGATGGGGCCTGGCCTGCCCGCCTGCCCCCAGCCCAGGCCCGCTCACTGTGTGCCCCACCCGAGTGTGCTCCCCTAGCCCCAGCCCTCACCTGGACACATAGATGCCCAGGCCGAACTCTTTGCCCCCACGGATGTTGAAGCCCAGGCAGAGGTCGTCGGAGGTCGTGTACAGGTGCACTATGCGCCGCACAGCGTCCCCCGAGCCTCTGTCAGCCGGCGACGAGCCACACCTCTCCACCACCAGCCGCTGGTTCACCACGTCCACCCTGCACAGCAGCGAGGGCCTCAGCTGGGCTCCCGCTGCGCCCGCTGCCTCCCTCCCCGCAGCCCTGGCCGCTTCGTGGGGATGGGGCGGCCTGCTGCGGGCCCCGGAGGCTCAGGGGCACCGAGGGATCAGCGGGTGTGACGGGCATCTTCGTCCCTTTTGCGGAGCAGCTGCAACACGCAGGGCCCATTGTCCCTCCCTCCTGCCCTCCTCCTCTTTCTGTCCTTCCCTGGTACTGGGGATTGACCCAGGGCCCAGAGCACGCTAAGCACTGGCTTCCAGCCAGCCAGGCCGCGGCCTGGGGCGCAGTTTCTACCCTGAGGCCCCGGGAGGTGCCCCTCTGTGCCCGGATCACAGCAAAGAAAGTACGGGGGCCTCGGCCTCCCCTAAGCGCGAGGAGGGGCCCAGCCTCCTGCCAGGGGGGCAGGGCAGGGCGGGGCGGGGCGCGCTGCTCACCAGGTGGTCTTCTCCTTGGAGGATTTGATGCCCGGTACTCGGCCCATGCGCCGCACGGTCATGCGCAGGCGGCTGCTGCGGGTCAGCGCTTTCACGGCGCTGGCCATCGTGGTGCTCTCCAGGCTCAGCCCGTTCACCTCTGAGATCTTGTCCCCCACACGCAGGCCGGCCCGCTCTGCGGGGTGAGTCGGCGCTGAGCTCCCCCTCACAGGGCTCCGCCCGCATTCACCCAGGGCGCAGGCCCACTCACCGGCGCTGCTCCCGCCCTCCACCTTGCTGACGAAGATGCCCAGACCGTGCTCGGAGCCGCCCCGCACGCTGAACCCCAGTCTTCCTGCTGTGCTCTTCTCCACGCGGACTGCGTGGATGATGTCACTTTCGTCGCTGTTGGCTGTGGGATGGGGAGACAGGCATGAGCCCATGTTCAGTGCGGGCACAGAGGGCCCTGGGTCCCCAACCTGGGGCCCAGAAAGGCTGGGCTGCTGGGCACGGCCACATCAGTGCTGAGGGCCCTAACGGGGGTGTTTGTCCATCCCCAAGTGCCCAGTTTTGAGACCACGGGCCGCAGAGGGTGTGGGAGCTGGCAGCAGCCAGACAGCGTGCGTGCATGCGTGTGTGTGTGTGTGTGTGTGTGTGTGTGCGCGCGCGCAAAAGTGTGTCTAATGTTAACAGCTCCCTGTGGCACATTCCTAAGGACTCCTGCCCCTCTGAGACTTGGGTGGATAGAAAGGAAGGTTCAAGATTCTACTCTGGAGGCGGCTGAGGCCCTTCAGCTCGCAGCAGAAACGAGCGCACTGGCAGCAGCTCCCAACAACGGGAGCTGTCTCGTGGAAAGCCCGAGATGTTCTTGCCTGTGTGGCAAAGAGGGCGGAGCCAGGCCCACACAGCAGAATTAGGCGGCCACAGACTTTGTAAGGAGAAGCTTTCTTAAACACTCAGGCCCAGACAGTGGAATGGGTTTTCTGGGGCAGACAATGGACTTCCCATCTCTGGAGGCAAGGACGCCGAGGTCCGGTGAAGCCGAGGTTTCACCCTGTCCCGCTCTGTGGTCTGGGATGAGGGCTCCGGGAACCACCTGGCCACCCGGAGAGAGCCCACAGCAGCTGCCCAGTGGGAAGGGCTGCTGGAAGGCTGCTCAGGGGCCGGGCTGGGTGAGATCAGGACGGGCAGAGGGAGGGGAGCCCTGAGAGGTGCTCGGAGCTGGCAGGCCCTCGGGAGGCCGGGGTGGGGAAGCTGGAGGGGACCAGAAGGTAAAGGACCCCGGGCGAGCAGGTGAGATTTCTTCTCAGGCAAGGCTTACTCCAGAGGTTTGTGAGGGAGAAATCACACACACACACACACACACACACACACACACACACACACACTTCCCTAGGGCCCTGGCCAGGCTGTGGGCTCGAGGACAGGCCCGTCCCTCCTCTCCACCCGGCCCACACCACGCACCAGTGACCTCCCTCCAGGCCTCTTCCGGAGCGGCCCCTCGGAGCTGGCAGCCCTCTCCACTGCAGTGTAGCCAGAGTCCGGCCGGCCGCTAGCAGTGGCCCTGCCCTGCCCGTGTCCACCCAGGGCTTCCTCTGCTCGGCTCTGCCCGCTCCCCGCCCTCACAGGCTTTGGCTGCCTGGGGCTCCTTTCCCCTTCCCTCGTGCTGGCATTTATGAGGCCACTCCTTTCTCATTCCTCCCTCTCGACACCACCATCACAGGGAAGGTAGTGCTTCCCAGGGCACGGAGCCGGACCAGCAGCATCAGCCTTGAACTTGTTACAAATCTGTGTTCCAAGGCTTCACTGCCGGCCCACAGAACCAGAAGCCCAAAAGTGAGGAGACCTTGAGATAAGTCCTCCAGGCAGTCTGGCCCACTGCTCAGTGTGAGAACCAGTCTTGTGTTTATCGATCATATCACCCATACTGTTTCCTTCAGGATCCTCCCATCCTTTGCTATCACTGATTACGGGTGTATTGTTCATGATCTGTCTCTTTTCACTGAGCTGTAAGCTCAGTCATGGAAACTAAGTCTTTTCCACCAGTATTGCTCCAGTATTTTGCACAGTGCTTGGTATCTGAGAAGTATTTTTTGAATAAAAGAACAGATGAATAAACGAATGAACTAGGAGAGGAGAAAGGGCTGGTTTAGATGAAGGATCATGCATTTCCTTCTTTGTTTCTTTCTTTCTTTTGAGATGGAGTCTTGCTAAGTTGCCTGGTAGGCTGGCCTCAAACTGGTGATCCTCCTGCCTCAGTCTCCCAAGTAGCTGAGATTACTAGCAAGCGCCACCATGCCAGGTTAGAGTGCACATTTCTCGGGGACCAGCTGAGTTTGGAAGCTAATGGGGCCTTCTGGGTTTCCCCATCAGAAGATAAGCCCACGAGGCCCCAGCTTCTCCTTCAGCAGCTACTTTGCTTTCCTGGAGGTATCTCGATGAGAATGCAGGGCAGGAGTCCCCGACTCTGTGAGTGGGAGATGTCTGTGCCCAAGATGAGGGGAGGATCCTGGACTCAGGGCAGCCCAGTGGTCAGAGCAATGCTCCCAGCCTTTAGCTGCTGCAGGCTGCTCCCTGGGAGCACACGGCAGGGTGAGGCGGGGAGAAAGCAGTCATGGTACTTTTGGCAGAGACTGTGAGGTCCTGAAAGATGGGCATGGGGTCTGCGGAGGGCAGCGCAGCGGAGCTCTTTTAACAGCAGGAGGCCACAGTACCCCATGCCTCCCAGCTCCTCTGGGACTTCCGCTCCCTGCAGAAAGACAGTGGGACCCCTAGCAGGGCACACCTGCAGTGGATGGCTGGGTGAAAGTGCCCGGCTGCAGGTGGAAGAAAGCTTGCTCTCAAGCAACACACTGGACCCCACCCCAGGGGGCCAGAGGGGCCCGGCAGCAGCCTCAGCCCACAAACAGGGCCCACTGGCGAGGCAGCCAGGGGAGCTGCGGTGGAGAAGAAAGGGCAGAGGCGCTGGAGATGCCTATCTGGCCCTGCCTGCCAAGAGCACCCCCCCCCCGCCGCCGCCGCCGCCGCCGCCCCACGGCACTCAAAGTCCTGTGCAGTCCCCAGCCCTTTGCGTCTCACATCTGTCATGGCACCAGGCAGCCTCCTAAGACACGCTTGGTGCTTCCTACTTCCAGCGTTTGTGGGCGGTAGCTTGCACCCCGCCACCAGCTGCTCCTGCTCCTGTCCGAGTCCTGCCACACTCTACCTTTCTAGAAGGTGCAGACTGGCCCTCATCACCCAGGGCCCCCGTAGGCGCTAGCCGGGTGGCACAGAACGCAGTGCCAGCAACCACACACACTGAGGCTGTCCCCGCCTTCAGGGTCCAGCCCTGGGATCCCTCCCCGGCCCTCCATCCTCCTGTTCTCCCCTCTCTGAACGTCTGCAGCTCTCCCTGCAGGCCCCCTTCTGCCCCCGAAGCCTGGGGACAGAGCTGGTCACACTGCCCCATCCCGCCCCGCGCCCAAAGGCGCACACACACGGATATGGAGAAGGGGTACCACGCACATTCCTTTCTCAGCCTCCTGGTCCCGGCCTCGCAACTCTGACCCTTCCACAATCCTGGGCCCTTCCCTACCTAAGCCAGCGCAGGGGCAGGCCCGACGCACCTTCGATGGGGGAGTTGATGAGGATCACTCGGCCCATGGGTGAGGAGGCTCGGATTCCGCGGGAGGGCCCATTCAGCAGCCGCTGCTGCTTTCTCAGCAGGTATCGCGTTGCGGTGGAGCCCGAGTCGCTGCCCAGGTGGCCCCGGGAGGACAGGGAGCTCGGAGAGCTGGAGCTGAGTTCTCCTAGGCCCAGTGAGTCGGAGGCCGCTGCGAAACCGCGCGCCATGGTGGCTGGGCTGCCTCAGAGGGGAAGCGCTAGCCTTCGGGCGGCGGCCCCAGCGCCCTGCGCCCTATGCGCCTTCGGTGTCCTGGGCCCTCTCAGTGTGCGCTCCAGACCTAGGCAGGGAGCACAGGCACTGGGGGCCGATGTGAGCGCCGACCCCACTGCCCCCAGAACTCCCACCCCACCCTGGTTTGAGCCTCCTGCCCTCCCAGCCCTTAGGCCCCGCCTCTCCCACCCAGGACTAGAGGTCTGCGGGTCCAGGTCCCCGGCTCGGACCTTTGGAGCCACTCCACAAAGAAGTGGATGCGAGCTCTTCTGCACCCCTCATTTCCGCTCTCAGCGGAGTCATCTACCCATCCCCATCCTCCGCAGAGGCAGAGCTGGGGATGCAAGGAGACGCCGGGCCCTGGGCCTTCAAGTGGAGTGAGAAAGCGCAGATCAGTCCCCAGGCACTACTCCCGCGTGTACGGGGACAGTGCAGCCTCGGAATAGTCAGGATCAGGATGCCCGGGCCCAGGCTGCGGCCTCCGGTGTGCAGCGGCTGCATGCCCTTCTCCTCGCGGTGGGCGGAGGATCTGCTGGCGAGGACCCCACGACACCCGCCGCAGAGCCGCAGCCGAATCCAACAGAGCCACCCCGGCCCCGCCCGGCCGCCGCGCCACGGGCCCGGCTCGGCCCCTTACCTGCCCTCGTGCGCCCGCCTCGCCCGGCGTCCAGCGCGCCACCGCCGCGGGGGACCCCGCCGCACCCCGCGGGCTGCGCCAGGAGGGCGGGCCTGCGTGCCCCGGCCCGCATTGGCTTGTGGGGCCGCCAGTCACTCCCCCCAGCGCCTCCTGGGGGCGTCGGGACCTACGCGTCCCCTGGCCAGGCAGCCGGCTCTGCCAGCCCCGGGTCGGACCCCCGCGCCTGCCTGCTCCGGCCACGCCCGCTGCCCGGGCTCGCCGAGTCGCCACGCTCCGTGGGGGGTGCCATCGGGGAGGAGCGGGCCTGAGCCCGCGGGACCGAGCGTGTGCGGGCGTGCGCCGCCTGGCCGAGGCTGTCAGCAGGTAGGTGTCTCCCCGGCCACCCAGTTCTGGAGAGGTGAAACGTGGGGGCGCGGTCCCGGGGGCACCGTGTGCGTGTGCGCGCCCGCCTGTGTGCGACCCTCCCGATGTCTCTGAGCAGAGTTGTGCGAGGCTCCCGCCCTCCAGTCACGGGCTTGGGCTGTCTGGTGCAGCGTTGAGGGCTCAGAACACACCAAGCCGGGGGACGCAACGCAGCAGAGGACTGCGCGGAGGGGCCGGGGAGGGGGCAGGGAGAGGCTGGGGCGCGGCCGTGAAGGGGTCGCTGCCAAGGGGCTGCGCCTGGAGCTAGGGGGCCCGGGGCTGGAGCCTGGAAGGCCCAGGCGGCAGACGCCGTTGCCGAGGCGTCACCCCGCAGACGGCCGTAACCCTAGCCCTCGGCCGCCCACCTGCGCGCCGCGGCCGGACCCTGCTGGAGGCAGGGCGCCTCTAGAGGCCGGCCCGGGCACCGCAGGCGACGCGGCCGCGGCCGACGCCAGTCCAAGCCTCCCCTCCGCCTCCCTGGCGGGGGAGGGAGGGGACCAGAGTTGATCCCCGATGTGACTGGCTCTGCAGGCCGTAGGACCTGGTCCCGAACTGGGCCCGTACTCCAGTGACGCCCTCCGCCCGGGACCTGCCGAGCTCAGACCCCAGCGCCCCGCCCGCCCAGCTGCTGAGCGTCACGTGACGTCCCCAGGAGGCGGAGGGGCGGGCCGCGGCCCGAGAGCCGAGTGCGAGAGCGGGACGGGACGCGTGAGTGGAGCGCCGCTGGCGGGGCGGGCAGGGTGCGGGACAGAGGGTGCCGCCGGAGAAGCGGCCTGCCTTGGGGCGTCTCCCTCTCCGTCCCCGAGGCTCAGTACCCCGGGCTCCGTGGAGGTCCACGCACGGGGGAGGTTGGCTGCGGGAGGAGGGTGGGGCGCGGCTGCCTGTGGAGCGACAGACGTGGTGTGCGTGCGTGCGTGCGTGCGTGTGTGTCTGTGTGTGTAACGGTCTTTGCGGCCGGTGTGTACAGGGTGTGGGATGTTTGGCAGGGCTGTGCCGTCTTTGTGCGTGGGTCTGTGAGTGTTTTTCTGCTTGTGAGGAGGAAGTGAGGTGAAGGAATTAGTCATTCTGCAGGATTTTGCGTAGCACGGCCAGATGGCTGCTCGGGCCTTCCTCTCTGCTGGGTGGAGGGAGCGTCACTGATCCCGCCTCGTTTTGGAGGGAGGTGGCACAGAAAGAGGTTGGTGGGTGTCTCTGCCAGCCCCGCCCCGCCGGGGGACAGGCAGAGCTGGGGTCTTAGTGTGGTTGCTGGAGGGGTCTGGAAAGGGGCGGTGTGGCTGGCGCGGTGGAATGGGCTGACGTCCCCTGCTCAGCTCTGGGGCAGAGCAGCCATGGGCGGTGGGAGCCCTTGCGCTACCCCAGTCAGGGCTGGAGTGTGGGACGCTTTTGCCAAACAGCCTGCAGGGTTTGCATCTAGGTCTCAGGGCAGCTGTGGGCTGCACCTGACGTGGGAATGGGTGTGTGGTCATATATGTCTTTGGCATACAGAGCTCATGAGTAGCTGCGCGGGATTAGTTGTTGCTCATCCATGCATCAATCGCACACAGTTAAATCCCCTCATGAAAGTGCACCAGGCCAGAGCACAGGGAGATAGATGTTTTCCTGACTGGTCTTTTCCCTGCCCTCCTCCAGTGGCTGTAGGTCCCTGGCAAGGACATTGCCTAGGAAATGACTCCTCCACCCTGCTCACCTATCTGCAGTCACCTTGGGCTCCTGAAGGGACTGGTGATAAGCTCGGCAGCCAGGGCAGGGCCATCAAGCTTCCCACTCGTGAAGCCTTTGGTCTCCAGCCTTGAAGCCCTCTGGCCCCTGTCTCTGTCTTGCAGAAAATGGGTAAATTGTCCTTGGATGTCAACATTCAGGAACCTCGCTGGGACCAAAGCACTTTCCTGGGCAGAGCCCGGCACTTCTTCACTGTTACTGATCCCCGAAACCTGCTGCTGTCTGGGGCGCAGCTGGAAGCTGCCCGGAACATTGTGCAGAACTACAGGTGAGCCTGCCCACCTGACCCTGGACCCCATGGTCTCATTCCTTGCGATAATCTAGAGCATTTTGCACCTGCTTCCCCAGGCTTGAGAGTGGCCCTGCCCCTGTCCCACAGCCCCCTCCCTCTTTGGTCCTGCTGGCTACATCGCAGACAACTATGCCAAGGGCTTTAACCCAAAGAATGTATGGTGTTTGGGTTGAGGAGATGGCACTGATATTTATGGGTGGGGTGGGGGCTGCCCTGTGCACAAGCCCTCCACTAGGATCTTTCCCATTATTGGTCCACTTTCTGCAAGAGTGGAGAAAGTCAGTGCTCAAGGAAGTAGGAGGGTGCTCCTCTTGTCATCAGGAGGAAGCCTTTGATGGCTCTAGTCGGTTTTGGGGGGGTTTTGGTACCAGAGTTTGAACTCAGGACCTTTTGCTTATGAGGCAGGCGCGCTGCCACTGAGCTACATCCCTGGCCCCACCCTGCATCCCCAGTTGTTTTTGACCCACTGGAAACTACCATCACCTGTGACCCAGTAGAAAATCTGTGGCTAGAGGGGAAATGGAAATAGAACTGCCCTAACTCTGGCTCTCCCCTTTAGTGATGTCCCCTGGAGACAAGGACTCCTTTATTCTGAGGGTGGGGCCAGAGCCCCTGGTCTTCTGCTCAGTTCCCTGTGAGGCAGACAGAGCTTGGGAATCTGGCCCTGGAACAGCCTGGCAGTGCCTTGTCCACTTCTGCAGGGCGGGTGTGGTGACCCCAGGACTCACAGAGGACCAGCTATGGCGGGCCAAGCACGTGTATGACTCTGCCTTCCATCCGGACACAGGAGAGAAGGTGGTCCTCATTGGCCGTATGTCTGCCCAGGTGCCCATGAACATGACCATCACGGGCTGCATGCTCACCTTCTACAGGTGAGTCTTCCTCCCTGCCTGCTGGGGCGTGCTGTGAGCTAGAACCGGCCTTGGTGACTGTATGCTTCCTCACCGGGCCGGTCTGGATAAATGGTGTTGGGTGGGAGCTTGTGCTAGCCCCTCTCCGTTTTCAGAACTCAGCCTGAGAAAGTGAGTATAGGGGAAAGCAGGGGTGAGCAGAGCAGTTCTAGGGTCAGCGACTGGGTTCCTCCTGATGGTTTGGTAGCACCCTTTGGGATTTCATATAGAGGCTCAAGGATGGGGGCCACTGTAGAGGGGCAAGGAGTAAGTGCTGAACCTTTATTCCCTCAGGAAGACCCCAACTGTGGTGTTCTGGCAGTGGGTGAATCAGTCCTTCAATGCCGTCGTTAACTATTCCAACCGCAGCGGCGATGCTCCCGTCTCCACTCGGTGAGATTCTGCCCCGGGAAGAGCTGCAGCACTCCTCCAGACCGAGCTCTCTGGCTGCTCCCGGTGCCTGGGGCTCAGCTCTCCTTGCGGCCTGTGGGCCTCCTCTCTGCCTGAGGTCCTTTGGGGACCCACTGCCCTTCAAAAGGAAGGAGTAAGGCAGCTAATGAGTTTATGTGGGAGCTGCGGAGGGCTTTCTGTGCCTTAGGTGCTTTCCCATGCCTCCAGCCCTGCCTGTCCCTGAAGAGCCACATGCTGGGCTCCTCATCTCTCCCTTGTGACCTGGTTCTTCTACCCACAGGCAGCTGGGCACTGCCTATGTGAGTGCCACCACAGGGGCTGTAGCCACAGCTCTGGGACTCAAATCCCTCACCCAGGTAAAGTCCCCCACTGTCCCCATCCATCCTTTATGCAGTACTTCCCATTATCCTCCCGTCCTGGCCTGTGGCTCCCTATATTTCTCCTAGAGCCCCTCCATTCCCCATGGCCCTCAGGGCCACTGAACAGCACCTTTCCCCCCAGCACCTGCCCTCCTTGGTTGGCAGATTTGTGCCCTTTGCAGCCGTGGCTGCAGCCAATTGCATCAACATCCCCCTGATGAGGCAGAGGTGAGTGGCCCTGGTTCCTGGCCCGGGCAGCCCCAGTGTGCATGTTCCATGCCTGGAAGCCATGTCCACCGGCTCTTTGTGGGGACAGTGCTCCCCTGCCCTGGCTGTGAGCTGCTGAGCCGTCTTAGGCTGAGCCCGCGTTCTGGAACAACCCTGTCCCGGCGTGTGCAGAGTCCCCCAGGGCACCGAGGGATGGAAGGAGGGACAGTCCAGGGTCAAACAGGGTACAGTTTGATGAGGACTTGTGACGGACGTGTGTCCCAGCAGCAGCAAGATCAGGGCGTGCCAGAGACTTGGGTTGGAAGGAGGGGCGTATATGACAGGACAGAAGTGACTAACGCAAGCTAAAAGGTACTTAAACTGTCATCGAGACCAGGCACAGCCTTGGCAGTGCCTGCACCCGGGTAGGGGTTGTAAAGCCCCACGCTCCTCTCTAATGCCTGTACTTCCAGTCTTCTGGGGAAGCTGCAGGGAAAACGGAGCGGCTTACTCGGGGCAGTCATGCTGGTCATGGCTCGGGGTGGCTGCATCTGTCCGGCTGAGTCCCTACGCCTGGGACGCGGAGGTGGGAGAACCAGCCTCTGGGCCTGAAGGACTGGGGAGGCACTGCCTGCTCCGGGGGCATTTGGGGCATTTGAGGCTGCAGTCTGACCCCAGCCCTTCTCTTCCTAGGGAGCTGCAGGTGGGCATCCCGGTGACTGATGAGGCGGGGCAGAGGCTGGGCCACTCGGTCACCGCCGCCCGGCAGGGGCTCTTCCAGGTGGTGATATCGAGGATCGGGATGGCGATCCCTGCCATGGGTGAGGAGTGGCTGGTGGGGCACGGGAGGCTCTGGGGGGAAGCAGTACAATTCCGGGGGAGGAGAACTGAGAAGAGGCCCTTCCTCCTCTGGGGTTGCGGCTTCTCTCTGCTCATGTCTTCTGCCCTGCTCTGCCCTCAGCCATTCCCCCAGTGATCATGGACGCTCTGGAGAAGAAGGACTTCCTGAAGGTGGGTGCCTCACTTTCCCATCTGGAGGGTCCTGGGGTCAGCGAGAAGTGACAGGTCCCAAGCCCTCTCCCAGCCTGGCCGAGTCTGGAACTTCCACTCCTAGCCCTGCGCCATTCATTCAGCAAGAATGAACTGGGCTGCACAGAAGGGCACTGAGGGAGCAGGGGGAAGACTGGAGGAGGAGGGTCACAGCTTCCGGCCTGTAGGACCTGCTATCACGCTGGAGGGCTCTGACATAGCGATGAACTGCCATCGCTGCGCTTCATAGCATCGTGCTGTCACTCTGTCACCACACCACACACACGCACATGGGACAGAGAAGCTCGGGCTGTGGAGGAAGCACAGAACAGGAAAGTCATAGTTCCTGTCCTCATGCATTTTATAGTCTAGGGTAGAAACCAATGAAGAAAGAAGCAACCAATAAACGCAGCACTGTGAGTTGAGGTGTGTGCTTTGTAGAACACCAGGAGGGGACAGCAGCTTGGATAGGGTGGTCAGAGAAGGGGTCTCCGCAGTCCCAAGAGTGACAAGGGGACAGCCAGGCAAAGAGCACAGAGAAGAGCGTTCCAGGTAGAGAGCATGCAGTGTGGAGGTCCTGAGGCAGGAACAGCCTCGCACGTTTGAGAAACAGAATGGTGCTTCTTAGGGTTAGAGTGAGGAAGGCGTGTACCCGGCAGGTGGGTTTGGGAAGGGACAGACTCGTGCGGCTTGCATGGGAGGAAGAGAGTGGCACTTCAGAGGCAGCCTCCTGCAGAAAGCAACTCCTGCAGGAAGTGAGGGAAGAGAAAGAGGCAGGGAGTGCCATGGGAATCAGCTCCAATAGGTGAGAATGTGTAGGGAATGCTGGGAAGTACTGTAGGCCTGGCCGGAGGGCGCAGCTGGGCATGAGCTTGGAAGAAGGCAGAGGCCATGTGTCGTGGGGCTCAGCGGGAGGACGGGGGGATGGGCTAGAGCCGGGAGGCAGGGGACACAGCCCTTCCATGTTTGTCTCCCACAGTGCCGACCTTGGCTGGGGGCGCCCTTGCAGGTGGGGCTGGTGGGCTTCTGGTAAGTGAGTGAGGGGCTATCTGGGGGTACGGGGGTGCCTTGTCCACGGTGGATGCGGGCAGGCATCTACTGCCTTTGAGGTGATTGTATGTAATCCTTTCCTACCTTCTCCTGGTGTAAGGCGTGCGGTGTGTGTTAAGGGCTGACTGGACTGATTCCTGACCTTAAAGGTCGAGTTTATTGAAGAGTTCCAGTCTTCATCCACCAGAAAACCGTGCAAATGTCCTTTTGGTACCATCTAGGAGCTTTCTGCTCATTTAATTCCTGATTCTGCCACTTTCTGGCCGTGGGGCTCTGGATAAGGGCTTTGGAGTCTCTTTCCTCACCCAGACCCTCAGTCAAGGCTGCGTTCAATGGTTCCAAAAGGTCTCTTTGGCTTCAGGCAGTCTGCACCCCAGAGCTGGGGATGTAGCTCCGAGCATCTGCTTGGCATGCATGAGGCTCTGGCCCATCCCCAGCACCATAAAGGAAAAGAGGCAGTCTCCACTCCCAGGAGCTGCTGGCACCCCTGTGGGGTGGGGTGTGGGAGGAAACACTCTTAGGGCAAAGTTTCACAACTTTTCTAACGCTCTTCTCCCTCAGCCTGGTATTTGCCACCCCCCTGTGCTGTGCCCTGTTCCCCCAGAGGAGGTGAGTGCTGCCTGGCTTGGCAGGGAGCTCTGCACAGGGCGCCTGTCTCGGGACTAACTGACCCTTCGCCCTTTACTGTGTTCCGGGGAGGCTGGGCAGGCCCTTGGCAATCTGGGGGTGGGAGAATGCAGCAAGCCAGCCTTCTGGAAGCAGGAGGAGAGGACTCTTCAGCCTGGGAGGAGGGGATGGATCCAGGGGACATCCAGCTGTGCTCTTCTGTTGCAGCTCCATACAAGTGAGCAGGCTGGAGCCGGAGCTGAGAGCCCAGATCCATGAGCAAAACCCCAGCATGGAGGTGGTTTACTACAACAAGGGGCTTTGAGGAGGGTCAGTCCCTTCCTCACCTCCCTGCGTGGCTGCTTTAGGCCCACCTTGCTATCTCTGCTGCTTGCCCATCTGCCTGGTACTCTCCAGGGAGCTTGGTAGGTCAGTCGCTATTGAGACCAGCAATCCATTAAGCTGGACGAAGCATCCTTCCTTCTTTTTTTTTCTTTTTTTGGTACTGGGGATTGAACTCGGGTCCTTGCACTTTCGAGGCAGGCGTCGAAACCACAGAGCCAAATCCCAGCTCAGGATGAGGCACCCTTATAAGCCTTTTTCTCTCTTCTCTGGTGTCAAAGAGCAGAGTTACACAGTCCCTCGAGGCTGTGCTACCTACTACATAGGCATACACGTATGTGTTTATACAGTTGGTCCTGGCAGCTAAGAGCAGGCAGGCCACTGCTGTGGGCTGATGTCTGGCCTCCCCTCCTCAGTCTCGTTCCCAGCTACCAGCAAGCCAGGTGACAGGTGGGACGTCCTTCCCCGAACCATTCCACTGGCCACGTCACTTCCGACAGCGCCTCACCCCTTCTGGACAGGGGAGGAACCCCAGGACAGTAGTAGACCAACCTGAGCTGAGTCATTCAGGTTTCTAATAACCTAGCTTCCAAAACTGGCTGGGGACCTGGGCTGGCACAGGAAGCCTTGTTGGGACCGGGGAGGCGGGGCCTTATGCACCCTCGGCGGCTCCGCACCCCTGGAGTGGCTCCATCTCTCCTGGATGAGCAAAGGAGCCATCTCCTCGTGTCCCCCACACTGCCATGTGGGCATCTTTAGGTAGAAGTTCTTGGTCTGCCCTGACATTATGAGCACAAACAAATCCGACGAGCCCAGCTCTCTCCCGGCCAGAAAGCCACGCAGGCAGAACAAGCGTTCCCCTTCAGGAGCTGCCACCACACTCCCTGAGAGGGACGCACGTGGGAAAAGTGCTTAACCCCACAGGTCCCACGCGGGCCACTAATGATGGGATTCTGTGATCCGTGAGCCCTGCTCAGTCTCAGCTCCTTCCCTTCCTTTTCTTTGCCTTTGCTGCGTGCTGGGGACAGAACCCAGGGCTTTGCATATGCTAGGCAAGAACTGCCGATAAGCCCAGCCCTGGTCTTCCTGCTTTCCTGAGGTTTGGTCCTGCTGCCCCACCGTTATCCCTGAGAGGAGGGCCCAGGCCGAAATGGACGGGCCAAACGGAAGCTGGGATGTGGGATGGAACGGGTGCGGGAGTCCAGAGCACAGTTAGATGATCGTGACTCCAGCTCCGTGCCCTCTGGCTGAAGAGTTGAGTGGGCCAGAGCAGGGGCCTTGGGACCCTCTGAGATCGCTTTCCTGCTTCTCTAATGCACTGCCCTGAACAACAGCTTCCATGCCCCGGATAGTCAATAAACTGTGAACCTGTCTATTTATTGATCTCTACTCGATTCCACTCCCTGATGGCCAGGAGGACGCCTGCTGCCTGTGGGTCTCCCAAACACCAGGCCCCTGTCTGTGGGGAGCCTCATTCCCCAGCAGAGTGCTCTGAGCTGAGGAAATCCGTCTTGCCGCAGGCACCTTTTATTCCCTCCAAAGGAGTCCTGCCTTCACTTCCATCACCAGGGAGCTGATCACACACTGACTATTGTTCAGGCTCAGGGATATCTGGTTTCCTGCAGGCATATGGCATGGGACCTCTGGTCCCCAGGAGAGAGAGAGGGACCAGGCCAAGGACTGCCCTACTCCATCAGAGAGCAGCTTTTAGGGGACCAACCCCCTCACCCCCATCAGTCATCAATTTGCCAGGGAAACAGGCCTGCAGGAGCCCCTGACAGTTATCCCTCCCACCACCCTGGGGTGCTCTACTTCCATGCTTCCGCAGCCTCCTTTTTGTTTTTGTTTTTTTTTGGTACCCGGGATCAACTCGCGACCTTGTGCTTTCGAGGCAGGCCACGGAACTTCTGAGCCAAATCCCCGGCCCTCCTTTGTTTTTTGTTTTGTTTTTTATAAGATTCAAAGTTCATGCCTGTGTATAGCTGGCGAGAGCTGCTATTCACCAGTTTATAGATGCTTGTCTTCCCTTCCCTAAGTCTTGGCTTTGATAAACGCAAGGCGATAACACCGAGAAGAACATAATAAAATCCATTCCCCCTTTCCTGCAGGGAAGTGACCCTCATCTGTCTCTTTCAGCCCAAAGCTCTGCTAGGTGGTGAAGAGAAATGTTAGCGCTGCATGGTTCCCCGGCAGCCTAAGGGAGTCTGGGCTGGGGTCATGCACTCCTCTCAGGGTGAGCAGAAGTTTACTTACGGGGGAGTCAGCTGACATAGGACCTGGACCTGCTCGGAGCAGCCAAGTGCTGTCAGTCCCTTCCCTCCTGGTCTTCACAACCACACCTGTGAGGCAGACATGCTATGTCCATTCCTTTCCCCCCAGTACTGGGACTGAATCCAAGGAGCACTGAGCTACATCACCAGCCTTTTAAACTTTGAGCAAAGGTCTCTCTAGATTGCCCAAGCTTGCCTTGAACTTGTGACCCTCCTGCCTCAGCCTCTCAAGTAGCTGGGATTCCAGGTTGTGCCACCACACCTCAAAGTTCACGCCCATCCCTAGCAAAGAAGACACTGGCCTGGAACATTAAGAAAGCTGCCCACAGCTTTACCAGTAGGTGAGGCAGCAGGGTGTGAGCTGAAGCTTCGGACTCTGAAGCCACTCTATCCCCTCTCCATGGCCGGCTGCCTGCTATGCCTGTGGTCACCTTCCTGGTCCCTTTGACATTCCAGGGAGCCTCATCCCTGGATCCAGTTTGTCTACAGAACAGCACAACCAGTCAATCCACAGGTGTGCACAAACCCTTTTTTTTTTGGTATCAGATCAAACTCGGGACCTTTTGCTTTTGAGGCAGGCACTAGAACCACTGAGCTAAATCCCCAGCCCCACAAACCTTTTACTAAAGCCACTAAGAAATTTCCAAACCCAAGGATGCATGGCTTACATGTAAGAAAAATTCACATCCTTGACTAAATGGGATGACGCTCAGCTGACAAGCCCCAGTTCCGCCAGTTCCATCTGTCCTGCCAGTCTGACCAGTGCCTGGCACCATCGCCTGGAGCTCTGGTCAGTGCTGAAGTGTTTGCTGCAGTGAAGCTTTAGCCTTTGGGAACACCTTGAAAAGTGGCCTTGCACTTTCTTCTGAATCTATGTAAGGTGAACCCATTTGTGCAGTGAGGTGCAGGATTCTCTGTAAAACAAAACCAGATTGTTTTAAATGACCTATGTTCTGAAGATAATGCTAAGCCATGTCAGAGAAAGCTGGCAGGGCTCAGCGGGCCAGCTCCTTTCCTGTCATCTTTCCTGCAAGGGCCCAGCAACTTCTCAAATGCAGCAACAAGGCACTTCACAGGCTCTAGGGACAGACTAGGCAGGTACACTGCAAACTGCCTCCAAGTCAGCCTTTGAGTGGGGCAGCTCTTTCTCACTGGGAAGTTACTCTGTCTCTTTCCTAGTGGAGCCTGGCCTCTTCCAGGGCTCAGGCTCAGGCTTCAGGAGCCCCAGGACTGGACAGGTGCCCTGGGCCCTCCCTGCCCAGCCTTTCCCCTTTCACCTAGCCTCACTTGCTCCACAGCTCCACACTGCTCCTACGTGCACCCTAGCAGGTCTTTGGGCCAGCTTCAGCTCTGATCCCGTGTGTGTTGGGTTAATGGGGGGGGAGGGGGTGCCAGGCAGACTCTAGTCCCTACTCCTAGAGCCCTGCCTTATGGCTCAAAGCAAAGTCCCTTTTCCTCCGAATTATGCCAGTCAGCTTCGAGCCCTGCCCCAGATCGGATCAGTCACAGGCAAGCCACGCCTCCTGGGGCGCAGCCTGAGAGAAGTCCCACCCCCGCTGTGGCGCCTGTCTCTCAGAGTGTGGCTCCGCCTCCTCAGGTCCTGGGGAATGGCTTTTGAGCTACAGCCGGCCGATAGCCCCACTCACCTTCCTGGGTTTGCGTGTGGGCATCTGCTTCTGATCCCCTACTTCGCTTACCTTGATGCTGGGCCGTGAAATCCCCCAAATCCCCTTCTTCCTTTCTGAAATCAAAACCCAAAAGCTCCCCAGTGCTCTCTCCCCTTTCACTTCCTCCTGGAAATCCATAAGGTTTTCGAGGAATCACGGGTGCCCTGAGTTTTGCAACTGTCAACAGTTCAGGAAACTGTTCAGGTTACTGAACGCTGACCATGCCTGGCTCTGGGTAGATGTAAGCGGTTGGGTGAACAGAGTAACTACCTTCCCATGTGCAGGCACACAGCCTAGGCGCAGTGGATTCTGGGGCACCTCGCCCTCTCTCTGTGGGGTCTCAGGCTGAGCCTCCACACCTGGCTTCGTTATGTCTTTCTAGCAGTTCCGAACGCAGAGGGCAGTGTGGGGAGGAGATGTCCTATGTCATCATGACCACGCTCTCCATGTCTGCTGTTCTGTATTTCCAGCACATGCCGATGTCTATTTTGTGTGACACTTCTCCTTGGGGCTGGCCTACCCCTCTGCCTCGGCACCTTTTTAGGGCTGGCACCAGGCTGGCATCACATAAGGCTTGCTGGAAGGAAGACACCCTCACCTTAGTGTTGTCTAGTTCCTATAGTGGCCCCAGAGCTGGGTTTTGGGGCCTTGGTGCTAAGGTTTCCTGGCCAGAGTGGTGGTGTCAGATGAAACATCACTCACTCTACAATACGCCTGGAAGCGTCACTTTCTACAATTTTCAGACTTTCTGCTGAGTCTGGTTCACCCTGCTAGACTCGCACATCACTGCTAGTGATTTTCTCTTAATGCCCCATTTCTACAAGCTGGCCTGAACCACATGCTGCCAGACTGCTGACCTTCACTGTAGATAACATTCAACTTCTATTCCTTTGGCTAAATCAGGGGACCTCTGTTCAGCTGTCTCAAGCTTTCCACACCACTTAAGGAGGCTTCTTACACAAGAATGGGTAGATTTCCTAAATCTGCTGTTTCCAAATTGTGTCCCAATGCACCCCAGAATGCCGCAATGAACTCACAAGACTGCTGAAAATCACTGAAGTGCTCAACATCTGTTGGGCACTGCATGAAGTAGTTGAGTCAACATTAGATTGGTCTGCATTACACTTTTGTCTTTGCATAACTTGGCTTTTGATGGTTGCTGTGATAAAAAGCAAGAACAAAAGCCAGTGTGAAACAGGAAATGAGGGTGGTAGTGTCTGAGGTGACTCCAAGAATTCTGAAGTTATGCAGAGCCCAAGGAGTATATACATCCCATTAGTAACTGGGTTTAAGAAGAAAACTTAAAAAGAAGGAAATGAAGTAAATTTTTTGGTTTTTTGCAGTACTGAGGATTCTTTCAATTTTTTTTTTGTGTGTGTGTGTGTGGGCCTCACACAAGCTAAGCAAGGGCTCTATCTCTGAGACACAGCCACAGCCCTTAGTACTGGGGATTAAGCCTCGTCGTGTTGTACCACTGAGTGATGTCCCCAGCTCCTTTTATTTCTATTTATTTTTATTTGAGACAGGCACTTGCTATGTGGCCCAGGCTGGCCTCAAATTTCCTAGTAGCTTCCTAGTAGCTGGGACTACAAGTGTGTACTGCACCCAGCTAAATACTTCTTTTGACCTAGAATGCCATGGGGAAAAATACTGAAAAATATTCCGTGAATTTAAAAAGTTTAAGAGCCTCTGTCCTAAATGAACAAAAGAAGAAATGAAGTAACGAGAGACTCACTGGGCTGGTATTTGGATCTCAGATATGTAAGCTCACTGGCTGCCCTGCCTTTGTAGGACATTTTCTCTTACTGGATTATTTTTCTTGTTTGAGGGCGGGGGATGAACCCAGGCCTGGCTGCATGCTAGGCAAGTTCTGTACCGATGAGCTCTGGCCCCAGCCTCCCAGTGGCTTCTTTTTTTTTTAAGAGTAGGAAATATTTATTGGGAGAAAGAAAGCTTCTAAGAGAGACAGAAGGGGACCGGAAAGTGGGTTGCCCGCCCACCCCACTCTACAACGATGTTTTATACAGCAAAGCCATGTGGTGAGGCGGGTCCAAAGTGGGTCAGAACTCTAAGCCCGGTGGATTCTGAATTCCTCCTGCGAAGTTCTGAGCTTACCCAGTGGTCCAGAGCGGTTGAGGAGCCCAAGAGGGCACGGGGCAGAATGGGGATGGAAGTTTCGGAGTCAGAGCTTCATGGCGAGGACAGCTGGGCGGCCCGAAGCAAAGGTGAGGGCAGAGGCTGAGGACAGGGCACTCTGCCCACCCCGGGCCTCTGGCTGGGCTGCGTCGCGCCAGCCGCCTCCCGCTCCCGGGCAAACGAGATTCGGAGACCCGCTCGGCGCGGCGCCCCCTGGAGGCCGCACGGGTCGGTGGCCGGGAGGGGGGAGCGTCTCCCAGCCACGGTCCCCGGGCCTCGGAGGCGCCGTCCGGGCGCTAAGGCCGGATTCGCGGCCCCCGACTCATGCATTAAAGATGCGGACGCGCCGGGCCTGCGGTGCCACGAACGTGAAGAGGCCGAGGCCGGGAGAGGGGATGGGGCAGGAGAAAAATGAATTAGGTTTTATTATGTGTTTTATTATGCTGCAATTGAACAGGATTAGAGAACACAATATATCTTGATGCGGCGAGGCGGCGGGTGCCGCCCCTGACCGTCGGCTCCGGCTCTGCGGGCCGTTTTCCTCCCGCCTCCCTCCAGGCCTCTGCCTGCTCGGGATTAAAAACTCGTCTTCACGTTCGTGGCACCGCAGACCCGGCGCGTCCGCATCTTTAATGCATGAGTCGGGGGCCGCGGATCCACGCCCAGCCCTCGCCGACCGCGGGCGCCCACTCTCGCCAGCTCCCGGCACCTCCGCGGGGAATTCCGTCCGCGCGGGTCCGACCCAGCGCTCCCGCAGCACTGCGCCCCGGAGCCTGCTCGGGAGGGGCGCCCGCCTTCCCTCACCGGGACTGCCTCCGCGCTGTCCGCTCGGGGCCGCTCCTGGCGGTGATGGAGAGGCCCATTAGCCGCTTCCTCCTGCAGGGCCGACCGGGCCGCTCCCCCTGCCTCCCAATTAGGACGCGTAGCCGTCAGCCAAGATTAATAGTTGCCCGGCTGGGCAGGGAGAGGAGCCCAGAAGAGCCGGGCCAGGCGCACCACCTGCCGCCCCTTCCTTCCTGCCCCCGAGGCTCTCAGGTGAGGCCCGCGGAGGGTCGAGAGCGTCCAGGCCGCTGGCGCGAGGAAGGCGCGGCTCTCCGGGGAGGGGACCCCCCCCCCCGCGCGCCCAGCCTTCCTGGGCTCCGGGCTAGAGAGAGCTCCGCCTACGGGGTTGAGTGGGCCGCTGGTTTCCGGATCCCTCCCGCGGTCCTCCCTCCTGCACACACTCGTGGTCCCTGCGAGTGTTTTCGGTGCACCGCGCCCACGTATCGTCACCTTCACTGGCGCGAGTACTTCCTGGAGGTTTGCCTCCCCCTTGGACGGCCGTTCCGGGCGGAGGCCGCGCGGTCTGGCTCACTTGGGCTCTGCCGCACCTTCAGGAAGCGTGTGCTGGGCGCAGGAGCGGGCGGGAGGTCTGCTCCCACGGGGCTCCGGCGCACTCGCTTCCGGTCACGCGTACAGCTCAGTACTTCTGCAGCGGCTCGACGCTTTCTCTCCCTGGAGGCGGACAGGGCAGGGCACAGAGCTGCCTCCCTCCCTCCGAAGCGCCTGCCGCCCAGCTCAGGCGCTTGCACAGCTTAGCAGTGAGGGCTCAGGAGCCTCGAGGTTCTTTTAGTCCTATTCATCAGGACCTCACGGCCTGGAGGAGCGAAGGACTTGCTTGAGGCCACACAGTCAGCCAGAAGCAAAGCCAGGATGAAAACTTGCCTCTCCAGCGCACTGCGCCTTTCCTCCACTACTCAGGCGTCTGGGGCCCGAGGAAGCCCCTCCTGACTTCCGGTCAGGATGGTCCCAGGTGTTGCTCTTCCTTTGGTGATGGTGGTGACCCAGAACCAAGCCTTCCCCTCCAGCTCTAGGGGTTTTGGGGTCAGGGATGCTCTAACCTGTGTTAACAGGAGAACATTCTTTCCATTGAGTCTCTACTCTGGCACGGCCATGATGAAGCCAAGCCGGAGTCCCAGCTACTCAGCAGGCTGAGGCAGGAGGGTAGCTTGAGCCCAGAAGTTCCAGGCCAACATAGGAAGCCCTGTCTCCTTAGACAAAACAAAACTCCAGCTCTAGTTTCTGTTCTTTACGTGTAGATCTAGGGCAGTCCTCTCTCCAGCTCTGGCGGTGTCGAACTGTCACTGGTCTCCTCCACCCTACCCCAGTAACATTAGGGCAAGACACGGACTTGGAACCATAGGTGAAGAAAGGAAGGGAACGGAGAAGAAAGCGCCAAGACAGTGGGGGCCTGAGGTCTTTACCCCGCACACCCCTGCTGTCACCTCCCTGGAACCCATTTACTGGGGGCGGAGTGGGCTGGGGGGTGGGGCAAGATCGATGCATCAGTGGATTTTGATGACCGCAGGCTTTCACCTTGCAGATAATGGGGTGAGCGGCGGTAAACTCTCCCCAACTAAGCGGCTCCCCCGGCCTTAATGAGATAATCAATACTTGTTCTCGGCTTAATTTCCATCTAATTGCTCTTTAACGACGCCGGATAATGGGCCGCCTCCTGTGAGGAGGGAGCTGGCTGGGAATCCGACCTGCCTCTGCCTCCGCCCTTCCTCCCCTAGGCGGGAGGTCTCGCCCGCGCAGGTGCGAAGCCTGCTCGCCCCGCCCGGCGCCCACCTGTCTGCGCCGCTCGTGGCCCCCGCCGGGGGGCGCCCCAGGCCTCAGCGCGGGGCCGCAGCCAGCTTCCGCCGCCGGGCGCCTCCCCCTGCTGTCCGGTGAGGAGCGCAGCGCGGTGCCCGGGGCCTTCGGGAGCGGCGAGGGTGTGCTTCTGCGCCACGCGCTTCCCCTGAGCCGTGGCGGGGCTGGGTGGTCCCCACCGGCGCTCGGGCAGGGGCAGGCCGGCCCAGGGCTCCGGGTCACAGCGCCTGCTGCTCCTCGCTCCGAGGGCCCCTGCCTCCCTGACACCCCAACCGCCCGCAGCCAGGGGGTTCCTGCCCCGGTCGCCCATCCGTCACTGTGACTCCTCGCTCGCAGGAGGAAGAGCTGGGGCGTCTCTCCAGAGCTCCGCAACCTCTGGCCTCCGGGGACCCGACCTGCCTCCACGCACTGCCTCTGCTCGGCTCTCCTCGCTCTCCTCGCCCTGCTGCGGATCACATCCGCGGCCTTGCTCGCGCTAGGCCGGTGCTCCTCCGCTGCGCCCGCGCCACGCCGCCGACTGCTCTCCGCTCCGGACAGCGGCCCGCTTTGCCTGCCCGCCTCCTCGTCTTCAGCCGTCTGGGCACACGCTGCCCTGCGAGGGTTGGCATCCCGGACCCACACGGCCTCAGGTTCGAGTCGTAGCTGTTGCGTACTGTGCAGTTGACACTGGGCAAACTTACCTGAGTTCTGAACCTCAGCTTTCTCATCGAAAAATTAAGTTTAAAAAAAACCAAATAAATAAATAAATAAATAAAAATTAAGTTACTCCTACCTTGCAAATTTTTTTAAGTCTGAAAGGAGGTAATGTTTGTAAATTGCTGGCCACAGTGTCTGGCACACTAACCATTTGGTACGACTCTTACTATTGCATGGCAGAGCTGAAGGAACCATCTCGTTCAAGGAGCATACATTGTAAGGCTACAGGGGCAGCTTTAGAGTCTTAAATGAGGGAAGAAGGCCAGGAGGGCCGTTGGTGGAGAGGACCACCCCTATCCAAAGTGGCAGCCAGTGCTAGTGCTCACCGTCAGTTGTTGGATGGAACCTGCTCCCCAGTTTTGTTTGTTATTTGTTTTCAAAACAGCCTGGCAGACTGGAGTCACATAATAGCTCTGTTTTTACCACCTCCTCCCTAGCCCAGCTGGGGGTTCTTCTCGAACCTCTCTGAATATCCTTGCCTGACAATTCTGACCCCATATCTCTGGATTTTTATGTTAAAACTTTCAATGTTTAAACATTGGCGATTAAGGAAAAACTTGAAAACCCTGTGAATTCACCATTGTTTCTGAGAAGAAACTAAAGTTCAGATGGGTCGTGGCTGCTGGCAAAGCTGAGTGGGGAAGCGTAGAAATCAAAGTCAAAACAGGAACTCCTAGAAGGCCCTTGCCAGGCTGTGGAGGCTTTTTAGCTGCTGTCTGCTGCAGGTGCTGCCCCCTCAGACAGTGCCAGGTGGCTGAACCAGAGTTAGCACTTGGAGGCTCTAGAACCCCAAGACCTGGGTTACAGCAGTTTTGTGACACATACAATTTCTTTTAAATGTTGGAGAGGGAAGTGTGACAGCAAATCAAGTCCCAGGACCCAGGAGGTCTCAACCTTAATTTTACCCAAATTTCTACAGTCCTGCTGAGCTCATCAATTCAGTATGCTTCTCCCTAACAAGTCCCCAGGCGCATCCCCCAGCCAAGGACAAACCCAGCAGGAGCTTTGCTGGACACAGTTCTTCTGACTGCCACCTTTTGTTCCTTCTCGTCTCTTGCCTTGCCCTTGGGGAAAATGATAGAAAGGCATTTAGGAATCTGGGGTTTTGTGAGGTTGCACATGCTGATGTGTAAGGATTGAGACTTTTGAACAGGCTCAGCATTCTACTTACGATATTCTGATGCTCTGCTGGGGCCCAAGACTCTGCCTGTGGTTTGGTTGCTGAAAAGGCAAGTAGTTTGTGAATGACGGGTGACTAATCGGTGCTCCTTATTTCTTTTCTCTTAGCCATTGAGAAAGCATTCACTGTTTTTTGCTTGGAGTTCTGAGCACACATTTACCAGGTGGTTCCTTGGTATACTGGTCAGCTCTCTGTTGCTGGGACAAAATATCTGACACCATGACTCAAAGGAGGAGAGATGTACTTTGGCTCCTGGTTTCAGTCCATGGTTGGCTGGCTCCAAGGCAGAAATATCATGGCAAAGAGCAGAGCAGAGGAAAGCTCCTGAATTTATGACTTCTGGGAAGCAGAGAGCAGGGGAAGCACTCCTGAGGAAGGGGCTGGGGAGCAGATATAGTTACCCAGGTCATGCCCTATAATCCTCCCGGACACACCAGATGTATGCTTTACTAGTCTAGGCCTCTCTCAAGCCAATCAAGCTGAAAATCAGTCCACTCCTTGTTAACTTGACACCTGAATACATCTCCTTAAACCATCTTTAATCTCCAAATAGAGACAATAACAAGGCCAGAATTCCACCTAAAATGATATAACTCTCCTGTGCATCACTGAAAATACACTGATTTCTTCCCCAAAGTCTCATCAGTCTCAAAAGTGCAAGTACAGGGCTGGGGATTTATCTCAATGGTTCCGTGCCTGCCTCATAAGCACAAAGGCCTGAGTTTGATCCCCGATACCAAAAAAAAAAGTGCAAGTACAGGTTGGCCATCGTGGTGCATGCTTGTAATAATACCAGTGCACTGGGACACTGAAGCAGCAGGGTCACAAGTCTGAGCTCAGCCTAGGCAATTTAGTGACTTAAAAAGACCCTGTCTCAAATAAAAATAGAAAGCATCTGGGGATGTACCTCAGGTCCTGTATTCGATCCCCAGTACTGGAAACAACAAAAAAAAGTCCAAGTAGGGCTGGGGATTTAGCTCAGTGGTTCTGCCGCCTGCCTTTCAGGCAAAAGGTCTCAAGTTCAATCCCCAGTACCAAATAAATAAATAAATAAATAAATGAAAATTAAAAAGCAAGTTACATAATCCTGAAATACAATGGCACAGAGTAAACATTAACATACCAAAAAGGAGGAATAGGGGAATCGAAAGGAATTGGACTAAAGAAAGACCAAAACTCAACAGGGCAAACATCAAGTCTGGTAGCTCTCTGTCCAGCATCCAGGGCACATAGTAATGAGAAGTGAGATTCAGAGGCTTTGGGCAGCTCTGTCCCTCTAGCTTTGCTGTTCGCTGCCCACATGGCCTCTCTTGGGCTGGCTCTGCTCACTGTGTGAAGCTTTCCTGGAAAGATAGCTCACATCCCTGACCATTCCTAGGGTCTGCAATGCAATGGCCTTACTCTGACAGCTTTGTGCATCACCCTCTCAGGAGCTCCAGGCAGGGACTTCAACCTTGTCACTTGTTGCCTAGCTTCCCAGACCTTCTTCTGAAATCTGGGTGAAAGCCTCTATGACCCTGTAACTCTTGTATTCTTCATGCCTGCAAAATCAGCATCACATGGCTGACACTAAAGTCTGCCACCAGTGTTAGCAGTAACTAGGCCCCCTTGGACCATGGCTGCAGTGGCCTCTGAGTGTCTAGATAGCTGAACAAATGGAAACACTTCCTCAGCCTCCTGCCCATGGGAGGATGTCCTAGAGCCTTTTTCTCAAAGCAAAGAAGTTTACACTTTTATACCTTTGAGCCTGCAATGGGTGGGGTCTTGCTGATTCTTGAGGTGCCCATAAGCCATCTCTCTTTTTGTCTTGGTGTAAATTACTTGGTTACTTTTTAATGGCACTAGTTTCTTTAGCAACCACACTTTCTTTGGTCTCAAATTTACATGTGCTTCTTTTCTGGACAAACTGCAAAATTTTCAAATGTTTTGGCTCTGCCTTTTACTCCAAATTCTCACTATAAATCTGGCTAAACAGCAACCACAGTCACAGCCTGAATACTGGGGTGCCTTCAAATTTCCTCTGCCAGATCAATTCGTCTTTTGCCCTTAAGTTCAGCCTCATGTAAAATTTTAGGGAATGAACAAAATACAGACAAGTTCTTTGCCAGAATATAATCTGCATGGCCTCTAGTTCAATTCCCAATAGAGTCCTCATTCCCATCTGAAACCTCATGAGCATGGTCTTTACTGACAACATTTCTATTAGGATTCTGGTCTTCTGAGCTCCCACCAGAATTTCCCATCAATCCCTGTTACAGGGTTTCTCTAGCTGGCATCTCAAAATCTTTGCAAATGTCTGCCACAAACCAGTTCCAAAGGCTTCTGAACTACAATGTCAGGTACAGTCACAGCAATAACTTCACTTCTCCAGTATGAATTTTCTGTGTTGGTCAGCTTTCCATGGATGGGACAAAATATCTAACACCCACAAATTAAAGTAAGAGAGGTTTGTGCTCGCTTTGGCAGCACACATACTAAAGTAAGAGAGGTTTCTTTTCCGTTTTGTTTTGGATTTTTTTTTTCTGGTACCGGGGATCGAACTCAGGACCTTGTGCTTGTGAGGCAGGCAGTGGAACCACTGAGCTAAATCCCCGGCCCAAAGAGAGGTTTTTTGCAGCTCATAGTTTTAGAGGTTTCAGTCCATGGTTGGCTGGCTCCAAGGAAGAAACATAGCAGAAGGACATGGCAGAGGAAAACTGCTCAACTTGTGACATCTGAGAAGTGAGAGCAGGGAGAGCTTAGGAAGGGGCTGAGATTCACCCAGACATATCTAGGTGTGCTTTATTAATCCCCTAGGCATCTCTCAAGCCAATCAAGGGGACAGTCGGGACTAGCCGTCACACTCGGTTTCAGCAAACTGGTCGGCTGAGAGAAGACTTGAGTGTCGGGAACATCTGTTTTTTTCTTTTCTTTTTTTCGTACCAGGGTTCAAACTTAGGACCTTGCACTTCCCAGGCAGGTGCTGTGCCACTGAGCCGCATCCCCGGCCTTCGTCAGAAGCATTCTACATAAGTTTTGGGGAAAACTCATTTCATAATTAAAGTATGACTGTAGCTGTCTAAGGCTCGATGTCGCCTCGCCCGGGGGCCGGCTATGGCACTTGGAAACATGACTCCGTTTTCCCTCCGGTCACAGTGGAGGCCTCGGTGGTCTGTGAAGCTGTGATGCTCACGGACAGGGTGACACCCGCTGAAGACGTCCTGCTTCCTTGAGAACCAAGTAGTAACACCCACACGAGAGAAAGGACTCCCCTGGGGAGGGATGAGGGGATCCCTTATCAGCCCAGTTCACCCCACCTGCTGAGGTGGCAACCCTCTCCTTGGCCTGCATCAGCATGAGATCTGCATGGGCACAGACATGAGGCCACCACCTCCCCAAGTCACCTGAGGCTCCCCCAGTCATTGTGTGCACCCACTAAACAGTGGCTAGCTCAGGCAGTCTGTCAGCGCCCACTCTGAGGCACTGGCCTCCAAGCCCCGCGTCCTTTCCAATTCCACCAGTCTCTATTGCCTTTTCTCTCTTTAGGCCTCCGATACGTGAGTGTTAATTTATTTCCCACTCTGCAGAAGCCAGCATTACATTTTGTTATGTCTTTTTATTTATTTTTATATATATATATATATATATTTCTTTTTTTAAATTTTGTTATGTCTTAAGAGCAAAGGTTGAAAGTGGGATGTGAACAAGGACATTGTCACAAACAGATGTGGTTTAGGATCCAAATTCTTTTCGTGGTCTCTATAGCGTTAATAGGGTTCTCAGGAAGGGTCCTCCTTCCTTTACAGAGGTTGTCTTAGTTTTGGTTTCCCCACAAGCAGATCCTGAGGCAAGAATTTGGGTACTAGTAGTTCCTTTGGGAGT